ACAGATCCTTATTCCCTTGCAGTGGATAAACGTGTGGTGTAAGGGGTAAGGCTGTAGTGTAACAACTGACTGTAATAAGGCTGAAAAACCGAGAGCTATCGGAGTGATCCTGGCTGACACAAGGCAAAGGGCCCGCAACGTCGGTCTAGGAAACCTGCAGACTCCCATGCACCTCCCACATGCCAACAACACACGATACTCGCGGAACATAACAGTAAGCATACCCACAGACCCCATACTTCAAAAGCTCGCTTAGCCAGCCTTAGAAGCCAGACAGCGCATCAGCCATACATCCCCAAACAGGAAATTCGCAAACGAAAATCTGCAACCGACTCTCCACTCTCCCCAGAGCACGGCATGCAGCCGAGCAAGCATCAAAACGATCCATTCCATCTATCCCACACGAAACGCGCCAACCCGACCAAAGGCCGAAAGCTCTACTACGACTGCCTCAAACCACCATAGCAGCCACCCCACCCCGTTAATCAAACCGCCCAAACGCCAGCCCTATGTAACCAAGCCCAAGCAGAGACAGCGCCAGTCGACGCACCCACCTACAGTACTGTACCTACGCGAGCCGAACGAACAACGAGCGCCGCGCGCCCCATCCAGCAGGCATGTCAGGCAGTCAGCGTCAGCGCTATAGCACCCCTCCGCTCCGATAAGTACAGCCAGCCAGCACGCGCCAGCCCACTGCCCAGCCCACCACCTCGCCTACAGCTATAAGCCCAGTGCCGACCAGCGCGCGCGCCCGCTCGCCCGCACCCCCACCCGTCTACGATAGATGCAAGCATGCACGCAAGCAAGCAAGCTACTTACCACGTAGAAGCCCGTCCGTACGTACACCGCCGTTCGCTTCGAGCGCTGCAGCAGCTGGCTGGCTGCCCGCCGCGCTGGTCCGTGAACCCCCTCCCCCCTCCACCCCTTCACCCCCTGCCACTACTGGGGTCGCCGCTACAAACAGATACCCAGCGTGCCAGCCCTGCCAACAGCCCTGCCAGCGGGCATCGCCCCCGGCAAGCCCGCGCGATATTCGCCCCTGGCGCAGATAGATGGATGGGCCGCCCCGCCCGCGCTGAGCCCACCCGCCTGCCCAGAGGGAGGACAGGGCGCGGCTCCTGCGCCGCCGTTAGCCCCTGCCCTGCGCGCTTTCTAGAAGCCCGTCTTTCGATGCTGCGGGCCTGCGACGTGCGGACAAGCGGGTGCCCGCGTTTGACATCACGAGTCCGTCACACCGCGCATCTGCCCGCTAGGCCAGGCCAGGTTCCATCTCTCTGTCTCGCTCGCTCGCTCTCTCTCCTGCGCATCCATTCCCCACCTGACATCTTTGCCAGCTCACCGCTTGAGTGCGTTGATGATGTCGTATTGTTACCTACCTACATATCCACACCTAGGTACGGAGTATTCCACCTATCATCCCTACCCACTGTCAATTCATGTACATACACCAACCAACTGTCCTCGCGCCCAAATGCCAGTTAGAGAGATTGTAAATGCCAATTATAAACAGTGGAATGAACATTGGATGCGTTGCCGTGAACTATGTCTTCCCTTCATTGTCCGTTCGTGTCCCTACTCTTTTCCCAGATCCAGACCGGCCGCCGACATGTTACGCCTTCGCCTCAGCCCACGGGTTATGCTCCGCCTCGCTCTGTTCCTGCGATTTCCGCTTGCTTGCCTGTGCATCTATGTTCCCAACACGGTTATGCCTGTCATCATCATCTTCGTCGTCTCCGGCGCTCCAGACGCTCTCGACCTTAACTTCGTCATGCGCAGGCTGCTCGTCTTTTGATGCCGCCTCTACATCCTCCTCCTTGTCTTCTGTGTTTGCGCCGTTATTTTGTGTGATGCCATCCTCTCTCTTCTCCTCTAACGCCGACTCGAGGCTCTTCTTACTGTCGATAGGGCTTGGCGGTACCGGTGTTGTTGGTGTCGTGGGAGTACCGGGATTCTTCCTCCAGCCCGCCCTCTTTTCGCTCGCCCATTGACCCCAGCTCGAGAAATACGAGCTCGCTCGTGATTTTGCGCTCTCACCCGTCGACTGAGCCGTTTTGTCGCTGATGCTGGACGCTGGCGAGCCTCTCCCTTCCTTCTCTTTTGCAGCAGCTTGCTCCGTGGCGGCTTTTTCGGCAGCTGCTTTCTGATCCTCTTCCGCCTTCTTGCGCTGTGCCTCGCGCATGGACTCGATGTCGGCCCATAGCTTGTTATAAGCCGTTGATACCTTCTTCTGGCCCTCGGAGAGATGCTTGTTCACCGTTTCTTTGCTGCGTGCCAACCGCTCATCCAGATGTAGTGATTCAACTTGTGCATTGAATCTCCGTTGAACATCTTCGATGGTCAACCCACCGCTACATGGATGTTCGGGAGCGACAATGTCAAAGAGGTGGCCATCAGTAAACTTGTTGAAGATGCGGAAGTTCTCTGTCTTCATCCAAGCATTGATAAACTCGTTGCCGAACTCGGCTGCGGGGTCGCCCTCAATTTCGTTGAAAACGGGGCTCTTTGGGTTCTCCTTCTGCGCCTCTTGATAAAGGCGGTATTTTGCAGAAGCAAGTAATGCAAGTAAATACTCTTCAAACTGCAGACGGATCGATTCTTCGCTGCCAGCATAACCAAGAGTAATGGGGCGTTCGGGGTTTTTCTCGTCCCATGTATCGTTGACTTGCTGTGTCAGGAAATCAATCCATCGGCGATCGGGTGTGGTCAATCCAAGTGAATTTCGCAGAGGGATAGAAGATATACTGAGGGTATTATCATCAAGCTAAGAAGTAGTCAGCTTAGCTGCGACTCCATCGAGAGCAGCGCGAACGGATAGATGTGCCTACATTGATTAAGATATCGCTGTAACGGTCTTTCTGCTGCAAAAGCAAAGAATTCGTAGAACCGACTATGTACGATTTTGTCTCGCGATCAGCCAGCATGTCAAGCTGTTGCAATGGCGTGTAAGGCCCAAAGAGACTGCCCTAGCCATAGTCAGCATTCAGTTTTATTCAAAAAGCCGCGAATGTGTCTTCAACCTTTCCAAACAACTGAAGTGGCAAACCCATGTATGCAAGCAGGGATGCGCGCTCGCTTGTCTTCAGAGACGTTGGCATCTTCATGTTTTCCTCGTAAGAATTGAATTGGGGATCGGCAGTGTCCTGGAGTTTGCGAATCAAACCGGGTATTAACGATATTAAGGAAAACTGTAGCAAGCACAAGCGCTCGCATTGCGAACCGAAGAAAAGCATCTAGGATGGTCAGCCCGTTGCATCTACTCAGGAGGCCAGATGAACTTACTTTGGGCTGCAACAAGCACGCCTTGAAAAGGACCAGAGTCTGGTACTTAAACTCATGTATGAGCTCGCGCAGCGAGAGTCCAAAGTATTGATCCCGCTCATGTTCTCGGTCTGCGAACGTCTTGCCCAAGCTTTCCTGAAACCGCTGAAGAATATCGAGATCGGTGAAGTCGCACTGGGCGAACCACGCCTTGGTGACGACAGAGAGCTTCTCCCGCAAATGCGCGAAATGTTGCGGACTGTCTGATATGACTACAACGGCTTTCTGGACGGTTGATCGGGTAACATCGGGGGGCCGGTTTAGAAGGCTGTTGGCGTCGAGCTGTCGCGTGCAGGAGATGCCGAAGAGAGAGGTAGCGGGGGCGTCGGGAGTGGATTCATGGCGCAAGGTGAAGTAAGAGAAGTCTTCGGTCGCTCTACAACGTGGTTAGAGGCTGCGGGGATCGCACGGAGGAGGCGCGGGGAGACGAACGTATGAGCGCCGTCTGACAGGGCCTGGAAGGGCAGCAAGGGCCAGTCATTTTCCACGGCGGGGTCGGAGTCCTCGGGGACGCCAATCCATTTCTCAACCTCAGGACCCCTATGGTTGGGCGCGTTAGCTGCGGCTCCGGACAAGCGCAACGGACGGCAGGTGGACGGACCTTGCGTGGTGGAAGTCGACGATGCAGACTATCGGCGGAAAAGGGGGATGTGTCGCCATGTTCAAGGCATGCTCTGCCAGCGCTCAGCGTGTCAATCGCAGGCGTCCGGCATGATATGAATGAAATAAACGTTGCGGAGCGGGGAGATTGTTTAGCACGGCGCGCGTTGCACGGGGATTGATCTCGAGGACAGCCTTACTTACCGCCCGCCTGCCGCTAACCGCCAAAGGCAGGACCCCTGCGCCGATCTGCGAGTCCGCTCTATCCTTTCCTCAACCCCATCCACGCTTAGCCGCCGGCTGACCCTATGCCTTGCAGACATTATCGTGACTGACACCTGCCATTGGTCAGCCGACGAGATATTGTATCATGCTGCCAATTTCTTTTGTCGTTACACCAGCGCACTGCGACCCGATCTCTCTGAAACCCATCCAACGAAAACCCCGGAGCGTGCCCGAAGGACCGTGTCAAAGCCATAAAAGGCAACTGGTGTCTGAAAAAGCTTGGAAAAGGCACATATACAAGCCAGTTCATTTATCAATGCTAACTCAACTACCAATGTATCCCTTCCGCTTGCTCAACAAGAAATTTACAGCGTTTACACTTAACCTACATACAGGTCTACAAGAAAACAAACAGCCACAAACCTCAGCGCTCCGAAAACACCTTTAAAAAAAATACCCTATCATCCGTCTACTCACCCCCCTTCTTTTTGTAGTCCACTCTAATCTGAACGTCGGAAAAGGAGATCTACACGTTTTGTACACGGTACACACTGCTGCCACCTGTCGCAGCTTGTGCCCGGAATGCTTCGTTCGGTCGTCAATCCATCTCATCTCTCAAGAACTCATCCTGCAAGTCATCCTCCACATACGGCATCTCCTCCAGAGCAGCGATGGTCATTGGCGCTCTTAGCCGTAGCAGACCCTCGCTCAAAATCTCGCCATCAGAGCTCCTAGCGCGGCCCAGCGCATCCCGCTTGCGCACCCATTTCATGGCCGCCGCCAGCATGACCATGGTTCTGTAGGCGGGAGCGACCTCGCCCCTCGGTGTCTTGTTAGGCCGGACATCCATGTAGTCCCAGCCGCGAGTGCGTTGGTAGCGACGCCTAAGAAGGTAATTTGTCCTCCAGCCGTGCCAGTTCGGCATCAGCCGCGCCTCGCAAATATCAAAGGAGGAACCGATACGTCCGCTACGCGCAAGAATTTGCACATACAGATTCATGGTGTGGTTGTCGAAAGTGTAACCATGACCGAGCAGCGATGTTGTCGTGGAGATGAGGTCTGAGTATCTGCCTTGAGCGTGCAGAGCACTGATGTAGATCGCCATTGGACGAGAAAGGATGTGGCGCCTTGAAGGCGCCATCTCGCCATCCCTGAGCGTCTCGGCAGTCTCGTCGGTCTCGGGATCCTTGGCAGACAAACTGCTCGCCTCGGTGGCGTTGACGGGAGCATGCAGAGAGATTGTGTACGACGCTTGACTGAGAGCGAGGTTCCAACATTCCTGAAGCTCTTCATACTTGCCATTGCGAAGGTGAGTGTGCATCAACGCCGTCAGCATGCGCATAGGTGGCTGAATGTCTGGATCGCCTCTCTTGTCCCTTTGCCTCTGCATATACTCCTCAAACATGCGCTTGACGTAATCATAACTTCCTCGACTGCCATAAGCCATAATGACAAAGGCGAGGTAAGACTCGTTAGCTTGGAAGATGGAAGTCAATCCCAAACCCGTCTGCGGCTCACTAGCCAGTTCCCATGGGTCGTTATTCTGCAACGTAGCCGCCAACAAGCGTTCCGTACGCTCAAGCAATGCCGTTCGATCCATACCCTTGTCGGCCTGCATTTGCATTTCGGCCAATGTACTAGCCTTAATCGCAGCGATGCGAGTGCTCATGGTGCTGCGAACACCCTCTTTGCGTCGATGATCATCCACATACCACACATTCCTGTAGTTGCGCTGATTGATGAATCCAGCCATAACAATGGCATAGTGTAGGGCAAGACGCTTGATTCGCTTTTGCGGGAGAACGATACGGAGAAGCTTGTAAGCGGCGTCGGTTTGGTGGACAAGTGCAAGGGCTTGCATCAAAGCAGCATACGTAAATGCGTCAGTTTGAATGTCATGCTCTTGCATATGATCGAATATCCGACGCGCCGCAATGACATCCCTTTGCAGAGCATGGGCCGTTAAGAGGTTGTTGAAAACGGGAGTGAGAGAACCGGTTAGATGGCCATCCTCTTTTCGCTTTCGTAGCTCTTCGGCCAAGGTTTCTGCGGATGGAATATCGTCATTTTGGATATGAGCGGATACCACGTAACCAACAACTTCAGCAGCTCGCAGAATTGACGCGTCAATTTCCGAAGCCAGCACGAGCATCTCTTTAACGCCTTCGACATCACCCCTCTGCGCCATCAGGTTCAAGACTGCAGAGAAGCTGTAAGCATCTGGCTGAACACCGGACCACACCATTTCGTCGAAGCGCTTGCAGGCGCCTTCGAGATCATCCTGCTTCATGTGTGCAAGCAAGAGAAGGTTCCAACAACCAACATCCGGCTGCAGGCCAAACTCTTGCGTGATGCGGCTGAAGTGTTGAAGGGTTTTGTCCACATCTCCACGTCTAGCGTGCACTTCAAGCAAGGGTCGAAAGATGTCGACGCTGTTAACACCATCTGCGACTCTGAGAAGATCGTTGAAGTAATTCTCGACTTTGGCAACGTCTCCCTTGCGCGAATAGAAAGTCATGAGCACCCTCACAGCCGCAAAGTTGAGATCGCCAAGCAACCGATGCCAGTCACTGATGACTTGGCCCAACCTCAGGCGTGTGCCCTTGGACGATCGAGGATACTTTGTCAAAGCCAAAAGCATGGAATAGAGTGGACTCTGACTGGCTTCGACAGACCCCGACTTTGCCGCCGAGATGTACATTTGATAAATCCTGCGGACAAGTTCGGGAACTTCATCGGACTGCATGATCTTTTGTCCGGCCATCCCCTTGATGGCGTACTCAAAATGCCGAGACCGCAGAAGACCCTCGAATTTGAGCCTCAAGATACAGCGCCATAGCTGCAATTGGTCGGAAGGAGAAGAAATGCGAGAGGCCGACTGCCGTATTGCTTGATCAGCGAAGTCGACTATGAAATGGCCCATCAGGCGTTCACTGTCATTTGCTGACTGCGAGCGACGCCTCAATCTTCTTGCATAGATCAAAAGAGCATCAAGAAAGCGCAAGAGGTCTATTTTCTTTTGTGCAATCGTCCAATACCGGATGAAGACTCCCGAAACAGCGTTGGCCGCGCGATAAGCTTCGGCTGCTAGTTGCCATTGTTCTTTATTGATGGCATAGGCGAGTAACTCAGCAGTGCCAAAGTCGCCGGTGTTCAGCTTCTTAACCTCAATTGCTTGTTTGTGAACAAGCGCAGCCTTTCCAAGATCTCCATTGTTAAGGTGCGCCATGATCGCGCATTTGTAAGATGAGGCACGTCTGTTCTCCAAAGGCAAGAGTTCGTAAAGTTGCAGAGCTCTATCAGCCTGCACCGCAGTGAAAGGTCGGATGCTACCCAGGAATTGCAGCACGTCCGCAGAAATCTCAGGGGTGCGGCTCTCCGCATCCAAGCTCCGGTAAATTTTCCAAACAAGTCTGTGGTCGGCCTCATCGGCGCTGAGCATTTCTTGGAGCTCTTCTGGTGTGCTGGCGATTTCGGTGTCTTCTTCTAACGCGTCTGAAGTGGCCTCTGAGTCCTGAAAGGCTGCCTTGTTAGGAGCTTTGCCGGGTAAAGGCATAGGTGATGTCTCGTCCGCGAGGGATGGATCCGCATCAAACGCATCGAGGCCGTCCTCACCAATTGAGTCATGATCATATCCTCCCTCGCCGGCCACCGGTGGCGGAAAGGGGCCATTCTCACTTTCATCTGAATCTTGGACGTTGCCGTCATTTCCGGCGCCGTCAACTCCCGGAGTATTGCCCTTCTTTCGTCTCACAATGGCTGTTGAAGAAAATTGTCGCACCCGCACCCCGTTTGAAGCCCGTGTGTGCCTGAGCCGCAAGCTTTCCCACCCATAGGTTGTAATCCGCCTCATCAATGCCAGTGTCTTTGCCGGGTACAGAAAATCCAGGAAGAGCGCATCGTGAGACGCGTGGTGCTGAACCCCCCCACCTCTACCATCCGTCTCTTGGCCCGCTGCCGTGGTGGGTTGAAGAACGGTCGCCCACCACGCAGGCAAATCCAAATCAACTGCTCCGTGATGCCAGAAGGAGGAATGGAGCATCCGCCGGCTTCGGAAACATCGCTTGCGACCGCGCAGAAGGCGACTTCCTCCGGATTCGAAACATGACGTTGCCCGCTCCAGCATACCCTGGAGAGCTATCTTGACGAGTGGCTACCGAAGCTGAGTTGGTGTTCGCGAGGCTAGATGGAGCACTGGCGTCAGCTACGGAAGACCTGGCAAGCATGCGCAAGTGGACATACAGCGCTGCATTACGCTCTAAAGAAAGACACGAGCAAGAAAGAAAAAGGCCAGAGCTCCAGGACCAATGCCACAACTCCAGGGACAGTGCTTTCACTGATGACGGGTGGCGAAGAGCTGTGGCGTGGGTGTTTTCCTAGCTCGCGGGCCAACCTCGAATCTATGATCGAACGAGAAGACGCGAGGAAATCTGCCCGGCAAAAGCTCGGGACAACACCACCGCGCTCCGCAGCCGCAAGCGCCGCATCACGTGCGGCTCAAAACCCCGCGACGTAATCCGTATCGTGTCGCGCTTGCCGTTGAGCTTCCATCACAGCACCCACCTGGCGGCTATGGACATTACAAGCTTCGTCGTCGGTCAGCGCGACAGCGCCCTGCTGCTGGGCGACTACAACACCTATCGCCAGCAGCTGTCTCGCCGCTTGCTCACCCTCCGCAAACGCCTGGGTCGCACCACGCCGAAAAACGCCAAGTACTCCCCGAAGGCACCCATCACTGCTGAAGACATTGCCGGGAGCCACGAGTACGTCTGCCCCTGCCAATGCCTAAGCTATCTGCTTTAACACGTCGCCGTAGTTATGTCCACCTCCAGATCCTTACCAGTGAGCGTGCCTGGGCCCATGCCATGCACATGAAGTCCACCCATTCCGAAGAAAATGCCGACAACGGCATCACTGGTTCGACGCGCAAGCACATTATCTCCCGTCTACACAAGGCTGCCACCACGGCCAACGAACTTGTTTCTTTGCTATCGGACCAGACAGTAACTGGAGCGACCGATGTCGATCTGTTGGAAGCGCAGGCCTATGTCTATTCCCTGAGTGGCGCCGAAGAATTCGAGAAACAGGCTGAAGGTATCAGGCCCGGCGAGGGACAGGAACAAAGATGGAAATCTTGCCTGGTCCATTATTCCGCGGCGCGTATCATCTACAATGCTCTACTGCAATCCACGAAGAAGGATCTGTTCAAGGAGATCCTGGCCAGCACCATTGATCCCAGTATCCGCTACGCCGCATACCAATCACGCCTACCTCGCACCTTGGCCGTTTCTGTCGTAGCTCGTCAATACTTTCCTCGCGACAACTCCGCTCTAGCATCCGCTGTTGAGAAGCAGTTCCCCGATGCTCTTAAAGATGAAGCGTCCGCTACAGGTTTGTATTCCTTTTCTTAGCATGTGGCATTTCTTCTGATAAATCGCATAGGCAAGGGCCCCGAATCGACCGAGAAGGTCCCAAATACGATTAGCTGGCGCGGACGCAGCGCGAACATTGTCGACGCTGCTGTTGGGCAAGCGCTCGCCTCCGTGACCGCAGCGGAAGGCCGCCTAGCCGAATACCTAGCCTCTAACACCGATAGCACATCCCGCGACAAAGCAGCGGCCTATGACGATGTTCTTATCGCCAGTCAAGACGCCACTGACTCGACGCGCCATGCCATTGAGGAACTGGAGAAGGAGGGCGTGAATGAGGGGGATTCTCGAATGCAGGACCTGCGTGTCACAAGCCTGGCAATCAATTACGCGCTGATTGGCTGGCGTGTTGGCCGGAACCGTGTCCTTATTGGGAGCGAAGATGGCTTGAAACTTGATGCGGCGAAAATTAAAAAACCTCGCGCGAGAAGAGATGGCAAGGAATGGGTTGAAAAGGAAGAGGGCAACGGACGAAAGCTGGCCAGACTAAGGGAACGTGTCGTACTTTACGACTCGATCCTCCAGAGCATCGATTCGGTGAAGGATTTAAGAGGTGCAATGAGGGATGCCGGCTTTATTGAAGAACTTGATGGGAAGCGGGCATATTTCCAAGCTTTGAAGTATGCGCACATGCACAAAGATATCAACGAATTTTTGCTAACAACCTATCCAGGTGCCTCAACATAGCGTACTCCCACGCCTTGCTCTCTAATTCTAAGAACGCTCTCGCCCTTTTCGCTCGGGCTTTGGATTTGTCGTCGAAAGCCCTTTCCACCGCAGCAGCATCAGAGCCGACCTCATCAGGACCGCCCAAGCTCGACGTCAGCCCTGAGGCCGCAGAGTCGGTCCACAACCATTTGCAAGGTCTCACGTCGCAGTTCCGCGGGTTGGTCGAATTGCAAAAGTCATCGTTGGCCCACAGCACCGCCAATGCAAAGGATGCGATGAACTTAACCCCTATTGTGGAATGCTTGAACGAATATCCCGTAGGCGGAGTCAATCTGGATAAGCTGATTCAATGGCCACCCAGGCTGCAGCCCGTGCCTGTCAAACCACTTTTCTTGGACGTGGCTTGGAACTACATAAGATATCCTGGACAGGAGGAAGAAGAAGCCGTGACCCAAGTTTCTGAACAGAACGGCGGCGAGGATGTAGAAGAACAACCCAAGAAGCGGGGTTGGTTCGGGTTTGGTCGATGAGCAATAACGCCTGGAACGAAGAATGACTGCTGGTGTTAGTAAGAATAGAGGTCCGCCGTTCTTGTCCATTTCCCCATCTCTAATGAGACGGTGTCCTTGCATTTGTATGTTGGTTAACAGCAGAGGACTCCGGGTAGGTTTTGAACGATGACATTAGTTGCAACTACGATCTCCGGGTCGGTCCATAGTCGACAAAAGATTTGACACCACAACTCTTTCTATGAAAATGCAGTTGACAAATTTGCTGGTTCGAACAGTCCGTAGCCTTCTTACATCACGTGCATAACACTGATAAGCTTCGAAAAGAGGGGGCGTCTTTATCCGCGTTAGGCAGCATTGGGACATTTCCGATTCGCAGCACACCATACCACGTCCACGCGCTTATCTTGACTCCTCCCATATAAAGCGAGGTCTCAACGTCGCACGCCATAAATCACATTTGCACATACTTACATTTGTTCGTGAATTCGATACACCTTCGATGGTCAAATTCTGTAAATCGGATGGCTCTTTCGGGCCTGCTGCCGGGGCATGCCGTGGAGGCTTTGACCTCACGTTGACATTCGAAGAAAGCATGCTTGGGCTGCTACCCCAGATTCTCCTCGTCCTGCTGGCTCCAGTGCGGCTTGTGACGCTGAGACGACGAAAAATCAGAGTAGCCAAGACTTCGTACTTGGGTTTCCTTAAGTTGGTATGGCAATGCAAATATATCATCTGAAACTACTAAATTTAACTTGGTGCTTCCATTAGGTCACCACTACGCTGTATGCCGCTTCCAGTGTCCTGCTGTTCGTCCTGTGGGTCCAGTTGGAGGGCTACAAGACTAAGACATCATTGGTATCCGCGTCGTTCGAATTGATATCCTCTCTCTTTATTTTTCTGCTTTCGCGCTTTGAACATACGCGTGCCTTGCGTCCCAGTCATTTGTTACAAATATTTCTTCTTATTTTGTTCCTTTGCAATGCCATCAGGTTACGTACTCTCTTCCTCATGGGGTACAGCTCGCCCCTTGTCGTCTCGGCGTCAGTGCATACCGGTTTGACTGGAGCCTTACTATTACTGGAGTCTTTGAGCAAACGGAACTTGTTATTAGATAAGGGCCGGAGACTTTCCCCAGAGGATACTATTGGCCTCTTTGGCCAGAAGCTCTTCTGGTATCTCAACGATCTCTTCAAGCGAGGTTTGTCGGTTCGATTAGACAAGTATGGGTACATACTGCTTATGAACTGACTCTAACAACAGGCTACCGGCAGATTTTGAAGCCTCGGGATCTCCACACGATCGAGGAAGAGCTTGTCTCAGAGACTTTGCGCGAAACATTCATGAATGCCTGGACAATTATTCCAAATAAGAACAAAAAGCATGCCCTTGCCGGAGTCGTAACATCAGTCTTGAAAAGAGATCTTTTATTCCCTGTATTACCGAGGTCAGGCCTATTTCGTTTTCAGTATGCCTTTTAAAATGCTAATTTTCTATTCCAGACTCCTCTCTATGGGCACGACCTTGGCTCAGCCATTCCTCATCTCGGCCATGGTTAGCTATGTGCAAAAGCCCACGAACAGCAACACGAAAAACGAAGGCTATGGCCTTATTGCTGCATTCGCTCTCGATTACATAGGCCTTGCTATCTTCTCGTCATGGTACACACAGAACGTGGCTCGCTTTTCCGTGAAGCTCCGAGGTGTGCTCGTCTCCACAATATACGAGAAATCACTGCATATATCATCACAAGCAGTCAATCTTGACTCAGCCACCGTTCTAATGAATGTTGATGTTGAGAAGGTCGTGGAAGGGGTCAAAAACATGCACGAATTTTGGGCCACGATTATCAATTCCGGAATTGGCTTATACATCCTTTACACCCATTTGGGTTCTGTCTTCGTTGCACCACTGGTCGTCTTTGTCCTTTCGACTATCCTCTCTTCGGGTGCCGGCGGAGAAGTTGGAAAGCGACAGATCAGTTGGGTAGCGGCAACTGAGAAACGCGTTACGAACATCGCGTATGCTGTTGCTTCTATGAAGGGCATCCGTATGCTTGGCTTGACTGAAGTTGTCCATCACAAACTTTCTTCTTTAAGATACGACGAAGTTGTTGCACAGCGGTAAGACACAACCTCCTAAGCCATTTATGAATGCTCCAGTGCTCATGCGGCTCACAGATATATTCTGAAACTTTTAGCCCGCGTCTTCATCATCTGTAAGTACTAGACCTATCATTAACTCGGACTTGATCGCTCATATCTCCAGCAAATGTCCTGTTCCAGATAACACTATTTGTGTCCTATATCATCTTTGCCGCAATCGCACTGTCCAAAAAGAAACAGTTCGACTTCGAAGTTCTATTCACCTCGCTTTCTGCATTGAAACTCGTTACATCACCAATGCTTCTGGCTTTACAAAGCATCCCTCAGGCTCAGAGTGCAGTTGCCTCGCTAGAGCGCATTCAAGTATACCTGACTACAAAAGAGCATACACATCCCACCGGGCATGGTGATGCGTTGACCCCCTCTCAAGATGGTATAGAGCTTGAATCTATTTCCCTCGTCGACAAGCCTACGTCGGAGGTCCCGGCGCCTTTGGAAATACGCAATGGCGCTTTTGAAACTCAACAAGGCCAAACATTGCTGCAAGATATTGATTTAAGAATAATGAAAGGGACGCTCACTTTGATTATTGGCAAGGTTGCTTCTGGAAAATCAGTTCTTCTACAATCTCTAGTCGGCGAAGTCAACATAAGCCGTGGTCAGCTCATCACACCAAAAACCGGCATGTCATTCTGTGCACAAGCTTCTTGGCTCCGAAACGCGACATTACGAGACAATATCTTAGGAGAAAGCCCATTCGAACAACACTGGTACGACAATGTTTCTTGGGCATGCGGGCTCCAGCACGACTTCAGAGAGCAAAAGTGGGGAGACCTTACGAAGGTTGGGTCACGCGGGATATCACTGAGCGGCGGCCAGAAGAACAGGATCTCCCTCGCACGCGCACTTTATGCACGGAAGCCTATATTGATTATCGACGACATTTTGTCGGGTCTGGACAATACGACGGAGAACTTGGTCTTTACTCGAGTCTTTGGAAAAGATGGCTTGCTCCGCAAAGCTGGTTGCACCATAATCCTCGCTACGCATTCTGCCCACTTCGCTCCGCAAGCAGATCGGTTGATTGTTTTGTCTGCGGGACGCATTGTCGGCGATGGGAGCTATAACCAGCTTGCGGCTAAACAAGGATTCCTCGAAGAACACAGTCTTCATGAAAAGAGCTTAAGTGCTTCGCCTGATGATGTCGGTAAAGAGAGCAACTTTGGTAAACATGATGATGCCGAAATGACTATGGCAAATGTAGCGCCTGTTGAGGAAGAAGAGGAAGAGGATAGACGAACCGGAGACATGCGTACTCTGATATACTATCTTGGTGCTATAGGCAAGAAACATATCACAATTTACACGGTACTCACCGTTCTTTCGACCATTGCTACGACAGGACAATGTAAGTAACACCGCTCCAGCAGCTCAAATGTTACTAAAACACAATTCAGATGTATATTTGCAGGAACTGGCTAAAGCCAGCAATACGGCGGCTTCTTTGAAGAGAGGCATGATAGTGTTCACCATCCTTACTGTCATCGATGTTGCAGTGATCTCGGTTTGGCTTGGGTAACCCCCCACACCATCCCTTCTTATGACCGAGTTAACTTTCGACAGCCATTTTACACTCTTCTTCATTAAACGTTCAAGCCTCTCCCTACATGCCAAGCAGCTCGTTTCCCTCGTCCACGCCCGTTTTTCCTACCTCACTGCTACCGACATCGGCAATATCACAAATATTTTCTCCCAGGATATTGTTCTCGTCGACCGACAACTTGTCTTTGCCTGGCTCAACACGACAGCCTCGATTATCGAACAAACTGCCCTTTTTGCTATCACTATCGCTGCTACGCCCCCAATCGCTGCCCTTATCCCATTCCTTGGATTGGTGTCTTACATCATCCAGCGCGTGTATCTGCGCACAAGCAGACAAATAAGGCTAATGGACCTGGAAGCGAAAGCGCCACTGTGTACAAACTTTTTGGAAACGCTGGCTGGTATCATAACTATCCGTGCAATGGGATGGAATGATGCCTACAGGGCCAGGAACAAGAAGCTGCTTGATGAAAGCCAGGTTCCGTTCTACCTTTTAAACGCCATCCAGAACTGGCTAAAGCTAGTGTTGGAGTTAATGGTGGCAGGATTGGTCGTTGTGCTTGTGGGATTGGCAGTTGCGATAAGGGACAAGATCGATGCTGGTTACCTCGGTCTCGCACTTGTCGGTGCGGTATGCGTGTTTCCAGTTCAACATTCTACAGGCTCCTCAAAAGTTTCATCTGCTGACTCTTCTTTTTAAGATGGACCTTGGTGTCGCCGTCCGCATCCTCGTCACCTCCTGGACAGATCTCGAGACCGCCCTCAGTGCCGTCGCCAGAATCCGTCGTTTTGCGACCAACACACCGCTGGAAGAGCAAGGCCTCCCGCCTCAGCCCGTTGACCAAGCATGGCCAGCTAATGGGTCCCTCGAATTCCGCGACCTCGCAGCCGCCTATTCTGAGGCCGGCACACCAGTCATCAGAAATATCAACCTGTCCATCGCACCCGGCGAAAAAGTCGGCATTTGCGGTCGCACAGGCAGTGGCAAGTCGAGCCTAGTCGCAGCGCTGTTCGGCCTGCTGCACCGCACAGACGGCCAAATTTGTATCAATGGCGTGCCGACAGACGCCGTGCTTCTGTCAGTTTTGAGATCCAAGATCGTGGCGCTGCCACAGGAGCCATTCTTTTTACAGAGCAGCAGCGTACGCGCGAACTTAGTGCCGTGGCAGATGCCGGGTGTAGTTGATGAGAGGGAGACGCACGTCACTGATGAGAGCATGGTGCTGGCGTTGGAGAAAGTCGGGCTGTGGGGTAAGTTTGTAGAGGCGGCAGGGGCGGAGGGAAATGTCTTGGATATGAGGCTGGATAGTATCGATGCGCTGCTGAGCCAAGGGGAGAAACAGCTGTTTTGTCTGGCGAGAGCGACATTGCAGACGGGGAAAATTGTAGTGCTGGATGAGGCGACCAGTAGGTAAGTGACTGGTGTTCCTTTCTTTCCAATAAAGCTCTGTCTATGTGTCATTTCTACCCTCTTCCCTCTCAGTCTCTCTCTCTCTCCTTTATCCCGAAGCTTTCATATGCCCAAACAACTGACTCTCATCCCACTTACAGTGTCGATCCAGCAACCGACACGCTCATGCAAAAAATTCTCCGAGAAGCATTTGCAGATCGCACTGTTATTGCCATCGCTCATCGTTTACACACAATCCTCGATTTTGACCGCGTTATAGTTATGGACCGCGGCGTTGTGGCTGAGGCTGGCGAGCCAGGTATACTTATGAAACAGGAGGGAAGCATGTTCAAAGCACTGGTGGAGGGGTAAGGTAGAGTGTAAGACGAACATGACAGGGAACGCTAGGGAGTTCTTCAACTTATTATCGGACAGGTGGGAGTGGCTTTCTTTCTTTTTAAATGTGCCGGGAATGGCACTTTTGACTTCCTATTCATTACATCCCTTTATTCCTTTACACTTTTTCCTACAGTTCCCCTTTTTTGTTTGACGTTATTCTAGTTATAAGTAAAATATTCAGTGTATTTTCCATCACAATAACGCTTGTTGAACAGCATCAGTGGTTTAGTGGTAAAATCCATCGTTGCCATCGATGGGCCCCGCGTTCGATTCGCGGCTGATGCAAAGCAATACGGCATCCTTCTTCATTACTGTCATACGACTGCAAGTGAAGGGTGAGCACTTTTTTATCTTTTTGTCATGAGCACGGACCTGGGCGAAGGGGGCGGGCCCCTTTTGAGATCCGTGACATTCACTGCGAACGTCTAGAACGTGCGAACGGCCTAGAATTCTGCTGCAGCTGAGAAAAATCTTAGTGCTCGGAATGTGTCACTTCTGTTTTATAAAACTCCCAAAGATGTAGTAAGGGGGATTTACCTGCGAAGAGCGTTGGAGCAAGCTGCTGAAGTTCTGCTGTAGTCAGACCCGGAAACCCGGTTTTTATTTTTCTTCCTATTAAACTCGAAATTGAGTAGGAGGTTTAATGCTCTGAATTTCCTGAGAAGCTATCACCAACACATGTTGAGTGAGCTCATCTTCGGCAGATTCATTAATACTGAGTTGGTACGGTTGGTCATAATCATTGATGTAAGTGCACATAATCGTATATCCGATTACTTCACATCCGAGTCAACATAAATCCGATCTAACATCCGACCCTACCTATGACTGCTACATCATATATATCCGAATGAAGGATTTCGAGATTGCATCACTAACAGATCTACTGATTCAAACTTACACATAGAATACCTTGCCAATTAATAAATATTTCTTGCAGTCGAACAGTTCATTTTATAGCTAAAATAGTCACGTGTGCCAAGATCCCCGCTGTAAAGGCTTTGGCGGGGGGCCAAACGGCCAAACCCCTTGCGTCAAACAAGCTTCAGTACAATACAGCCATATTGCCGCCATGGAAGGGAACAACTCGGCGGCTTCTTCCGGTGCGTTTAAGATGTTTCTATGGCCCATCCAAGGGGCCTTGGATCTGGTCGCATGTAACCGATTGCCGCGAACTTTTGATTGAGGATCTTGACTTCATCAGAGGTGACGTGTAATCAGATTGCTACTCAAGCGATATTTCGGTCACTTAATCAGTTATAGTTCGACCATATGAAAACTGACTAAGAACAGCAGCTCCCATCAAAAGACGGATACCCAAAGCATGCGAAGGTATTCCTTATTTTTAAGAACAATCCATATTGCCATTGGAACCTGACAATTCTTCAGAATGTCGTCGGAGAAAGCAGAAATGTAATGGTCTGACGCCATGCAACGTCTGCTCTAGACGCGGCACTGAATGCTTGTACCGAAACTTCTTCAGGCACAGAGCCTCTAAAGCTTCACACTCACCAAGACGTGGGAGGAAACGGACTGCTGAAGAGATAGAAGACGAGCAGGATGATGAAGAGAGCCATATGACGCGTCCAGAAACGGCTTCTACCGACACGAGAGAGATTGGAGATGATCCTTCAAATATGCCAATCTTCAACAACATCCGCGCTACTCACGCTCCACCAGAAATACCGGCCTGCGTGCTACAGCTTTACTATGGATCCTCGTCAAACTTCTCGTTCCTCCAGCATCTGCATAGTCACCTTTCCACGGAACGTCCTCAGGCTGGTCAGTCCGAGGGACAGAACGATGAAGTCCAGGACGGTGAAGCAGGGATCGACACTTACAAATATCGAGGAATTGTCTTTGATAATGTCTCCGATCCTCGTCAACCAGCTCCCTTGTTCCTCCGATACAGTCTCGCCAAAAGTTTTTTGGATAAATATCTCACAACCGTGCACTGTTTCATTCCCTGTCTCGATGCAGAACAGTTGACCGCCAACTTCGAGCAACTGTACGGCACAGCCAACCCCGGCCACGTCGGAATTGCCGAAAAAGCTCTCGTAGTAATTGCTATGGCCATGGGCGCCCGATCAACTGAACACGACTACTGGAGAAAGACGCTTCTCAAGCAAGCGCGTACTGAGGCGGAGCAGTTGCTTTACGTTGTCAACATGAAGGCTGTCCAAGTTTCTCTGCTTCTTGCTCACTGCGAGTTCGGGGCTGGGCATCCCAATGCCTCACATATTTGCCTTGGCAACGCGGTCACAAAGTCCCTGGCAGCGGGACTTCACCGAGAGGGAAGTGCTCCTCATCGAAGCAATAACACCCGCTCCGAGGCAAGCTCAACCATGTGGAATCTGTTTGTCCACGAAAGCATTAATTGTTTCGTACTTGGAAGACCTTATATGTTGTCCCGAGATGATATAGGAATCCCGGCCCCGGAAAGACCATCTGCGATGGGGGCTATTGTCCGGCTTTGCATGATCATCCGCCGCACGCATCAAATGTACAATCGCCACGACACTTCCATCAATGCTGGATTGAGGTCAGCGTATAGCATCCGCCATAGCCTCCTGAAATTCTCCGCGACTGTTAAGGAAGATTTGAATATCACAATTGGCGGGACACCCGATTATACGAATAGAGAGATTCTCTTGTGGCATGTCATTTACTCTTACTGTAAGTACCGCTGCACTGCATTTTTGCAAAGCTGACAGAATTCTAGTGTATTATTACACAATGCTTCTTGCTTTTCGACCGTTTCTTCTATTATATGTGCAGCTCAAAAAGCGAGCCGAGATGGAAAGAGATGAAGAAAGGCAGAAGTACTTTTCCAAGGAGTCTTTGCTTTTTGAAGCCGGCGAGTATTGCATTAGCGCAGCGAAATCAACAGTCCTGTTTGCAGAACTATTAATCTCCTCGGACATCAACCTACAGGTAACTTGCCAAGATAGATGAGCTTTTCATAGCACATACTAACGCGGAATAGGCCCTATGCAACCATGGATTCTTTTTGGAGACCGCATGCTTCGTCCTCGTGATGGCGGCAATCCATGACAAGCGCTCGTCGAACCAGCACATAGCATACATAAGCCGCGGGCTCGATACTCTCCGGAAACTGATCCAACGAGAGCCGATACGGAGCATTGTGTCGGCGCTCGAGCAGATGCTGCAAAAGGTCAAAGCGGCTGTGCCTCAAAAACCGCAAGTCACGGAATTGCCAGTGGCTCAGGAATCGCGCGAGGATGTGGTTCGCAATCAGCATCATCCAGAAGAATCTTGGATAGAGCTGCGGCAGCCATTTATGTCGCATAATCCACCTCCTGATTTTGAGGCTTCTGGAGAGCCAGTCACTGGTGCTGAGGATAATTCTCTCGATACGTCATGGCCAACGATAGATTGGGGACTGGATCTTTCCATGCTTGATCTAGAGTCATTTGTTTCTATTATAGGAAACCATGATAGCATTTACAACATTTCCTGATCGATGATCAGAACTTATGTCTAGCTGTTCAAATGATGAAACTTGGAGACCGTGATTAGTTAGCCAGCCCTATGTATAAAATGAAGCATAGGTGTTGAGCTGGAAGCAAATTTTTAAGCCAAGTAGATATTGGACCAATATACGATGCATAGGGTGCACATGGTGGTGTTATTGCCACTTTCACCTATGAACGGTATTCGTTATAAGAATTATGTGTGTAGCTTTAAATGTTTCTAGTTATGAAAATAAATTGTTACTACTAGACTTGAAACCGGCAAAACTAATAGTGTTAGATGTCATAAACGGTAGTATAATCAGTAAGTAGCATTTCTACAACAAAGAGGCGGTTTAAGTGCTGAAAAGATGTACTCTGACTGAGTTGCGCAATCTGATACTGAGAAAGCTTGTTTATGGATACTGATAAATATCTCTTTAGTTTTGAGCATATAAAGTGTACTGTTTTTTGAGGCCGTTGTGACTTTGGGGGCGAACATGAAATTCAGCTCGGAGTGCCAGTCTGCCTTGCTCCGGTCATCTGATCCAGTCATCAATATTGATTATACATGCGGCTAATTAGCATCGCCCTACAGCCGATCAGCAGAGCTGACATTGGGTACCATAAATGCAATTGGTTCGGTGATAGACGCATTGACAGGGCAGGCAGGGATCCACTTCCTCTACGGATCTGCCAGGCGAAGCATTTCGCCCCCCACGGCCTCAACACTTACGACCGCTATCGTTATTTTTGCATCAAACCTGGTTGGTTTTTCCACTGCCACAGCTATGTTGTAGTTGGTTATGCGTTGTGTTATCAGGACTACTATTCACTGTTCCCTGTTTCAGACTATACAACAAAATAGTCAGTGACTTCTTATTGGGACACCGTTAATAAATGCAAGAAAAAAAACCTTTTGCGAGTTAAGCGCTCGCGGTAGTGGGATTACTGCTGACTTTAAACCCGCGGCCCCCACACCAAAAAACTTAGGGGCGCCCTCTGATTTTAACGATGTTTTCTCACTTTTGTGGCCCCAAGCGAGTACAGTTCCTTCGTGTTGCGGCCTTGCGCGACCGCAACGGGGCCAAAGGCGCTCGTGGGTCTGAACATTCTAGCATAAGCCAGTTTAATTGCATTGGGGGCTGGTCGGGGTCATAACCGCCCTAGCACTGTTGGCTTCCCGTATCAGTCTCAAATAGCATTTTTGGTCAATGCTAGGCGGCATGACGAATGCATCTAGGGTTTGAGAAAACTTGGCGTTTCTAGAACAAAGATAAGGCGTTGTTCTTGACGAGCTTGCAGCTATTAGGTGTATAAGGAAGCTTGTTTAGTCCCCTATTGGCAAATGCTAAGTCGCTAGTGTCTACCTAATTAAGCGATGCTCGCAGATCAAAGCTTATCTACTATATTTACAAAGGAATGAGGCTCGGGTCTCCCACGTGCTGCGGTTTGAGTCAATTGATCTGAGGGGCGCAAGCTGGGACAGAATAGCAAAAGACTCGGTTCGAGGGTAATACGAATCCTCGGAGACCGTTTCTCGCCCCCGCCACGTGGAAGGATTGTCTTTAGTCGCTTAGACCACGTGGACCCCATGCGGGCCACAGGCAGCTACCGCGCCGCGGACCCAAGATCTCGCCATGCTCCAGTTTTACCCCGAAGCCTGGAGGAGCTGATACTAAATCAGGGATAAAGCGGCTGAAAACAGGCATAGGACTTTATTAATAACTTAATCTTCGTGCCGATATCTCTGGAACGTTGCGGCTGAAGCCTCACAGAGCAGAAAGCCTACCGAGCTGCGGAGTATCAAATTCAGAATGGGGCAGAGCCACTGTGGCAGAGAGGAAGTTTACCATAGCACCCAACAGTCTAACGTGAATCCTGATGGCCATAGGTGGGTAATGATGTCAATCGGTTGTGTCAGCCCGAGGTAAGAAAGCTGTTGGAGAACATTACACTGCTCAATGCGGGTCCTAAATCTAGAATCTTTCATTAACCGTCCCGGACTATCAGCGATAAATAGACTTTCGTCGCCCAATGGGACCCACCACATCTTAACACTCTCCCGTCCCAGCCTTATCCTCCGTCTTGACTTGCAGTCGATAGACGATGGGACCCGAAGACATCTTTGGTCTTCCTCCAGCTGGACTCGACCTCACCGAAAATGCTTCAGATGTCATTTGGGCCCCCATAATTGTCGTTATCGTCCTTACTGTCATCATCTTCGCACTACGCTTCGTAGCAAAGTACATCTCGAAGGACCCTTACATGAAGGCGGATGACTATTGGTTAATACTTGGCATGGTAAGTTTCTAAAGAAGTTTTAGCAACGTTTTTGGTGCTAACTAGCTTTAGATCATTAGTATAGGCTCTGCGTCCTGTGCTTTTGAATCTGGAAAGCATGGGAGTGGAAAGCACATTTGGGCCCTTAAGCCCGAAAACATCACCAGCCTTCTCAAGGTAAGTGTTTTTGTCTTGATCTAGATATAAATACTAAAATTTATTCGTAGATTATTTATGCCGACGGTCTGATATACAGTACGGCTGTAACGTGCACGAAGCTCTCGATCCTACTCTATTATCGACGCATATTTAACTTTAAATACGTCTACTACTTCGGCCTGTTTCTCATCATCAGCTACTGGGTCACAGTTATAATTGTCCTGAATGCTGGCTGCCGGCCCTTATCACTTATCTGGGAGCAATACACAAACCCACTGCTCCTGAAAACTGGCGTATGCATGGACCTACCTAGGTTCTATTGGCAGAATGCCATTTGGGCAATGGCGGTCGACATCGTCATCTTGCTCATGCCCATCTATCCGGTCTGGACATTGCACACGACAACAGCAAACAAACTAGCTGTATCTGGCATGCTTGCTCTGGGAGTCTTGTATGTATATCCTAAAAATCTTCTCCAAGGAAGAGAAGCTTACTCGTATGCTTTGGCAGTGTTATCGGAGCATGCGGTGCTCGAATCGAAGCCATGCATCACCTCATGACCGAACTCGACAAGTCCTGGTACCTATGCCCAGCCTTCGCGTGGACATGCGTCGAACCATTCGTCGGAATCATCAGCGCATGTCTTCCTACTCTCGGTCCTCTTGTCCAACAATCCCGAAGATCCACATGTCTGGGCCTCCGCAAGAAAAGCCCCACGGGGATCTCTTCCGCTACGGGAAGAGACATGCGAAAATATCAGAAGCAGGTTCCCAAGGACGAGCTATCTGTCGACTCGCCTTGCTCTTCCAATTTCCCTTATTCTCCTCGCTCGGTCCCGAAACATGTTCCAAAGGACGAGCTGTCTGGTTACTCGCCCTGCTCTTCAAACTCTCCTCGCTCGGTTCCAAATCACCTTCCAAAGGACGAACTTTCTACCTATTCTCCTCGCTCTTCAAAATTCCCTTACTCTCCTCGTTCTGTTCATTTTCCTTCTTCCCCGCGCTCTCCTAGTTTCTTTTACCCCCGTTCTCCTGGCTACCCTTATTCTCCTCGCTCTCCTAGCTTTCCTTACTCTCTCAACTCTCCCCGCTCTACTCCTTCTACTCCCTCTCTTTACGCTGAAGAACACGAGTTAAATGACGTCAACCGGCATGGCAGTAGAAATAGAATGAGAGAAGAGGAAGAAGAGGAGGAAGAGTTTGTTTGCGTGGATATCACGCACGAGCTGGGCCCCAACATGGTTTAGAGCGGCTTAGACTTACGTTTTCTTCTATATCCCCTTTTTTGCTTTCCTTGAATCAAGTATATATCCTATACGATTGCGATGCCATGGCAGGGAGTTGAGGGGTTACCGGAACAGGAACCAGTTTCTCCGCTAAGTGAGATGGAATTTGGAATTTTATACACACATACATAAATCCCCGAAAACCGTGTCGAGCATATCGTTGTGGCCAGATGTGATATACGTGGTAGATGCCTGTTACTATTGCACAGTGTGCGCATCCTGTGAACCGTGAGAGATCGTCTTGAACAAAGCTGCCACCACAGCGGGAGCAGCCGAGGGCATCGAAATCTCACCACAACCGCCGAGCGCATTAACTTACCGTAAAACTTCCCGAACATGTATATCAGCAGCAAGGACAAGAAAACCGTGCTTCTGAAACCACTCATTGTCCAGCCTTCTAGACCACAGTCCATCTAGCAAGGACCCTTGCGCATAAACACAGCACCTCCCAATCTCACGACCCCACAACTCCACCCCTCCCACGTGCCGGCGGCTCTCATGCCGCTCTCCGCGACACACCACATCAACAAGCAGGGCCTAAGTTTCAAATCAATGCCGGTACCACCACTACTGGTAAAGACCCACAGCCCACTACCAATCAAGTAGAAAATATGCAGGTATCAAAGATTACGACTATTGAAAAAAATATAAAATAAGTAGCGTTAAATGAATGGTACCAAGAGAAGAAATTCGTGGCGCGTCCGTCGTCATGATGATACAAACCGGAGGACGCCGTCGTTCATCGTAAGTGAATAAAAACAAAAAAAAAAAAAAAGGAAGAAGTAGGAAGAACAGAAGTAGAATGAAAAGCGGGAATCACGAAGCCGCCATCTCATCAGCCCAACTGCGGCTGCGCCTAAACGTCCCTCTTGCCAAGTCAAGCCTTTTGGAGCTTTTCCCGTCGTCGCCGGCGTCGCCGCTGTAGCTCGACACCATGTTCCACATAAACCGCCTCTCTCATGTCTCAAGCACAGCCCCTTAGGTGTAAATACTCTCCGTGTAAGCATTGACCTGCAGGCCCTTTTCAGCCATATTCGCGTCCTTCAAGAAATCAAGCGGCATCCAGACAAGATGTCCCTTGATCTCATCGAGCGCCTTCTTGATCTCCTCGATCGGACGATCCACGGCGTACAGATGGCCCTGCTTATGCTGCGTGTCTGTCTTGTTCGGGTCGGTGGACGGCAGGAAAGTGGCGTAGTCTTCGAATGTTTTAACTAGATAGCGAATCGTTAGCACTGGTCTTTGGCTGAAAGCATAGGAGTAAGGGAGAGGAGGGCCAATGCATACTGTTGTCGTCCGGGTCTGCGTGGAACAAGTCGCGGAAGATTTCTGTATTCTTCGTCGCCCGCCCTGTCCACATGTTCCACACGTCCTCATTAAGCGGGTCCTCCAGCCACTGGTATACTTCGTCCTTGACGGCGTCGTTCGGGCAATCGCCCGGGGGCTGAGCGTTGGGATCATCCGAAGCGTCGTACTGTTGGGCTTTAATAAGGCCGAGGTGCTCACGCCATAGCATGCGGCGCAATGTTGTGGCATGGTGTCCCGCCTGATGCGGCTGGCCATCCATAGTGGACTGCACTGTGTTGGTGTCTTCCATGACGATAGTGAGCTCCGAGTCGTGGTAGCCGAGTTGAGAGCGATCGTTGATGTTGGAGCTGCCGCACAGGGCGATCTTGTCGTCGACGATGCAGACTTTGCCGTGGATGTACAGTTCCTCCTGCACAAAGTTCTGCTTTTCCGAGTCGGGGTCGTCAGGGTCCCATCGCTCATCACTAACAGCACCTTCGCCCTCGAGCGCGTTTTGTGCGATTGAGTCTTTGCTGATGACGCCTGCCTTGCTTTGAGTTTTTTCCAGTCCGGCTTCTCTGCGCTTCGATTCGAAACGTCGCCTTTTATCCTGCAGTCTTTGCCGTTCCTCATCCCCCCCGTCCGAATCATATCCTCCCTCACTACTGCTGGAAGAGTCACCAGCCGCACCATGAACACCGCTGGACATGATCTCTTCGGCTTCCGCACGCTGAATGTCCTGGTAGGTGACGCCTGATGCCTCTTCTTGGCGTCTCATAGCAGGCGTCGTGTTAAGACGGTCATATGAACGGAGGTTAAACACAAAGATGTGATCATCCGGGTTGACGCCCTCCTTGCGGATCTGCTCCTTAATAGAGTGCTCGCCGCGGTTAATGGACTTGTACTGGTAATCCATAATAGCGCGAGTACCAGTGGCAGCAGCAGACCTGAGATCGCCAGCGAACCCAGGAATGGCGGGGATGACGATGATGACGCGGAACTTCCTCCCTTCTTTGCCAGCGCGGACACAGGCGTCGACAATGGCGCGGCCAATCTGATTGTGGATAGGAGATTGTGATTCGCCCGTAGAGGTGACTAGGATTGTTAGTATAGTTCGTTGTTACAGCAACGAGATTGAAACCTACTAAAAAACTGGTTCTCAATATAGACATAGTGCTGAGCATTTCTGATAATCTCGCAATATGCGTTCTGAATGCTGTGTTCCGTCAATATACCACTGCTCCAATCAGCGCTGCTCCTGACAATCTGAGCATGAACGCTTCCTTGGGTACCGTCCAGCGGTTTAGTGTCTAGCGGGCTTCGAGGATGCTGGATATACTCTCCAACCGGGTGCTTCGGGCGTTGCACTGCAACCAGGTCCTCATCGTCACCCAATCTCCCCTCCAGCATGAGCCAGTCATACCGCTGATCACGTTTGTACTTGTCTCGCTTGACCAAGTTCCAGCGAAGAATGAAATGCTCCGCAATGTCATAGACGCACGGTCCAATAACGCCCATAGCGACATCGTGCCATGGCATACGACCGTATTCGGCCTTGGAGAGCTCGTTCGACTTCCAATCCTCAACAGACTGGAAGTCCATGATACGGTTGTTGTTGAAGTCTTGGCCTGGGAAAACTTCGTCTCGTACACCTCCAGGGTGCACGTCGGCCATCAGGTGCTGTTTGTTGTCCCAACGACCAAAGCACAAATCCAACCCGCCAATGAACGCCATTGCGTAGTCGATTACAATAAACTTTTCATGGTGGGCCCAGTAAAAAGTCATATCTCCCATGTTCTCAAAAACATTGTGGTCCGGGTGCCGCATAACCCTAATATTGCCGTGCCCTGGGGAGCCGGGCGGGCACAATGCCGTCAGGGCGTGCTTGGTGTGGGCACTGTTACACGTAATCGCGGCCTGAACTTCTTTGTAGACGATGACGTAGATCTTTACGCCAGCTTCGGCGCGGCGTTTCAGCACCTGGTCCAGCCGCCATTCCTGGTTGTAGTAGGGGGGCCTGCGCAGGAATAGCTCAGGAGACAGCCACCAGTCGGCGATGTAGATGGTTTCCTTAGCTCTTTCCAGGGCCACGGATACAGCCCAGAAGTAGTCGCGGCCGTCGATATACCATTTGACGAGGTTGCCGTCGCGCTCGGGCGCAAAGCTTTCGAAACGGTGACTCTCGGCGATCGCGGTCCTCTTGGCATCGGTGCGCTTTTCATGCTCCTCGTCATGGCGGTGATTGGGGTTGATGAGGTTGTCGAGCTTGCCAATCTTGTGCTTGAGATGGTTCAGCTGGACCTTGGCTTCGTAGAGATGCGTGTCTCTGAGCTTTTCGCGAAGGTGCGGGAATGGATGCTTGATGTGCTCCTTGAGACCTTTGGGATTGTGCGACGCCTCCTCGTGCTGCTCCTGTTCGCGCTGGGCTTCGGTAGGGGTGGGAGCCATGGTGGGCGAGCGAATGGAGGCTGCACCAGCGACCAGGGAGGCGGGAAGGTTTAATATAGTTACGGACGCTGCCGAACAGCCGTGAGAGGCTGCACAAGCCTGCTACAATCCCTGCGAGATGGTTTGCGTCCGGTGGTGCTCCGCAACATCAAGGCAGGCGCGGGCACGCGGGGCTGACTGCCTCTGACGATCCGGCATGGAAGCGGATCCTCTTCACGACGTCATCACACATGCGCCGCTCACCTCACACTACCTAGTCTTGGCTCAATTCAATGTCTTAATTAATTTTTTTTTCAATCCTTGGTCCACCATCTCCCGTCGGGTATCATTCAGCTGAACTGGTCACCGTGGTCTGCCTCTCCAAGGCCGCGCCCGACCCGGTTAGTCCTGATCTTCCACCGCCTACGCCTCTCCTTCTCCTCAGCCTCTCTAGCTAGCCTCCTCGACTTTTTCCTCTCGTACACTGCCCGCACAGTCCGTTTGGTCTGTTCTTTGCCCTCTTCGAAATTTGCTCGTGCCAGATCCACCACTTTGTCAATGTTTTTCGGCGAGTAGACAAAATTCCATGTAGACATGAAATCTGACGTGCGCGGATCCACTCCCTTGACCTTGGGGTTCGCCAGAAAAGGGAAGTAGATAACAGCCACGCCGGCATCAGGCCTTGTGAGCTCCCAATCCTCCTCCACTCGCTTTCTGCCCGACGACAATTCTTCCTCCGTAATTCGTTCCTCGGTTGTCCCTATCCAGACGTTGCAATATCCTAGATCATCAGGCCTGCCCTTCGGATGGGGATGCTTCTTTTCATGCTCGGCTTGTGTGCTTTGGGCCTCTTCAAGCTTCTCAATTGCTTTGTCTTGATTGTGTGCTTGAGCAGCCTCCAAGTCCTCTGCAATCTCTTCTGTCGAAGCGTTTGCTGGTGGCCAACCAGCACCGACTGGCCAGCCTACGATGCCCCGCTGTTTCGTGTAACCTTCCGCGACCTTGAGCCAGTTATCTGTCCGAACGTCGGCGGAAGCATCAAATGCAATGACGATGTCAACATCTCGTCCCTCTCTGAGCAGCGGGTAAAGAGGAAGATTGTTGCTCATCCCCGCATCCATCAATTGCAGATTCGTCGTCTCGAACATGCTCTCCGGTGTTGAGTGAGGGAGTGCTCCGCGTAGACCAAGCGCATAGTTTGGGATTACAGCAGGGTCAATTGGATGCATTTTGACAAGATCGTGGTCGCGGTCGGCAATCATCTGGTCAATCCCTGCAAATCCCACAATACCCTGCACAACGGGTCTTATCTCTTTGTAATAATGGGATAATGTGGCGCAGAACGCACTGCCCCAGATTCCCATCAGCAGAGTGAGGCGCAGTTCCGGTAGGGCGAGGCCGTTATCCCTCCAACGACACTTGCCCTCTGAGAACTCGCGCCCAACAGCCCATGTGGGGATGCCAGCCCCAAGTTCTTCACACCACATTTCATACGGCGTGAACCTATTTCAATCAACTTCTGGTCACCGTATTGGGGTGTCGGGGTACCCACTCAAACCATTGGAACCACGCTTCATTGTGCTTGTGAGCCTCTGCGTCCCCCTCTGAGACAGCGGGTGGGATTTCATGTCGAACCGCTGTATAGATCGGCAAAGGATTGGCTCCGTTATCGACGTATAGACGTTGACTAGAGATCTTCAGGTCCTCGTCATTGACAGCAAGCTCGCCCTTGGGCACCAAAAGGCGCGAGGCAAGTAAAAGGCCGTAGATGTCGACAATCCCAAACTCAGCCCCTGGAACTCCTTTGTACTTCTCAACCACACCACTCAACAAATATTTGTTGGTAGGTGCACTGTTGAGCATCGCTAACGCCGGGGGAGGATAGGCAATGTGAACCCCCAGCCTGTTTTTGAGATGACTGATGAGCTTCTGGTGGCATTGACCGGTAAGACTTGAATAATACAAAGCTTGAAGCCAGCAACTTCCGCTAACCCCAGCTGTGTACGTGACACAGTCGAATAACCCAGCCTCTTGAGCTGAAAGGTATGAAGAGGATCCTGCAACTAGAGCACGAAGACCGCCGCCCGAGCCACACATGGCTATTGTAGGCACGTCATCCGGATGGATTTCGTTCTCGTCCATGCCTAGGTATTTTGCCAGCGCCCGACGAACATAAACTTTGCGCTTCTGCCGGAATTGTTTTTCTTCCTCGCACAGGTCGCCGGAAATGCGTACGCGCGCGTCCCAAACGATTTCTGGGTTGGTCTCCGGGTCGTTTGCGTCTTTCCATATCTCATCTGCCAATGTGCCTGGAGCTATCGAGAGCTCATTCTGAAGTTTTTTAATAAATCCGGGTAGTATTCGGATCCAGTCTGGGACGATATAACCGGCAATCGTGTCACCCAAATGCGTCACGGTATCGGGTAAGGAGGCTATCGCTGCTGCGATGCCTTGCCAGGAGGAATCTGCCTTGGCTTCCTTCTCCTGCCCATCGACGTGCATCTTGGTTTGCCGTGGCGGCGCTTGTTGTCCTGGCTTGCCTTCATCCTTTCTGAATTGTAGTTCGTAATCGCTACCACCTTTCCGCCTCTTCCCTATCTCTGGGGTTCCAGATGGCCAGTTGGCGGCATCTTTCGAACTGTCATTATGAAGGGTCCTGGTGGATACCCAGCCTTGGGCTGTCTTCGTATAGTAGCCGCAAGTCAAAAGGCCCCCAGCGGTGGTTGTGAGCAATAATGCGCCGGAAAGGCGATGCGACGTGCGCCAATTGCTAAGGAATCGAACATCTTGAAGTCGTCTTCCGCCTACTTTCCTTGACAGCTCTGTCAGTCAAAGACCCGCGCAAGCCTCGTGGTAGGCCTTACCTGCTGCCGTGAAACCAAGCTACGCTGTGCTTTGGCAGATCCGACAGCCGAGCCATGGATGTAAAGAAATGTATGAATAAATTTGCGGTAGTGTTATTGCATGCTCAATCGCGAGCGTTCGCATAGCCGTTGAAGGTGAGCGTTTTGTGGAAAAGAGCGACGGAGGTTGGCGGAAGGCGCAGGAGGTAGTTTTCTCCACCCACAGCGTGACGGAAGATCATACATATGTCATGATGCGATTGTTGAAAAACCGGGTGTCAGCCGGGTGGAATTGCCATGATTTGCCCACTTGCTCTGGGGGAGCTGACAGCCTTAGCGCCCGCAACTAAACTGGGTCCGGCTCCAGCTCTCTGCCGTCACCAAGCAGTTGCAGCTCCGCCCGTGGCCTCTCAGACCGTACGATGCACAAAGCGAGCCCCCGTTGATATTCCCTCCCGCCAGCAGCCAACTCCGCGAGCGTCTCCCGCGCCGGTGCCAGGTCCCTGTCATCGCCGCCCCCCCAGTTCTGGGCTCTCACGCCTCACACCGCCGTCCCGAAGTCATCCCTCGAATCGTCACCGCCGCCGACATCGCCGACACGATGGTAGCCCCGCGGAAGGCCGCGCTCGCGGAGGAGAGCGCGGAGGTGGAGGTGCTCTTCGCGAACATGGAGAAGCTGAAGACCTTGACCAAGAAAATCCAAGGCTCTCTTACCCGCATGGAAACGAGCGGCAAGAGCGTGGCAGAGGCTATCGGGCCTATATACGGAAACACGCAGAAACTCCAGACTATGAATAACAGTATGGGTCACTCGAGGGGGCGGGGCAAGGTGCGGGTCAAACGCTGACTTTCATGCAGATGTGGACAGAATCATAGAGGCGATTGATCGCATACGGGCGCCTCTCGATCAAAGGGGCAGCGAGGAGCGTGTCATCAACGCAGGGTACGTACGACAAGTAACGCGTAGGTTGGACTGCCGCTAACACCGTATAGTCCGAAGAAGGTTGGCTTGCCCGACTTTATTGCATCTCTGGACCGCACCACCCAAGCCCTTAGCGACCTGAAACACTCGAACCTCCGATCAAACCAACAGGCCATCGCCGAACTCAACTCTCTCCTGAAGAGAGGTACCAAGCAACTGGAAGATGTCTTCAAGGAGATATTAAGAGAGGATGCTCGTGCTGTAGAACCTCTCCATTACATTACCAAGCGTCCGTCAATCCCCAACAGCCGAGGTGCAATTGTGTTGACACAAAACAGAACTCCCGTTTCCCGCTTTACCAGAGGACAAGATATCTCGTCTTAGGACCATAAACGCACATATATCTGCATCGGTAGCGCAGATATCACAGACCGATCTCCGTGATACCCCTACCATCAAAATATACGCAGATGTCCGCGGGGATTATATATCAAGCACGATACGCAATTTGGCTGCAGCATGTATGTCTACGGCGAAGAAGACTACCGTGGACGCTTTATACCGTCAAGGAACCAACGGCATAGGCACGTATGCAGCAGGCTTAGAGGGCTTGTTCGTGGCTGAGTACAACAACGTTTGCCCGGTCTTTTCTCGTGAAGACTGGCCGCGTGTTTATTCCCAGACATGCCAAGGATCACTCAACGAATTTGCCAAGACGCTGCGCGAGTTGAACAACCACGTCAAGGCCAACTTGATTACCGATTGCTTCCTTGCATACGAAATTATCGACATTGTTTCCAACCTCTCATTGAGGCTAGAGTCCAACACAGGGCAGCTCAAGCAGCCCATTGCTGATTCCTTAAAGCCAGTCCGAGAAACAGCAAAATCTTCGTTACGGAAGCTCCTCGATGATACACGGAATAAGGTCGTAACCTTAATTGCTTTGCCCATTGACGGAGGGTCGTCGCCAACTACCGCTGAAATGATGGCTCGCCTCCAACAAATGACGAACTATCTTACTCCTCTCTCCTCGATCCTGATCTCGCTTGGAGACGGAGGCTGGTCGTCCAATTCTGTTGCTTCATCAAACATTGACGTTGGAGCTGATGGTCGGGAGCTTTTTGTCCATTATGCAAGTGAGATGATCGAAACCCAGCTGAAGGAACTTGAAGCCAAGGGCCGGATGCTGCACAAGACTAGGCCGTTGCAAGGCGTCTTCATCGCGAATAATGTTGCAGTCGTCGATAGGATGATTCGCTCCTCGGAGTTGGCGCCGCTGATGGGAGGTGCGGGCAAGATGGTGGAGACATGGCGCAAGAAGGGCACAACCATGTACTTGGAAGCATGGCGCGAACCTTCAGCGTATCTCCTAGATGTTCAGTACACCAACCGTGGAGGACGCCCGCATTCCGGCGGAGCCAGCAGCATCGATTCGACGGCAGTGGTCAAGAATCTGAGCTCCAAGGACAAGGACAGCCTGAAGGAGAAGTGGAAGAGCTTCAACACGTCGTTTGACGACCTGATTGCCAAACACAAGAGCTACGGCATGGAGAAGGAGGTCAAGGCGCATTTGGCGCGGGAGGTGCAGACGATCATCGAGCCGCTGTACGGGCGCTTCTGGGACCGGTACCACGAGATCGACAAGGGCAAGGGCAAGTACGTCAAGTATGACAAGCAGCAGCTGGCGCAGACGCTGGCAGGCCTGGGGTGAGGGGAGAGCGAGGCGGGCATTGTTAGCGATGGCAGATATACCCTGGGCGTTGTTTGGTAGACATGGAGATTCTCCAGATAACGGTGCATGCATGACGGCAAGCAGCCGTGATGGCGTACCAGCCCAAAACGGGCCATGGTGATCGCCGCGGCTGCTTAAATTAGAGCGTTCGACACGTGATTGGACCGTGGCATGTTGAGGGCGCGGGAGTGATAATTTCCCCTGCCGTAGCCGTGTGCGACGCGACGGAGAAAAAAAAAGGCAGGCGCCGTGGTTGAGGCACAGCAGCACAGCACAGCAGCGCCGCCTCTCGCACCCAGTGCCTACCTACTTTTGGACAGCCTAGAGTCCAGTCCTGCTCGTCGACGCATCATCCATCACCCGAGGTGCGAGGCGCGGCTGGGACGAGTCGCACACCCCACGACTCGCACCCAACGCTCGGCCGCCCCCCCGTTGCCGCCAAGACTAATCAAGTTAATCCCTGCCCCCAGAAGGCAGGACCCCTTTACACCACCGACGAGTCTTCGTGCACCACTTGTTCCCAGTACTCAACACCTTTTGAAGCAGCTGCGTTCGAGCACTGTTGACAATCATCTGCTCCCTCCTCGCCACTCTCTGGCCTCCAGAAGCCGCCAAGCTTAGCATACCTAGACTGACTGGTACGCCACCGACCATCTTCCCCAAGCTGCCACCGGCGCACCGAGGCTCCTCCCGCTCGAGCGCCAGCTGCTGGCTGCTTGCAATTCGCCGGCGGGAGCTTACCAATGCCAGTCAAAGCTAACCACGCCCTTCACCACACAGTAGTCTCTCGTTAAGAAAGCCCACCGTCACGGTCTACGTCCGCTCCAGTCGCCATGGGTAAGCCTTCCGACCCCTACCGTCGCTCCAACCTCCACTGCGACGCCTGCCTCGTACACCCAAGCGCCCGCACCACCACCCCGGCAAACAACCCACAAATCGCAAGCCGTCATCGTCCTGTTCGGGGCATTTCCAGGTTGCTGGCGCCTTGTTTACCAGTGGCCTGAGATGGCATATCTGCCATGTCGCTTCAATCTTGGTACCGGCTGTCCAAGCTAACATCTGGTGTTTTGTAGCTACCAACGGCGCCCCCATATCCGTCTCTTCCTCAGCAAGGGCCTCTCCGGTGCCTTCCGCTGCTTCACCCGTCAACGGCAAGCCCGCGACCCCGACTTCTGGCGACGTCGAACGCAGCAACCTCATGGCCAACGGACAGCTGGGGCAAGCTCCCCAGACCGTCTCCTCGAGGGACCCCAAGGCCGCCGCCGCCGCTGCCAGTGACATGAGGAACATTGTCCGGAGGAAGCTTACCGGCTATGTCGGTTTTGCCAACCTGCCCAACCAGTGGCACCGCAAGAGTGTTCGCAAGGGTTTCAACTTCAACGTCATGGTCGTTGGTACGTGAATTGTCCAATTACGCGACGAGCCTCGACAACTCGAGAAAACTGACTAACAGCCTCTAGGTGAATCTGGTCTCGGCAAGTCGACTCTTGTCAACACCCTGTTCAACACTTCCCTCTACCCGCCCAAGGAGCGCAAGCCTCCTTCGCTCGACATCATTCCCAAGACCGTTGCCATCCAGTCGATTAGTGCCGATATCGAGGAGAATGGTGTCCGCCTCCGCCTTACCGTCGTCGACACCCCGGGTTTCGGTGACTTTGTCAACAACGACGATTCCTGGCGCCCGATCGTCGAGAACATCGAGCAGCGTTACGATGCTTACCTTGACGCCGAGAACAAAGTTAACCGCATGAACATTGTTGACAACCGTATCCATGCTTGCGTGTATTTCATCCAGCCCACGGGCCACTCCCTGAAGCCTTTGGATATCGAGGTCATGCGCAGGCTTCACACCAAGGTCAACTTGATCCCTGTCATTGCTAAGGCCGATACCCTTACCGATGAGGAGATCAACTCCTTCAAGCAGAGGGTACGTTTGAAAACTGTCACCTAAAAGTCACCGCTAACAGTTTTCAGATCCTCGCGGACATTACGCATCACAACATCCAAATCTTCGAGGGCCCTCGTTATGAGAATGACGATGAGGAAACGATCGCCGAGAACACTGAGATCATGTCCAAGGTGCCGTTCGCCGTTGTCGGTGCTAACGCTGACGTCAGCACGGCCGACGGCCGCAAGGTCCGCGGTCGCCGCTACCCCTGGGGTGTCATCGAGGTCGACAACGAGGAGCACTGCGACTTCGTCAAGCTCAGGCAAATGCTCATTCGCACCCACATGGAAGAGCTCAAGGAGCACACGAACAACTCTCTCTACGAGAACTACCGCTCCGACAAGCTCATTTCCATGGGCGTGTCCCAGGACCCGAGCGTGTTCAAGGAGGTCAACCCTGCGGTCAAGCAGGAGGAGGAGCGCTCGCTGCACGAGCAAAAGCTTCAGAAGATGGAGCAGGAGATGAAGATGGTCTTCCAGCAGAAGGTGGCCGAGAAGGAGAGCAAACTCCGCCAGAGCGAGGAGGAGCTGTACGCCAGGCACCGGGAGATGAAGGAGCAGCTCGACAAGCAACGGGGAGAGCTGGAGGAGAAGAAGCAACGGATCGAGACTGGCCGGCCAATCGAGGAAAGGGGCAAGAGAAAGGGGTTCTCGCTGCGCTAAGGCGCGACGTGCTGATATGCGCCCTGCCAGTTGCACCACAGTCTTGCCATCACCACTGCTTGACCAAAAGCTTTTCTTTGCTGTTTCGATTCCACTGATGGCCCCCTAATCACCCTTTCGTCCGCCGGCACTGATGGGGAGATGGCGGAGCAAGTAATTACAGACGACGGCGATGCGAGTTGGGGGTTCCGGTGTGCGCCGGGGGTTCCGCTTGGACGGGGATCATCAATTTTCTGTTCTTATGGTTGCGGTTGCAGTTCCCTTCTTTTCCTGCGTTTCTTGGTTGCTTACCCTTTTTTTGTTTTGTCTTTTTTTGTTTTTGTCGTGTGCTTGATTGATACCTCCAGCATTGCAGTCTCGTTCAGGTCGAAAGCCATTTGAACCCCACGAGTAGATCGCATTGTGGAGGGCAGTAGGTGGCAGGGACTACAGATTGCTTCTTCGCGTGTATTCTACGACACGTCCAGTACTCAATTTAATCTCCTTGTCGTAGAGGCCGCGTGACACGTGATGGCGGACGGAGCGAGGCGCGGGAGGATGGAACAGGTGGAGGCTAGGTACCTAGGAAGTAGGAAGCTAGGCTCGCCATTTCGTCACTGCCGCCCGCACTGTCCTGCCCTGTTCTCGACCGAGCCCTTCACGTCAGAGATCACCATTTAACAACACCAATTCCTCCTCTCTGCTCGATCAGCACTCGCGAAGCCACTCGAGCTCCCGCAATTCCTCTTGCTGTAAGTCCCAGTGCCACTTTTTGCCCACGCCCGCCCGCCGTTGCACCTGGAGGAGCTACTTGGCTGTGCCGCCGCCATTCCTTTCACGATTGTGAGGCTCAGGCACCGCCTCTGCTCGATTGCGCCAGGTGTTCTCGCTGCGCGAAAATTCCACCCGAGTCCCCTCGCGCTTCCGACAAAGCCTGTCGCACGTCCGCAGATCCGCCCACCTAGCTTGCAGACACCCGTCACTGACCGCTGCAGAACCTAGCTACCTATCCACCACAGCACACGACATCGCTTCAACCTCTTCAGCCATGGCTCCCCCACCTCCGGCTTCGATGCCTCTGCAGCAACGCCTGATGCACCTCGCCCAGACTCTCCAGTTTGCCTGGTTCTGCGGCCACCTCACCCTCCTCTTCTGCACCCTCCGTTACGGCCTCTCGTACATCACGTTCAACTACAACTCGAGATGGGCTCGCTTCTCCTACCGCCTGGCGTTCATTGCCGCCGCTGTCACGTACGGCATTGTCGTCTACAAGGCGTACCGCGCTCGCATGCGTGCCGGCAAGCAGGGCAGTCCCATTAGTATGATTGCCGACGAGAACGTCCAGTACCTGAGTATGTCCATCGCTTGGCTGCGCCTGTGCAGTCCACCCGCACGTCTGCATTTGTGAAGGATTTTCGCTAACTTTTCCCAGTCATGGCCCTGGTGTGGCTCAGCCAAAACCAGATTTCTCTTGCAATTCTCCCTTTTGCTGTCTACTCCGTTTTCCACGTCCTGACGTACACTCGCACGAACCTGCTGCCAGTCCTTCAGCCGCAGCCTCCCACGGCCGACGGCTCCAAGCCCAAGCCCTCTGCCCTCTCTGACACCATCGGCCGCTTCGTCAAGGAGTACTATGACGCCAGCATGACGCTCGTCGCCATCCTTGAGATTGCTCTGTGGTTCCGTATCCTCGGCTCCGCGATTCTGTTCCAGAAGGGCTCCTGGTTCCTGCTGGTCTGCTACAGCGCATTCTTCCGTGCGCGCGTTGGCCAGAGCACCTTTGTGCAGCAGGCCATTGGCCACCTGAGCGCCCGCATCGACGCGGCCGTACAGAACCAGAGCTCGCCGCCTGCTGTTCGCCAGGCCTGGGAGACTGCTAAGGGCCTCGCGAAGCAGGCCACCGAGGCCACCGACATCAACAAGTACGTCGGCGGCTCGGCTGCTGGTCCCAAGAAGGCGCAGTAAGCGGGCATCGGAACACGTCGCTCTCTGCTTTTCGAGACATGGGTTTCGCATAGAGCGGCACACCCGCCCATCACCTTCGCAAACACGTTACGAGAAGCACGGTTCCGACTGTTGTAGAGGCCGGCCGCTACTGAGGACTACGAATCAGAGGCGGACAGGTGTGCCTAGCGGAATCGTGCGGATGAACAAATCAAGACTTTGAAGATTGGATAATGAGAATGAGCGCGAGTGAGGAAAAAGCGAATGAGATTGCCGGCTGGCGGAGCGGGCATTTCAAAGGGAGAAGCGAAGGCATGAAGGAAAAGTTGCAATGTTATTCATCTGCTGCTGCTACTGCTGCTGCTGCGGGCCGGGTGATTCTTCTGGCGACTTCTGTCACAAAGATAGCCAGGGTAGTAAGGCGCAGCAGTAAGTGGTAAAGCGTCGCGGACGAGGAGTTCATTTGTGCGTGCGTTTTCTTTTTCTTCTCCTTCATCTCCCTTTTTTCATCTTTTATTTTCTTTTTTCTGGTTTCTTTTTCGTTGCGGGTCTTCGTCGCCTCCGTAGTAGTAGTAGTCTCTATCAAATATCTATCTAGGTTTTTATTATGCATATGCATATACTCATGCCCATGCTCGTGGCTGCTGATGTTACTGCCTATTTACTCTGCGTGCTTACTGTTTACTGTGCTGTGTTGCGTGTGGGTTTTATTTTGGGCCTTCTTGCCCTTGTCTTGTCTCCTGTGACGTGTGTGGATGTGTGTGTGTGTGTGTGCCAGAAATACCCGTGCCTTCTTTGCATAAATATCCCTACGGTCAGCGGCGGCGGTTTTAACTCCCTTCCATACCTACTTTACTCGCCTCGCTTCCCTTGCTTCAGGCGCTTCACCCGCTCTGGCCACTTCCTGTAAAAAGTACCCCTCGTATGCTCGTATCGCGTCGTATCGCATCGCATCGCGTCGTGTCGTGTCGTGTGGTGCGGCACGGTGAGGTGAGCGCATGTATTGTACGTGCGCGATCTACACTCGATCACAGGACCCTGTCTATCACGCCCTCGGCCTTTCCGCTTCTCCGCTCTTCTGCGTGGGTGCCGGGATGCTGTTGCCGGTGCCGCTCGTCCGGGTTTGGTGCCGAGGGTTTAAACGTGTGCTGTTTTTTGCTGCCGTTCCTTTCCTTTTCCTTTTCACTTGTGTATGGGGGAAAGAGTAGATCGACCGCGAGCGGGGCAGATCGGCGTTGGGGGGTTTGAGGGTTTTAGGTTTTGGGGAGATGGTGCTGATGGGTTGGGTGGGTGGTGTGGGATGGGATGGGGTGTTGGTGTTGGTGTAGGTGTAGTAGAGATGCAAGAGGTATTTGTTTGCTTGTTTATTTGCTTGCTTGTCTTGGTAGGGAAGGAGGGAGGGAGAGGGAGAGGATACAGCTCGTGCAAGGCGGATTGCGCTGTCATGTAGGTAGGTGATTAACTCGGCTCAGTGCTATGCAGGAAGTAGGGATAGCGCAAGGAGAAGAGAAGATCGAAGGGTTGGTGACAATGATAGGTAATAACTATGACCATGACAACGACAATGGCAATGACTATGACTATAGCAATATCGACAGCGTTGCCAATGTCGATACGTACGGCTGATCTAGCTGATCTAGCTGATCTAGCTAATCTATCTGAGCTCCGGTGCAGCGGAGGCAGTGATATGCGCGCCTGCATGCGCGCACGTGGGGTGCGGGGAGTAAGGCAGGGGCGGTGGTTGCTGAGCAAAGCATATATATTATAATCATAATCACAATCATAATATGGATGACGATGATGCTATCTAGTTACTGATCAACAACAGGTCTGCTGTTGTTGGTGGGGAGGTAGGTAAGGAAGGTTAAGATGGACGCTGTTATGCGGGCTGTGGGACTATGTATGTGTGTGCGCAGAGGGGCTCGCGTGGTGGATGGATGTGCGCTGTCTGTGTGTGTACCACGTATGTGCAACCAGCGCTTCCCCTGGTCGGCACGTGGGTATGATGGATGGTGCTGCGTGCGGTGCCGCGCAGAGCAGAGCAGAGTAGAGTAGAGCAAGCAAGCAAGCAGCAACATGAGAAGCGGAAGTAACCAAACCTCGCCATGAAATAATACCATTTCGACCAGAATTCCACACCTCTCTCCCGCAGCTGTGCTCTTAATTCAGTGCCTTGTCAGTAGCCAGGACTCCGTTCTCATTCATTCTCAGCTAGATCGCTACGCAGCTACGCCCAAGCTTGGAGGACTAAGAGCACGCTTGTGGAGATAAAGATATACTGCCGAATAAGGCAACGGCAACCCCGACTATCGACCACTCTCCACCAGGAAGAGAGATTGCCGCATCAGTGCGCTATTGGATTCGAGGATCGACTGGAGAGTTATCTAGTACGTGCGTGCGCGTGCGTGCTGCTGTATTTGACATCATCGGAACTAAACCAAACCACGGACGCAGGACCTACTTGCTTGCTTGTGTGTGCTTTAGTGCTTTGCTGCTTGCATGCTAATGGAAGGTATGTAGTTGCTTGGTTGGTTAGCTGAGTACCTAGGTGGTGGTCGATCACCGGGGGTGAGGGGGATGGTAGGTAGCGTGCTATTGGATCCACGCTGCTGCTGCTTTGGGGTTGCTACAATAGGTATGTCTCTGCACGGAAGAGGAGTGCTCCTCCTGATCGCCTTCCACCACGCTTCCCCGTACAATACGGAGTACATACGAGGGTTTGGCAACTCCTGATCGCCTTCTCTGCACGGCGTGCACAGTTCGCTCTCTCACACACAGACACCCACGACCACACCCTCCCCTCCTCCCACCCTCAGCTCGCCACCACACCAGGGTCCAGCTACCATACCACAGACCCAGCACGCACGCACGCGCGCACGCGCAGAAAAGCATCCCCATCATGACCCATGCATACCTACTACTCGCACAGCAGACAGGCACGCAATCTCCCTTCCACCGAGCGCGAGACGCCGCGGGCCAGCCGCGGGCCAGCCCTAGACACTGTGCGCGCGCCGCCAAACTGCAGCCACAGTTGCACAACGCAGGCTATCGCGGGCTGGACCGCAGAGTGGCGTTTTTTTTTTTTTTTTTGCGTGGCGTTTGGCGTGGCGGCGTGGCTGGGAGCTGAATGGAAAGGTGTGGGATGGAATTGGAATTGATGTTGAGATTGGGAATTGGAAATGAGGAGTTGGGGCTGCGGACGGGAAGGAATGGGAGGAAGGAAGGAATTGTGGAATTGGGAATTGGTGATGGGGGCGAATGGAACGGGACGGAGGGCTGATTTGTTGATGCGCATGCTGGTATTGACTGACTGACTGATGGAAGGAAGAAGGAAGGCTGGCTGGCTGGCTGGCTGGCTGAGCGTGGGGGCAGACAGACGCATCTGCATCTGCAGGAAGCAACGCAGACGCAGACAGACGCCGTGTTCTTCACTCATGTCTCACCACCTCTTTATCTCTCTTTTCTTTTCTTCTCTCGCCTTATTGTGCTTTTCCGCCTGCACATTTCTTTGCCTTTTCCGTTCCCTTACCTTCCCTTGCTTTACCGTTTCCTCCGGCAGCGGAGAGGCTCTGCACGTCACCGCGCTAGCTACTGTCCTCTAGCAGCAAAGCACGCGCACTAAGCGGGCGCCAGAACATTCTCTCGACTCTCGTCGTCCGTCTTCCGCCGTCACCACCGTCGTCGTCGTCGGCGTTGGCGTTGGCGTTGGCGTTGGTTGGCATTGGCGCCGCGCCGGCACACCCCGGCTCGGTACCTGTGGTTTTAGAGGACGAGCACCTGCGGTACTCTAAGCGCATCGCGGGCTGGCCGGCTGCCTGGGTGTCGGACCAGCGATACCGGCGTGTGGTGGTGCTGCTGGTGTTGGCTGGCTGGCCTGGCTGCCTGGGCTCGATTTTCTTCGTCCTCCTCCTGCTCCGCCTCCGGGCGAGACACACGGCGCAAAGGAAATGATACCCACCTGTTGGCAGGATGGGCACGAAGGAGCAGCCCTATGGGCCTGACCACGTATGTATGGGACCTACCCGGTAGCAATGGAAGTGTACAGAAGCCTCAACAGGGAAAAAAAAAAAAAAAAAAAAAAAAAAAAAAAAAAAAAAAAAAAAAAATTGCGCAGGCGAGGCGCAGGCGCAGGCAGCAGGCAGCAGCAAGCAAGCAAGTGGGTAAGGTAATCCGTAGACACCAACACCAACACCAGCCTAGGAAGAGTTGGTGCCAGCAAACACCCTATCGTCAAACACTAGCTAGAGTGAGCGGGCCCCGATCCCGATCCCGCTCCAACAACCGACGAAGCACTGCACTACGCTCTCAGCCTCACGCGCCCGAGGTCTCAGATAGACCTAGGCTACCTAGGTAACCCGTACCTAAGCTACCGTATCGACGAAACGATCATCTCCGAGGCCGACTCCGATGCGATGCGCGAGCGGCCCGGAGGCTCGGCGGGAGAGCGTCGCCGAGGCCCTCTGCCACCATGACGTCGTGCGCCATTGTCGTCACCAGCAGCACCAGCAGTAAAGTACTCGTACTCTAGCAGCAGCAGCATCAAGGCATCGAAGAGTGCGCGATCTAGAGTACGAGTAGAGTACGAGTACAGGCATCGGCTCCAGCCATGGAGCTCGGCCAGACCTGCCAGACCTGCCAGACTGGCCAGCCATGACGGCACGCCCCCAGCGGCAGCGGCAGCGGCACGCGAGCGCACTCGTACTGTAGAATAAGCTTCTTTCTCCCTCTCCCCCTCCTCCTTTTTTCGTCATCGTCTTCCGCACGCTCGTTCATGCTCTCAAGCCACCGACCTGTGCACACGCTCCTCATGCCGTACCGCATCGTATCGTATCGTATCGTACAGCACCGCACCCCAAGCTTAACCCCAAGCGCAAAACATAAACACAAACACAAAACACACACTCAAACATAAGCGGAACGGGAGCGGCGGCGTACCGCGCTCGTGTTCGTGTGCGTGCGCGCGTGCTCGTGTGCCCTGCGGCGGTGCTGGGAGTGCCAGAGAAGGTTACCTGCGCCTGCCGTGCTCGCTAGGAGTAGGAAAAAGGACGGCGGAGTTCTAAACCACTAGAGTAGGTCTAGAGTAGTACTCCTAGAGTACTCTAGCTAGTTGGCGTGGCATTAATTAGAGCACCATTGTCGTCATCATCATCGTTCTCTACTCTAGCGATCGCGATCATTATCATCATCACCATCCATCATCATCGCCGTCTTCGGCAACAGGTAACGGGTAACGGGCAACGGGCAGCACGCAATGCTGCAACGGCCGCAAGCCAGGCACGCCAGGCACCAGGCACGCGACAAGGCCAGGGGGGCTTCGTTTGCCTTTGCTAGCGCTATGTAACTACAGTAAGGCGGGGGCTTGGCAGCGAGGGGATCTGGCATCTTGGCTGAGGACGTACTACCTACGTAGACATAGGTACCTGGATGCACGACGTGTGGTTGGGCCTTTTTTGAGTGTGCGTGTTTGAAACACAGGAAAGGATAGAAGGATGGGTGATGGGACCTACGTAGTAAATTTTGAGGCTGTGAGATTGCGGAGTTGGGAAGTTGGGAGGATGGAGCTGGGATGCGTGGAGGGCCTTGGGTTTGGTGGGGCTGGATTGGGTGTGTGTGTGTGAGAGGTGTAGGTGGTGAGGCGGCTGTATGAGGCAAGGATACTTGCGTGCGTCGTGGGCAGGTGTACGTAGATGTCTCGGTGCCTGGGTGCTGTTTGTTGGCCTGGCTGCCCAGCATCCGCAATCTCAGAGCCAAGGTATCCGCCTCAGGCAGCAGGCACACGCCCGTCAAGTGTCACCAAGTCACTGTCGGTCAACCGTCAACCGTCAACCACCTACCACCAATACCACCACAACCGCCGCCACCGTCGCCGCCCATCATGGCGCGTGCAGCCCTGCCCTACGGCCCTACGACCCACATCTCCGTCACTCACTCACGCACACACTCACACTCACTCACAGCCACAACCACCGTCCCTACCCAACTGCCAACCTTAGGCCCCGTCCCATATCCTACCACACCACACCACACCTCGTGTCCGGCGCCCATCGCCGCCTTGATCCCGTAAGGCAGGTAATCCCGTCCCCTAGCCACGCCAATCTCAGCACGCACCCAACCCCAAAAAACCCAGCACTAGCACGCAGCACAAGCAACAAGCGCAAGCACGCAGCAAGCAGCAAGCACGGCGACGCCGAACCCGCCGCCTTGGCCCCAGCCCCAGCCCCAGCAGTCCCAGCTCCGGCTCCGGCACCCACCCGGCCCAAGGGCAAGGCGCGCGCGAGCGCGAAGATCGTCGCGCCGGCAGCGCTGTTCCGGCCGGGTACGAGAAGCGTGTGCCGTGTGCTGCGCTTGCTTGCTTTAGTGCGTGGGACGAGCGCGGCGGCGCTGCTTGCTGATGGTGCTGGGATGGAGGGTTGGAGGGGTTAGGGTGCCATGGGATGGGGTGCCGAGTGCCGTATACGACCGATGACGGACGGACGGGCGGGCGGGCGGGCGCTCGGCGTTGTGCTGGTTTGGGTGTGCTGCGAGTTATGTACGGAGTACGGTGGTAGCAGTGCTGGTGGCGGAGGAAGTGGGTGCGTTGCGCTGCGCTGCGCTGCGCTGCGCCGGCCGCCGGACTCCCGACTCCCGAGCTGCAGGAGCTGTACCTAGGTGGTGGGAGGAGGGACGACATTGACAGCACGACGGGGAGCGGGTGCCGGCTGCGCCATGTCGGTCGGCCTGGCGGCCGGAGGCTACGGGTGCGCGCAGCGCCTGCTGTACGCTGTGCGATACGTAGAAGGAGTGTACCTACATACGCACGGGGTGGTTGGTAGGACCTACCTGCAGTATCTCGCACGCTGCGTGCGGAGCGGCCTCTGTACTCCTACGCCGATGCCGTACATACCCAGCAGCAGCACCTACTACAAAAGGCAGGCTGTGGGCGGGTAGGTACGGGAGCACAAGCAGCGCTCGGCGTCGCTCGCTCCCTATGCGGTAACGGGCTGCGTGCGTCCCCCGTACCTTAGCAGCAATAGCAGCAGCAGCAGCAGCAGCAGCAGCAGCTAATCCGCACAGCACCGACCCCGTCCCTAGTAATAATAGCAGGTACATAGCACACCCTCTCATATAGGACACAGGCCAGGGCGGCCCAAAATAGCAGCAGTAGCAGCAGCAGCAGCAGCAGCAGCAAATAGCAATAGCACACCTACCATACCATACCCTTAGTACAAATAGGCACAGTACGGATTAGCTACCGTACCTAGCGGGCGCCTGCAGTCTCGCAGCCGTGGCTCCCCCCTCAACGCAGCAGCACCTCAGCCGCAGCTCAGCCGAAAGCGTGCACGGCGAGAACGGTAAAGCTCGCGACGACGCTAGCGGCAGCCCCGGGCGTGCGCTTTGAGCGAAGCGAGATGTCGAAGCCCACAAATTTGCGGCTGGGTGGGGAGGCTATTCTGCATTTGCGGCGATTGTCCGTGTGGTGCGAAGGGAGATGTGCCAAGTGCCGTGCGGAGGCTCATCAGATGAGGGTTTTGCGGTCGTCGGGCGTGGTGGAGACGGCCGCTTGGCTGATTGTGCCTATTATTGTGGGAGAGATGGGGGTACGCAGCCGTACCGCGTACTATGGAGAAAGGCTTAGGGGGGATATTAAAGGTGTGCGGGGAGTGAGGCTACAGCTGGGCTATCACTCGTCGTTGTGGGCAATGACTTGCTTGCTGCTGTTGCAGCAGGAGTGTTCTGGAATCTGGATGCCGAGTTGCTCTCCCGTTTGGTTGGTGTGTGTGTGCCCTGCAGTGCAGGCATCGTCAGGAGTTGGAGTCGAAGGCACAAACTCCGCCCCCCGTAAATCCGATCGTCGACGACGGGCGTCGTTTAAAGGCTCGGAGCTCCGCATCGCTCGCGCCAGAGCGCCAAGCCTCCGCCGGAACAGGATGGCATTAACCTCCGGCATTACGTAGATGGGGGAGGCCTCCCGTCCTCCGCCCGCTCGATTCCATGGAGAAACATGGGCCAAGGCCAAATCGTACGTTCGGGGTGGGTATCCCGCGCAGCCTCTCTCGGTCTCCGCGCTTGTGCGCTGAGACAAAACACCTGGTGCTCGCCGCGCTCGTGCGCTCGAATCGATCAATGGCAAGATTGTCCCAGTACCTGCCCCATATCCACACTTCATTCCTGCTTTGCCCGTCGCCCGTCGCCGAGGCGCCCGCCGCATACGAGTTGCGCATAACTTATGGAGACTAGGTCTCCCGAGCCGCCTGCCGAGAAACGCGAGACTGCCCGCCGCAAAAGCTTCGCTGGTGGTTTCTCCATCCTGGTTCCATCCAACATCTGCTGCCTAGAGGCTGGCACTCTCACACGCCAAGAATCGAGTTTCAGTAAATCAGGCGAGCCAAGGCAAGATCCCGTAATCGTATTATTATTTTTTTTTTTTTTTTATCGCCGCCGCCGCCGCCGAGCCCTACGTGCGTGTGTGTTTGTGGGTGTGCGTATCGAACGGCGGAGACAGAGAAGGGCCGCGCCGAGAACCCAACGACCCGTCATCCTTTGATGACAGCAGTGATTGGTGTCCGGGGCGCCTCTCTCTTCACTACTGGCGCGCGACTGCGGATTTGAAGCTGGATGGCTGCTGAGAGGGAGCGGTGAGCAAGGGGGCGGTGTTTCTCGTTATTGTTTGGCTAGCGAGTTGCGCCAACGGCGGGAGCGGGCTATCTATGTCATTTCACAAGGTTCGCTGCTGCCTCTTGTTGATGTGGTGGTTGGATCGAGTGTCGCGTGCGCGCTTTTTCTCCCTCTTCTGCTGGGGCTTGGGGCGATGGGATCTCGACGATTGTCATGAGCGAGATGAGATGATGGGCGATGGGCGATGGATGCGAGGTTCGATTTGGCGATTGGCAGAAGCCGCCCGTTTGAGTTTGAGAGTTCCAGCAAACGAGGAACTCCAGTAAGCTCACGATGTTTCGCCAAAAGACAAGAATAACATCAAGCTTCTTTCCTCGAGCCGCAGGAAAAGCCGGGCCGGTACCGCTTCGGCATCTTCCACCTGGGGTCACCCGGGTCGGTGGCGCGGCCTTGGAGGGAACGTCTCACTCGCGAAAGAAGTGGGTTCTTTTCTGGGCTTGACTTGTGCAGGAGATCAGGGTGTCGCGCGCTGAAACGAAGCGCTGCTCGGGGGCGTGCGCGGGAATACGGATAGCAGACGAAATCGCGATAATCATTGTGGTGGGCTGATGCCACCTCTGCCCCGACCCGGGAGGGGGGGAGCACGGCATATACGGGGCACGCGAGAGAAGCCGGTGGAAGGCAGATGCAGATGCGGCAGATGGGACATTTTGGTTCTAAATTCAGGCACGCCCTTTTCGGGATTTCATGCGAGTGGATACTGCCCAATACAATATCGTGCAAAAAAGGAGCACGCGCCCTGCGAGGCTCAGACGAGCAGGAAGGTCAGCGTGGTCCAGGACGCGGGCGCGCGAGTCAGACCTGGGGTCGCGGGAGGCCTGGGAGGCAGAGAGAGAGTATCCCGAGGGATTAATCGGGCTTCTTCGTATGCGGCCCGGGAGCAAATACATGCGCAGGTCGCACATGCAGGCACACGCAGCAGGAGGAGGGAGAAGAAGGCTTGACGAGGCTTCGAGCGGCACGATGATGCTGGCTCGGATCATACTTGTCACGTCAGCCGGCCTCGCCGTTCGGGGCTTGGTGCGTTTGGGGCTCTGGGCAGGCGAGGGCCCCCGTGCTAGAACGAGCAAGGCGCTAGGTAGGGGGGTGCTGCACTTTCTCGAGTTCGGCCTTGCTAGCCTCCACCACACAGATACATATATCCCACCGTCCGCGCTCATCATGTTGTCGTCTTCCGTCCCGTCGTCCCGTGTGAATAAAACTTAATTCGAGAAAAAACGAGAAAATATGGAAAGCCCGCCACTGTCTGTCGACTCCAGCCGTCGCGGCTCTGTCGACTCCGTAGAGGATCTCGACGCATACTTTGCCGACTACGTGCCGCTGTCCAACCTGCCAACCCCGCCTCCCGTCGTTGGCAGCAACACCTGGAACGAGTCCACCCCAAGAAGCCCCTCCGATGCTCTCGATGGCAACCAGGATCTCAGAGGTATGTTCGCCTTCAACTCGCCCTTCTTTCCTGCCTTGTTTTGCTGACTTTTTGCTTTTCTTGCGCAGGAGCCGCGTCTCACCTGGCCAAGCTCGTGCCCTCCAACGCCTGCACCAACCGTCGTCCGTCTGTCACCACCATCCAAGACTACCTTAGCCGCTCCGGCGTGCCGACCGAAGTCCTCGGCCTGACCGCCTGCATCCTGGACGCGCTCAGCATGCGATTCGCCAAAAAGTGGCGCAACGCCCTTGCCCTGTCATCTTCGACTCCCCTGCCGCTGGACCGTACCCACCTGCGCTCGCAGTCGGCGCCCGCCTTTTCGCTGCTCCAGACCGCTGGCGCCGGCGTCAAGAGCACGGCCGAGCCCGAGCTGCTGGTCCTGGCCGCCCTGTCCCTGGCCTCTTCGTACCTCGACGATGCCCACGTCTCGCTGCAGCACTGGGCCAACCACGTCTCCAACGGCGTCTTTGCCGCCCGCCACGTCGCCGCCACCCACCGCTGCGTGCTGCAGGACCTCGACTACGACTTGCACTCGTTCACGCCCGACTTCATCCAGGACGCCGTGCGCGACATGCAGCGCGCCAGCAAGCGCCTCAGCCGGTGCCCCGACGCGGGCGCCTCGCTCACCCTGGCCGAGGAGGATGTCAAGGCCGCCATGGAGCGGTGCAAGCCTAAGCCGCTCTTCCTCCAGGGCGCGACGTCTGCCACCTGGTGCAACGGCCTGGCGACGCCGGAACCCAGCCCTGGGTGCGACGGGCTGGTGGAGGAGCCGACCTCGGTATGCGCGTGGGAAAGGTGTTGATCAAAAGTGGAGGGCGATGTCTTTGAGCGTCTGCCCTTGTTTCGTTGTGCGTTCACTGCGTTCACTGCTTGTTGCGAAGGCTTGGCGCCGTCCACGGGCGGCGACCGAGCGGGGCGTTTTTGTTTTGGGAGCTGCGTGTTGTGTTTGCTGCAAAGATACCCCCCGGTTTTGTAGCCGTGCAGCGCTTTGGCGCGCCGGCAATTTTGTTGTTACATCTTTGGAGGGAAACGCGAGGAAGAGCGAGCGGGCAAGCGGGCGTGTACACTGATACTACCTAGCTAGCTACCGTAATGTTTGTAATGTCTTGAAGCCGTCACTCCACGATGGATGACGTTGCAAAAACCATTTCCCCGCCGGCGTGTTTTTTTCCACTCTCTGGGTGATCGGCCTTGGATGGGCTGATGATTTGCTGGCTGCAAACATCACGATCACGTCCTCCCCATCCTTCTCACGCCTCAAACGTCATATGGCCTGCACCAGTTATCGATTTTCGCTGCAGCCAGACCATCCTTGCCGTCTCCCCGGAGGCTTCCGGGGGGGTCTTGACTGTTCTGGAGGCGACGCCTTCTCTGGTCCCCACACGACTTTCCGGAGCCCCATCGAACGATGCACCCGCCGTACGAGCTGATCCGAGGGGAAGGGTGCCGGCGCCTATGTGCTTCGCCACACGCATCTGGCATGGGACGCGCAGACAATCCGAGGTACAGGGCGTGTCGTGATAAGACAAGAGCCAGTCGTTATAGGACGTGATTGATGCTGGCATGCTGGCTCTTCTCCAGTTGAGCTGCACGGGGGGGAACAGAGGCGGTTTCCCCGCAAGCTGGTCGCACCATCCGGCCCCCGCTCGAGCTTGCCCGCTCACTCCACTGCGCATCAATCACCCTGGCTAGACACGAGTGCATCCCGCCATCGCTCTTCCTTCCTGCCCTTATCTTTGCTCCGGAGCTTTAAAAGGCCAAGGTACCTTTGTACCGCTTTTCTCCTCCTTCCACCCGCACCGTAGATTTCACAATGGCCTCCAACAACCCCTCCTCACCCGTTCGCGAGCGCCGGCCGTCGACCAGCGCCCCGCTCTCTGATCTGCAGGGCCCGGTTGGCCCGGGCTTCAGCAGACCAAAACACAAGAGGACCGTCACTGGTTTCGGTGCCGCGGAAATCAAGGCTGTCGAAGCTGCCATTCCCGAGCCGGCCAGGAAGGCGTATGTTTTCGTGCCCCGCTCTGTCTGCGATTGATGCTAACGGGGTCTGTGCAGATGGAGCAAATACGTAGGCGCCCTCGATCGTGCGGGGAAAACTGGACACTGATTGTCGATTTCGTAGACTCCCAAGGGCTTCGAGACCCCCGAGGACTTCGAGGTGCGTCAATCGTAAATTGCACTCTTGGTCATCGCGTCGCTCACAGGACCACAGAAAGAAGCGATCCGGCACATTGAAACGACCCTCGCTCGATCCCTCTACAATTGCGATGACTTGTGAGACCGACCCTGATCTACTATCGCGATTTGCACGATTGTTGACCCTGTAATCTCAGTGCCACCTACGCGGGCACCGCCCTAGCCTTCCGGGATCGCCTGGTTCTCGACTGGAACAAGACGCAGCAGGAGCAGACGCTGGCAGATCAGAAGCGGGTCTACTGTAAGAGCACACGGGGTGTCGATCGAGATAAGCAGCGCTGATTATGCGGCAGATCTGTCCCTGGAGTTCCTGATGGGCAGAGCATTGGACAATGCAATGCTCAATGTCGGCCAGAAAGACGTTGCCAAAAGTGGGTAGATCGCTATCTCGGGTTTCGGCCAAACGCTGACGCGCACTGCAGAGGGCCTTGAGGAGCTTGGTTTCCGCATCGAGGATGTGATCAGTCAGGAGCATGATGCCGCGCTTGGCAACGGCGGTCTTGGACGCCTTGCTGCATGCTTCCTCGACAGTCTTGCCAGTTTGAACTACCCTGCTTGGGGCTATGGCCTGCGCTACAGATATGGTATCTTCAAGCAGGAGATTATAGACGGCTACCAGGTCGAGGTCCCAGACTACTGGCTCGACTTCAACCCCTGGGAGTTCTGCAGACATGACGTCACAGTCGATATCCACTTCTATGGACATGTCCGCAAGTACACGTAAGCATGGCACACCATCACGCCTATGCCAAGCTAACAGGGAATTTAGGACTGACGAGGGTAAGCAACGCTGCTCGTGGGAAGGTGGTGAGATTGTCCAGGCTGTGGCGTTTGATGTCCCCATTCCTGGCTACACGACCCCTACCACGAACAACCTCCGCTTGTGGGGCAGCAAGGCGGCCAGCGGCGAGTTTGACTTCCAAAAGTTCAACTCCGGAGAGTATGAGAGCTCGGTCGCAGAGCAGCAGCGGGCTGAGACCATCTCTGCCGTCCTCTATCCCAATGACAACTTGGAGCGTGGCAAGGAGCTGCGCCTGAAGCAGCAGTACTTCTGGTGCGCCGCGTCTCTGTTCGACATTGTCCGTCGTTTCAAGAAGACCAACAGGGCGTGGGGCGAATTCCCGAACCAGGTTGCCATTCAACTGAACGATACTCATCCCACTTTGGCCATTCCAGAGCTGCAGCGCATCCTGGTCGATATTGAGGGCCTTGACTGGGATGAGGCATGGAGCATCGTCAGCAAGACCTTTGGCTACACCAACCACACGGTGCTTCCTGAAGCCCTCGAGAAGTGGTCTGTCCCACTCATGCAGCACCTGCTTCCTCGTCACTTGCAGATCATTTACGATATCAACTTGCATTTCCTGCAATATGTTGAGCGCAACTTCCCCAAGGACAGGGATATGCTTGGCCGCGTGTCCATCATTGAAGAGTCTAACCCCAAGATGGTTCGCATGGCTTACCTCGCGGTCATTGGCTCGCACAAGGTCAACGGTGTTGCTGAGCTGCACTCGGACCTCATCAAAGCCACCATTTTCAAGGACTTTGTCGAAATCTACGGCCCAGACAAGTTCACCAACGTGACGAACGGTATCACTCCGCGCCGCTGGCTGCACCAAGCCAACCCCCGCCTTTCCGAGCTCATTGCCTCGAAGCTGGGCGGCCACGAGTTCTTGAAGGATCTTACGCTCTTGCACAAGCTCGAGGAATACGTCGATGACAAGGAGTTCCGCAAGGAGTTCCAGGAAATCAAGTATGCCAACAAGGTTCGCCTGGCCAAGCACATCAAGGAGAGCACTGGCATCAGTGTCAATCCTTCTGCGCTGTTCGACGTCCAGGTCAAGCGTATCCACGAGTACAAGCGCCAACAGCTCAATATCTTTGGCGTCATCCACCGTTACCTTGCCATCAAGAAGATGTCTGCCGAGGAGCGCAAGAAGCTGGCTCCCCGCGTGTCCATCTTTGGTGGTAAGGCCGCTCCCGGCTACTGGATGGCCAAGACTGTCATCCACTTGATCTGTGAGGTCGGACGCGTTGTGAACGCTGACAAGGATGTTGGTGACCTGCTGAAGGTCGTCTTCCTCGAGGACTACAATGTCAGCAAGGCGGAGATTATCTGCCCTGCTTCCGACATTAGCGAGCACATTTCCACGGCTGGTACCGAGGCCAGTGGAACTAGCAACATGAAGTTCGTCCTTAACGGCGGTCTCATTATCGGCACTTGCGATGGAGCCAACGTAAGTCATGTATCAACGTTTGATGCAACCGAGCTAACATGATTAGATTGAAATCACGCGTGAGATCGGCGAGAACAACATCTTCCTCTTCGGCAACCTGGCGGAAGACGTCGAGGACCTGCGCCACGCGCACTTGTACGGGCAGTACAAGCTGGACCCGGAGCTGAACTCCGTCTTCGAGGCGATCCGGAGCGGCATGTTCGGTGACGCAGGCTCCTTCTCGGCGCTGGTCAACGGCATCGTGGACCACGGCGACTACTACCTGGTGTCGGACGACTTTGCGTCGTACTGCCAGACACACGAGATGATAGACGAGGCGTACCGCAACCAGGAGGAGTGGGTGACGAAGGCGATTACGGCCGTGGCGCGCATGGGCTTCTTCAGCAGCGACCGCTGCATTGACGAGTACGCAGAGGCGATTTGGAATGTGGAGCCGTTGACGCCGAAGAAGGAGGGCGCGCAGGTGTCGGTGCATTGATGCAATGCGGTGCGCTACAATACAGTACAATTCGGTCGGTAGATGATGCGGTTGGTCTACGTACCTATCTGGCTGGCTGGGCTGGGCCGGCGGCTTACGACGAGACTACCTACGTAGTAGGTAGTACTGCCTAGATGAATGACACGACGACTCTCTCTCCCTCTCTCGTTCTTTTCCTTCTTTCTTTCCCCTCCGGGTTCCGGGGGGTCGTTTGCGCTACGTATCTCCTTGTGCCTTGTGCGTGCGTACGTACGTGCGTGCCTGTCTGCCTTGTCGTCTCGACTTAGTTACGGCTGTCGGGTGTGGGCGTGTGCACGGTGCCACGCGTGCTGTGCCGCGCGTCGCGGGTCTTTGGTTCATTTAACGAGCGAGCGACGTGCTTTGAGACGCCTTGACGACGCGTACGCGGTTGTGCGGTGGGTGGGTGTGCGTGTGTTTGTGGGGTTAGAGGAACTCCTTGTGGGGTTGGGTGTGTGTGGGTATGTGTTGTAGGAGAGAGGGTAGGATATGCCTTCCTTTGAGGAAGTGTGTGTTGGTGGAAGCGTGGTTTATGAAGAGGAGGTGTAGATATCGCTGCAGTGACAGAAGTGACAGGAGTTCAATCTTATAGCATTGATGACCAGACTTACCGGCCCCAACGTCCGGAAGAACGCCCGTATTCTAGCCAAACCTCCTCGCTTTGGACATTCTTCTAATCGTGAGTCAGCTCTTGCCTGTCGCTCGCCCATGTGAGGAAGCCCTAGCTGCCACAGTCGATGCTACCGTGTTTCTTGATAATGGCCTCCTAGACGGGGCGCTTGTCCGCAACCTATTTGGGCATGTCGAAATCGTCTACCTAGCTCATCTGCCTTTTCTTTTGTCTTTTTGAGCGTGAGGGCAGGCACTCATGTATATAGTTTTGCGGCAGCGGTTTGTTTCTACGAGATTTGTCTGAGGAAAGGGCGTAGGTCATGGCTAAAGTACTATCCTAGCTGCGGCTAGAAATACTTCGATACGATAACGTCGCTGTTGGCTGGTAGGTTTTTGTTAGCTGGAGTCTGAGGTAAGTTTGTGTAGGAAGACGTGTTTGCGCATAATGAGGCGTGAAGCCGACGATTCTGGTCGACAGGATGATGTTGTAGAATCAGCTCTGCCTCTGTTTCTGGACTGTGTAGTCCTCTGAAGTGTTGTAGAAGTTTATACCCTAGTCGTTATAGCGAGGAATGTCCTCGGTAACTGGCACTTTGATGGGTCTGAGATGGACACCGTAGTGCTGTCGAGGTTGGTATTCTGTACCGATCCTTAACTTTAAGAACGACTTACTTTATCACCGGTCTAGAGGTAAACCCTTTCTAGCTTCGGGCAGACAATGTTAATAACGTTAATGAAGTTCTTGAACAGAGGCATATTCCTGTCTCTGAGCTTCTTGAAATCACCTTTATTAAACTGATTTATAAATGGCCTAAGGAACCTCTCCTGTGAAGTAAGCCTTATAAATGACTCCCTACGATTATTGTCGTTAAGAATACGTCGTCTATATCTTTTTGTTCGTCTGCTTAACCTAGAAGTTCGTTAGTTTCCTTTGCTATCTTAGATGTTCCGTAGTTTCTTAGTGTCCTTAACGTCTTTATTCCATTTCCTACGTATATACTTATATGTATTAGACATTCCGCATCTATCTCTTAGCCGTAGCGGATGAATTGCTGAATTGATTATTCTTGTGTTCGCACCGGCATCGATAATCCCTGCCTTCTTGGTTATTGTCCGCTTGCCCTTTCTATATTTGCTTTACGGATGCGGCGGAAGGATTCTTATAAAGTGTAGATAATCTGTAAAAGCGACGGCTTATACAATCAAAGTTAAAGGAGAGACAAAGAGCTGATGGTATGTTATTTAACCATTGTCAACTGGGTATACGAACGTTCCGGGTAGGTCCGAGGAAGAAAGGATTAAAGAGGCAAGTTCGGCTAAGATCTACGTAGTCTTGTTGATGTCGATGACGGACACCATAATGAATATGGCGGTAAAGGATAGAGTTGTCTATTGGAATACTCGAGAATTTCCCGAGAACACAAAGTAAGGGAGGCGATATATTACCATGGAGACTTTATGAAGTAAAGGTTCAAGCTTCGTTGGTACGAGTGGTTTAAGGATAGACTGTGTATAAGATTAGATATTCCCGTTTTGTACCCCAATCATTCAAAACTTACCAAAACTCGTAGCTATTATTACAAAAATACTCAAACTCTTCTATCCCTAATTATTTAGAAAGATATAGTAATACTATCCTTTCTTCCTGGTACCAGCATCAAGCTCATGCAGTCAGAATCCCATTTGCTACAGAGCGACACAATGAGTAACCAACCATCTTATATACGAGGTAACATCTACCAAAGCCCTAATAGAGTTCTATACAGCCATCTGCTGTGTGTACTAACCTAACTATCAACCTCTCACAGTATTCCTGCACGCAAGTCATGAATCCAGCCATGAGAGCAAGCATACCCACGGCCGGGCGTCGAGAAGCCGCTCGCTGAGTGCGATGAGACAATTCCATGAAGCTCACTGAGGTGGTCAAGTGAAACCGATTATAGTCACTTCACGACAGCGCAAACGGATCCATCCGCTGCTAAACTAGGTACGCTGTGCAGGTATCGGTGACGTCTTTCTTGCGGCGGCATCCTTTGCGACATGGCAGAGCTTGAGTGAAGTCCCTGGTCGGTTTTGTCGGGTTTTAACTGTCTGGATTTCTCGATGGCGTCGTGACGTGCTTTACATTGCTTGATTGGATGTTAGCTTGTGTGTCGATTAGGTTGTGGGGTAGCGCGTGGCTTCCTTTCTCGTGGACGCGTCGCGCCTCCGCCTCAACACCACACCGGCACATGGAAATTCGATTTATCACCATCATCATACCTCAAACTTCATCTCCGCTCGCATGCTCATTTACTATTACACTATTCAATACTTCAGATCTAGCGGAAGCTGTTCCAGTCAGCATACAAATATACACGTTGGCTGGCGTTGAGTATGGAGCCTCAACTCACGCAACCAATTTTTTGAAGATGAGCAAGTCACTGCTTAGACACTATTAAGTAGATATCTGTTCATTTTCAGCCTAATTATCCCGTTTCGCATTCACAAGACCCTCGAAGTGTTGTTGCTCACATGGAGACGTCTTTTCATTCTTTTGATTGCGAAAACCCGCTCCCCATGCTGCCACACCACAACTCAACCCCAAACTACACTTGCTCATTAACAATCAAGCCAGCCATCCCTTGGCCAGTGCCGATGCACATGCTTGTGAGCAGTATCTTTTTCTTCTGGCGACGACATTCTGCCAGCCCAGTAACAATCTGGCGAGCGCCGGTGCATCCGAGCGGGTGACCAAGCGCAATGGCACCACCACGCACGTTAACCTTCTCATGCGGCAGCTTAAGCTCGTTAATGCAGTACACCGCCATGGACGCGAACGCTTCGTTCAGTTCGATTACATCGATGTCGTCGATGCCAATGTTGAGCTTGGTCAGCAGCTTCGGAATCGCGATTGACGGGCCAATGCCCATGATACGCGGCGCAAGACCCGCCACTGTCGCCGCAACGTACTTGCCCAGGATGGGCTGGCCAAGTTCTTCAGCTCTGGACCGCTTCATCAAGAGCACAGCAGCCGCGCCGTCCGTCACTTGACTGGAGTTACCGCCATGGCTACGGTCGCCATGGGGTAGGAAGGCTGGACGGATTTTCGAAAGTGCTTCGTATGTCGTACCGTAGCGAGGTCCCTCGTCTTTAGTGAGGGTAACCGTCTTCTCCTCGCCGGTCTTGGGGTCCTTGACGCGCACGTTGATTGGAACAATTTCCTCGTCGAACCAGCCCGCCTTCTGCGCCTCCTCAGCCCGCCGATACGACTCCGTGGCATACCTATCCTGCTGCTCACGCGTGATGTTGAAATCCTTGCCCACGTTCTCCGAGGTCTGTCCCATGGGCTGCATGCAGTCACACGCCTCCTGGTTGCGCAGAATTTCGTCGAAGAAAGGCCGCTCCAGACGGTCGCCACCCGCCGTCATCGACTCCGCGCCCATCGCGAGACCGATCTCGATGTTGCCCATGGAAATCTGGTTTGCGATATCTTGCACGGCTTTGAGGCCCGAGCTGCAGAAGCGGTTGACGGATGATCCGGCCGTCGTGTTCGGGAACCCTGCGCCTAGCATTGCGGCACGAACATAGTATGCTGCTTTTGCGTCGCTGACCTGGACGGAGTTAGTCTCATTTCACTTGATGTTGGAACGGGACTCTCACATTGCCTAAGCATATGTCCTCGACAAGTTGGGGGTCCAGCTTCGACTTGTTGATGACCTGCTGCAGCAATTTGAAGACGAGGCCATCGAGCGGAGTGTCCTTGAATCCGCCCTTCTTGGCCTTGGTGAGCGGCGTGCGGATAGCCAGCGTGATGACGATGTCATCCGGGTTCTTCTGGGTGCTTTGGCTCGGTTAGCTCGTTGCGGGGAAGCAAGCTAGAGCCGCATACTCACATCGCAGCGAGGCCATTCTTGGCCGGGCTGATGTGGGAGAGGATCGAATTCAGACGCTCGGTGGCCATGTTGACGCTCTGGCACGAAGGGTATCGATGGGTTGTGGGGAGGTGGAGTGCGGAGGCGGGAGCGGAGTTGGTGATGTCTGATGATATATCGCGGTGAAGAGCTAGGGACGAGCCGAGGCCCACGAGATCGACCTCGGGGCGTCGGTAGTTTGCGGCACAACCGCATCACTGGTCTGGCGTTTGAGGGAACGAGGCGTTCAAACGCCACAAGGCGGGGTCCCCGCAAATTCAAAAAAGTACCGCCGGAATGCACCATTGCCTCTCGGCATGCAGAAAACAAAACACCCACACACCGTCAGCAGCTTGGTTGCCATGCGGCGGCGTCCGGCGCGGATCGAGATCTGCGCTGTCGTGCTCGAATGCGGTCAGCTGGCGCCCACGAGGGTGTACTTTCTAACGGCGGGCACCCGAAAACAACATTGACTTCATCCATCGTGAATACAGCCGCCCGTTGGAACCAACCCTCGACCCTACAACCTACCACGTACATATTCCCGCATTATTTCCGGCCCGCGCGCTCGGTTGCGACGGCACGCGCTCGGCAGTTTCATGGGCAAAGGGCCTTAGCAACGTCATTCTCGCTGCACCGACAACCCGAGTCGCCGAGTTCGCATCCGCCTCTATGGATTACCCACAGTACTCATACAATACTGCCATTCGGCCCACTCCCGCCATGGTGACAAAACAATCGCCCTCCCCTGAGGTTGCTCCAGCCCTCTCCAACAACCCTAGCCATGGCTGATCCCGCCCTCGCAGGCCACGACCTAGAAGAAGCTGGCGACCCCTCCTTCCCCCGCCAACACCACGACTCGCCTTCCTCGTCCGCCACCGAGGATTACCTGACCTCGTCCTCCTCCAGCAACAATGTTTCCCACCACCAGATTCCCGGCGTGTCGGCCGAGCTGGAAAAGACAGACACAGTACACCAAGTACCCTCACGGCAATCAGTAGTCTCACGTACGCAATCGCGCGCGCAGTCCGCCCTCTCGACCGTCCGCTCGCGCCGCCCCGTCCCCGCCTTTTCACATCCACTCTCCCACGTAAAAACGGCTCCCGACGCGCTCGTCGAGTTTGACGGCAAGGACGATCCCTACAACCCCATGAACTGGCCTTTCCGCAAAAAGGTCATTACGACCTTGCTCTATGGCTTCACGACCATGGGCGCCACGTTCTCGTCCAGTGTGTACTCGCCTGCCGTCGAACAGATCGCAGAGCACTTTGGTATAGGGACTGAAGTAAGCACTCTGGGGGTGGCTTTGCTGTTGTTCGGCTTTGGCCTGGGCCCTTTGATTTGGGCGCCGCTCAGCGAGGTGTATGGGCGTAAACCGGCGGTGCTGGCGCCCTATTTCGTCGCAGCTATGTTTACTTTTGGATCGGCCACGGCGAAAGACGTGCAGACGGTCATGATCACGCGCTTCTTTGCGGGGTTCTTTGCAAGTGCTCCGATTACCAATACCGGTATGTAGTTCCCCTGTGTTTCCAAAAGTTAGTCGCAGAGTGGATGGTCCCTCTTACTTCGAAGGCACTGCGCGCGGGGAGCCATCTACTGCGACCCGCTGTTTTAGCAAGCGCAGCTAGCTGATCACCGAATTCCAGGTGGTGTGCTCGGTGATATCTGGAGTGCAGAACAGCGTGGCGCGGCCATCGTGGGCTACGCCATGGCGGTGGTTGGCGGCCCAACGCTGGGACCTATCATCGGTGGAGCAATAGTGCAGAGCTACTTGGGCTGGCGATGGACTCAGTATGTTACGGGCATACTTATGATGTTCATACTGACGCTTGACGTGATCCTGCTCGACGAGTCTTACCAGCCTGTGCTGCTAGTCTACAAGGCACGGCGTCTACGACACGAAACCGGCAACTGGGCCCTCCACGCCAAACACGAAGAATGGGACGTCAGCATGCGGGAGCTCTCGCGCAAATACCTGGTGCGGCCATTCCAGCTCCTAACGACGCCAATCTGCTTCCTCATGGCGCTGTACGCCTCCTTCGTCTACGGCATCCTGTACGCGCAGCTCGCCGCCTTCCCCGTCGTCTTCGAGCAGGACCGCGGCTGGAACCGCGTCGTAGGCGCACTCCCCTTCCTCGCCATCCTAATCGGCGTCTGCTTCGGCGCCGTCGCAAATATCGTCAACCAGAAATACTACACCAAGCGCTTCATCGCGAACAACCGGCGGCCGGTGCCGGAAGCGCGTCTGCCGCCCATGATGGGTGGCTCGCTGTTCTTTGCCGGAGGGCTGTTCATCTTCGCCTGGACCGCTCGCCCAGATATCCACTGGATCGCGCCCAATATCGGCGCCGTTTGCGTCGGCGTCGGCTTTTTTACCATTTTTCAGGCTGCGCTGAATTATCTCATTGATACGTTTCAGGCGAATGCGGCGTCGGCTGTTGCGGCGAATACGTTTTTGCGCTCGGCGTTGGCGGGCGCTTTTCCCTTGTTTATTACCCCGTTGTTGCGTGCTGTGGGTGTCGATTGGGGAGTCAGTATTTTTGGGTTCGTGGCTATCGCGCTCTTGCCGATTCCGTATTTGTTTTTTGTCTTTGGGCCGAGGATAAGAGCGAAAGGAGAGTTTTCGCGGGCGTCTGTTATGTAGGGGGTTGTTGGTGGTGGAGGTAATGCTCATTTGTGGTGTATATATGATGATGTGTAGAGATGATAGATGAATAGACGGAACGATGTATATCCTTGGAGGAGGTACGTTTTACGTCTGTCACTATATAGCTAAAGCTAATAGATAACAGTAAATGTCAACCGGTATGGAAAAAAGCAGTGCTCACTCCAAGCCTGCTGCAAGGCAGACAATGATGTTACCTTCAAGTAACCATATTATAGATATACTAATAATATCGATAGGCAGCAACATGCAAGAAACCACGCCATTATCGTGTTGGTAGCACAGGAGAGTCGAGCCAATGGTTTTCTCTCATGACAAGCCATCTCTGCTGTATAACCACACAGACACTAAGGTCCTCTCAACCTCAGCTCCCATGAAACTTCTCTACATTACCAGTAATTCTTCTCGCATACTTCACCAGTGCCCGCTTCTCTGTGCTTACAGCATCAGTCCACCTCAGAAGTACTTCAATGGCAGTTGAACACACAATGAGTAGCGATTCAGGGGCCGACTGGGCCGCTCGCAGCCGCGACGACTGTGCCCACGCCCGGCTCATTGTCTCAAGGCCAGCTTCGAGGACTTCATTATTCCACGACGCCGAAAGCTCTCGCTCAGACAGTGGCCACGACCCATACACCATAACACGGAGCGGGGTTTCATCGACCGGAACACTGTATAGCCCGGTCTCTGGTTTCTACCACGAGCTCAATAACCTGGGCGAGAGCTCGCAAGAACCCCTGGAGCACGATACTAGATCGACAAGTTCAGAGCCTGAGCACAGCGCGTGCTGAACAAGTTCTGGTTTGCGGAAATTCTCGCCTGCATCGGCAGCCTTGCCGCCTTTCTCGGCATAGTCGCCATACTCTGGACATACGATAAGCACACCTTGCCCAGCTGGCCGTACGGCATGACGATCAACTCAATAGTCTCGTGGTTGGGACTAACGGGGAAAGCTCTGATGTTGAGTGCCGTCGCTGCGTGTCTGGGCCAGGCCAAGTGGCTCCATTTTGTGGGAAAGACGAACCGCCTGTCGGATATGGCTGTTTACGACAACGCGAGCCGAGGCTTTTCGGGCTCAGCATCGTTGCTGTGGAAGAGCAGACTGAGGTGAGTAAGATAATGCTTGTCTTATAGTACTTATTGCTGACGCGACTGGTCGAGATAGGCAGCCTGCAGTCCTTGGGGCAATTGTCGTGCTTTGCTCCGTTGCTATTGGCCCCTTGGTGCAGCAAACGATTGCCGTGGAAATCCGTTCTGTTCCTGTGGACCAGCAAGTTACGATTGCGCGGGCGCAAAACTTTGCCGACAGGGAAGCTCAGCTCAGCTTCGGGCTTACCAACACTATTTACAATGCGATATTCATGGAAAGCGATGATGATAAAGACAAGCTTTCTGTCAATGCGACGTGTCCCACGGGGAACTGCGACTTCCACGTTTTTCAATCGCTGGCGATATGTCACCGATGCGTGGATATATCAGAAAAGCTCCTAACAAACTGTACGGTGTCATGTCAGAACTTCAATATTTGCACTTCTTCTCTGACTGAAATGAAGCCACTACAGTATACTGATGTGGGAACTTCTGACGAAGGTGCCATAGCACTGTCTGTTGATGAGAATAATCCTTCCACAGCCCAGTTTAGCTTGACAGCAATACAGCTTCTCGACGGAGCTTCAGTCACCGAAATATCTGCCAGTCAGTGTTCACTGTTCTGGTGCATTCAGGAATACCAGAGCAGCATCCGGAACAGCATTCTCGATGAGCGCATCTTAGACTCATGGCAAGGGGCCATCTTAGACTCATGGCAAATGGACCATATCGACGGCGCTATAACCTTCCATAGCCCCACCCGCAACAATACCCCCGCATCGGACTTCAATATCGACATTGGGACTGCCTCTCTTCTATTCAGTTGGTTCACAGAATCTTTTTTTTTCAACGGTAGTGTCACTACTTTTCTTAATGATGCAACTGGCTGCCTAGAACTCCTCTCACATGCCAAGGAAAACAACTTAATACTACCATTTCGAAGAGTACCTTTATCCACGCTCTTTGCCCGCCTCGCCATCAGCTTAACGCGCAGAATCCGAGAGATTAGCGGCAGTGTCAACACACGCAACTGGGAAATCAACTACAACGCCAGCGCGGGCGAAGCGCACGCATATGGTACTTCTCAGGTCGACACGCCGCAGATCCAGGTACGCTGGGCGTGGATGGCGCTGCCAGGCACACTATGGGTGCTCGCAGTGCTGTTCGTGATGTTAACAGTGAACGAAACCAGGCGCGCAGGCATAGCAGCGTGGAAGACGTCAGCGATGCCGTTGCTAAGCAGTGGGCTAGAAGGAATGGGGCTGGATGAAGAGACAAGAGAGATGCTGTACCGGGCGCCGGGGCCGGTTGAAATGGAGCGTGTGGCGCAGGAGGTGTGGGTGAGGGGGAATGAAGGAGGTGAGATAGGCGCCGGGTTGCTGCGGAGTGAGGATGCCGTTTGAGTATGGTTTCAGGGGGAAGACTGTAAAGTGGGGATATGGGCTTTATTAGGCTGGTTTTGAGGCGTTTGTCTGTATTGATGGTTCGTAGAAGGTTGGAGTTGGGATAGTAGTCGTACCTAGGTCATGATTTAATTTATAAGGATTTACTGTTTCCTAGGTGATAGGTACACATCATGATTGGCATGACATACACAGCGCGTGATACGACTTTCGAAATACTCCACGTTCCTTCTCACGGTCTAGAGATGGCCGCTTGATCTCGCGATCACAGCCACTTGCCCCCGTTAATTCAACAAACTTCCACATACCCTCAAACACCTTTAGGAACTGTACCTGCGAATCAAGCTTGCTGGCGTTTTCTGCTGTGCTTCGTATTGTTGAATCCGGCAAATCCAATATGCCCACAGAACCAAAATATACTCTAAATTGAAACCGATTTACCCCCGCAACCACATAAAAAAATAATGAAAAGATAAAAACAGGAAAAAGAAAATATAAAAAAGCTCAAGCGAGTCTCGCGACATTGCAAGTTCACCAAAAAAAGATAAAAATAAGAAAAATAAAATATACAAAAACTCAACGGAGACTTGTGACATTGCAGATTCACCAGTGTAATATATTCTTAATAGGGAAGAAGTGAGAGGTGCCAGAGAAGACTAAGAGTCGCCAGAGTTGTGTGCAGAGTGGCGGAGTGAGGGTGTGAAAAAGGGTGGTGACAAACCGAGAAAAAATAAAAAATCCACAATCACGTGTTCCAGACTGACAACATCCATACCGAACTGGATAGAGCGCATACATATGCGCAAGACATGTAACTTAGATCGTACACACAGTAGTTATACACAGATAAATCAGTGAGTGTATCGTGAAGTAATATATCCTTCGGATCTTGACAAACCGACTGGTTATTTCAAAATTAGTACCAAACTTCAATATCTCTTGTAAACTAAGCTTGATAGATGCATGTTCCACTTGTGACTGAAAATGTGTAATGTCAAAAGGTCGTGGTTGCTTCCTGAAGAGTGGATGAGCATGCGGCTCTGAGATAGCACGTGTTGACGTCACATGATGGACGTGCACTACACTATTTAGTTGCCACCTCCGTGCATAGTGCCTACATTTAAGTCCGGATCACCGATAACCTGTTCAGGGGGCGGCAAGCGAGTGCAAGATCAGGCCATTTGGGCGCTTAGAAGCTTCATGTAGAGGCGAAGTTTTGGGGACTTTGTATTTCGCACACTTATCGCCAAGGCTTATTGGTGGTTGAATGTACATCCAGTTCCATGGACGTATCGAACAGTCCAGACTGGTTAAAACGGTTCGCTGCCCAGCAGCTTTCGACTGTTAAGATTAGCGCTGACTGTTCGAAACGCCTCGCTCGCTTTAACGGTAAAGGTATGTGACTGGCTAGGTGAACTCTAGTCGCGCATACCGATGAATGCCTTGTTATTAAGGGTATGAAGGTGCCGACCAGCTGGCCGGTTGTATCCGGGATTGAATGTACGGAGGACATGGTTGACTTCACAAAGGATGCTCTCAGCATTTCCCCAAGAGGCTAGCGTGCTCCGGATGTTCCCCGCAGCAGGCCATTCGGGGCTAAGCCACAGCAAAGCCCCGGTTGCGGCACGAGCTGGGACCGCCGGATAAGCTGTTGCTCTCGACCTTGGATCACTTGCACACCTCACCACGCTTGCCGTCAGGCTGCGACTTTCTCCATATTTGTTCTCTTTCTTCCTCCGCTTCCTCTTTCTCCAAGCCATCCTCACACCCTCATCTGCTTTGTGCCGTGTCGCACGTCGTCATACGATTCAATAAGCATGGTGGCTCCCGTAGCAAAAGGTACGCCACTCTCTCGCCACCGTCGGCTGGGCAGCTGCGGCTGTCCTGACGCATCTGTTCGGGGAACGCTGCAGGTCAGGGTCGCAGGGCCTTCGTGCAGCGTTTATCCTGCGTCGAATATACGACTCCCGTTTTCTAGGCTCCGACACTAACTAATCACCCCACTCCCAGGCGTCATCATCGCCGCGTCCGTGATCGTCGCCGCCGGCATCGCCATTTACGAGAACCCACAGGTCCGCCAATGGGTTGACCAGCGACGCCGCAAGATCGCTCACGCCCTGCATCACATCGGCGAGAACAACAACCGGCGTCCTCGCTCCGCATCCAGCCAGCAAGGTGGCGACCCGGAGGAGCTGCGTAGGCGGAAGGCCCGCAACGAACTCGTGAAGAAGGCGAGAGAGGAGGGCGTCGCGGTCGACCTCGATGAGCTTTCAAGAGCTGGCTCCGATGAGCCGAGCGAAAAGAAGACACACCAAAGGGGCTTGAGCTTCGATGACTTTGTTCACAATGACGGCACGCTTCGGCAGACGGACTCCACTGTTACGGAGAAGGCTACTACGACGGCAACCGACAGCGGTGCTTTTCAAGGCATGAAACAACGTGGCACCGGTGCTCGCGGTTTCTTTGAAGGCTCGACCTACGCAAACCCCTTCGGCGATGAGGCTCAGGTTCTGTTCGACCGCGACCTCGTTGGCACAGAGGACGCTAGCGTGGACGGCAGCCATGTCGACGACGATGCCGAAGAAGCCTCCGTTCCCAGCACTTTTGACACCACCGACCCGTCTCGGAAGAGCTCCGTCACCCTAGAAGGCTCCGCCTCGCCCCTGGAACAGTCTCACCTCATCGACCTCACCGAGCCTTTCGCGCCTCCCTTCCAGCAGGCAGCGGCCCCGGCCGGAGCTGCCTCCGAGCATGCGACCGAGCCAGAATCTACCGCCTCTTTCCACTCCTTTGCCTCGGATGCTTCTGAACCCGCCGCCGCCGCTCCTATGACCTCTTCCGCTCAGCCCTCCGACTTCATCTCCGACGCTGACTCGGACTCGGACTCGGACTCCCTCGTCCAAAGCACAGGCACCTTGACTCCGACCGACGATGGTTTCTCGAATGTAGGCTCTGTTGTCGGCAGTGGTGCGGAGGACTATGCTGCCCACGAGGATGCCCGCTCTGAGGCTGCTTTCAGCGAGACGGGCTACTCTGAGATTTCGGCTGGTGTGCACACGCCTAGCAGCTGGAGTGACATTGGGAGCGACGCTGGCAGCGACTACGGTAGCAGCAATGGCAACGGTCATCACTAAACGGAGTGTTACCGCATAGCGTTGGCGTTTCGAGGAATAAAAGAGAGCGCAACGATATCTTAGGCCTCAAATTGCGATAACGGGACCGGAGCATGGGGTCGGTAATGGGGCTTGGGCATGGCGTCTGCATAAGATAGGGTTTTTTGGCTGGGTTTTTTCGATTCGCCTGTTTTTTGTATCCGGACTGTTGCGTTGCATTGTGGCATTGTGATACGGGTGCAGACAGTATACACTTATGCAATGTTTATTTTTTTGGCGACTCGGGAATGCCGACAATGATTGCGCGCGAGGTGTGGCGCGGGTGGCGGTGCGCACTACTCTTATGGTCCCACTTGGTGCTGGCTGCTGCAGCCAACAATGTGCTTTCCTGCCCTGGCTGGGAGTTTTCGCATCAACAACACCTTCCCGCGCTCGCACTCCTCGCTCTCTCTCGTGCCATCTCTCTCCACCCGCATCTATCTCTGACAACTATTTACAGACGCAATGCCCGCCCGCTGACCAAGGACACGAGCTCGTATTCTCCGGTTTCTGTCTCATCCGCCCTTTTCTTCAGCCTCTTTAAGCATTCCTCGTCCCTAGCTTGTTTCCCATCCCTACAAAGGACTTCCCCTCTTCCAGTCATGAGCCGCGAGTGTTTCCAGAATTGCGTCCCCATTCCGTTCCGATAAAGCGCGCGTCATTGTGTTTACATCCTGCTTCTAGGGAAGCTCTTCGGCCCAAACGGAAGCCATGATATCGCCGCAGTCTGAAAAGCCCTCTCAAGCGCACCGCCCAACGGCCTACCTGGACGGGCTCCGCGGCTTTGCGGCCCTTATCGTCTTCTCCTTCCACACCATTTGGGCCTACTCCAACTTCGTGGAATATGGCTACGGAGAAGGCCCCGCCAACATGCGCCTTGTGCAGCTGCCGTTTTTGCGCCTCCTCTATGCTGGCCACGCCATGGTGCCGCTGTTTTTCGTCATCGGGGGTTATGTCATGGCCATCAAGCCGCTGAAGCAGCTGCGGGCGCGGCGCGCGGAGCGGGGCGACTTGTGCGCGCAACTGGCCCGCAGCGTTTTCCGCAAAGGCATGCGCCTGTACCTCCCGGCTATCGCATCTAGCTTTCTCGCCATGCTGTCCCTGCAGGTCGGGTTTTGGGAGCCGCCCCGCCGCATACTGCGTGATCCCCGCTACTTCAACTACGCGGATATGCATCCCCCTCGCATGCCCCATTTCCGCGCCGAGTTCTGGCGTTGGGCGGCGTCTACGGCGGCTCTCGGTAATATCTGGACGTATGTCAACAAGGGGTTCGTCTTGCCGTACTACGACCTCTATGACCCGCATCTCTGGACCCTCCCATTTGAGATGCGCGCCACTCTCGTCGTGGCCATCACGCTGCTCGCGCTATCCCGCTTCCGGCCCGCGGTCCGCGTCCCTCTCACCTTCACGGTTGGGATCCTCTGCCTCTCGTTCGACCGCTGGGAATGCACCCTCTTCATTGCCGGCGCCCTCCTCGCAGAGCTCGACCTCGCTCTCCCACCCCCCAGCCCCAGTTCCGGCTCTACCCCCTCCCGCTCCGCTACAGCCGTAACAACTACCCTCATCCTCCTCCCGTCCCTCTACCTCCTCAGCGCGCCAAACCTTCGTATCGCGCAGACGCCGGGCTACAAGCTCCTCGCGCGCACGCTCGTCCCTGCCTGCGTCTCGGATCCTAAGCGTGCACTGCATGGCCTCGGCGCCATAGGACTAGTTGCCGCGCTCGGACGATGTCCAGAGCTGCAGAGGCCGTTTGTAACGCGATTCGCACGCGCGGCAGCCCGTCGCAGCTTCGCGCTGTACATTCTGCACGGGCCGCTGATGCACACGCTCGGGTACGGGGTTACGGTGCAGTTGTGGCGGATGCTAGGCTTTGAGGGCGCGAGCAAAGACGCGTCGGCGTTGTCGTGGTGGCTTGGGACTGGCAGCGCGGATGACGCGGCCCGCGCGATGTGGCTGCTGGGGATTGCGGGTGGGGTGGCGGTGCTGGCGCCTGTGGTGTGGTGCGTGGCGGGGTGGTGGGAGAGCGTGCTTGAGAGGCGCGTTTGTGCTAATGTGGCGGGGTGGGCGGAACGGAGGTGTTTTGGTGGGGGGAGGGAAAGGGAGAGGGAAAGAGGAGGGGATGGGGAGGGTGGGCTTTTAGGGAGGTAGGCGTTAGGCGGTAGATGAGAGGGCGTTGGGTTGCTTGCTTGGTTGGGGGGTTCTTGTTTATATTGGCGTTGGCGTTGGCGTTGGAGTTGGCCGGTTTAGATGTTTGTGGGATGGAGGGGTTTTGCTCCGTGTGTATGTATAGATTGGAGTCTAGGTTTGTGGATGGCAGTGCAACTCTCTGCTGCGGTGAAAATAGCGATGGTGTACCTCTTGCACGATTTCCTTTTCTCGGCTTCTAGGCCCCAGATTAATTGTGATCTGATCGAGGAGGTGTAGGCAGATTTACCTATAAAGTGACGTTTCGTTTCTCTCTTTCTTTGCTTTTCCTCTCTTTCCTTTTACTTTCAAAAAACATGCATACGCTGCACAGCACAGTTCACAATAGAAAAAGTATACGGAGATGCCTCTACAATCTGGTTGGTTTTAGTTCTTACAATGGTTAATGTCTCTCTATAGGGCTGCGTGCTAAATCGTTAGTTATACTAGATTGGCCCTAGCGAGATGTAGTAGTTATTATTTATATATAAAAGCGTATATGTATGTCTCTTATATAGGATCGTTATATATTTGAATACGTACTGAGAATTTACTACTGCTGCTTTGAGGGCTAGGGTGGTGGGTAGGGCTGGCTTTTTAGGTATATAGAGGGTAGGTTTTTATAGAGTAAAAATACTACTTATCTCTCCGCTACGAATTTATTTATATATAGGAGTTACGTTAATCTCCCTATCTCTACTAGTACACCTATACTATAGAGCCGGGGCTTCGTTTACGCGTTTACTACTTTAGGTTAGGTACAGACTTACAGTAGTATGCGCGCTACGATTATGCGCTAGCTATACGGTGCGTATCATCCTGCGATGTTTTCGTTATACATCTGCTTACGTATGGTGTTGTCGCTGCTGTTTTGGAGGCGAATATTTTGAGTGAAGTTGTTGGGATGGTGGGGGGGGTAGATCGTAGGCGTGTTTGCTATTAGGGGCTTAAGAGATAACAATCGGCTAAATGTCATTACAGGAAGCTACTACTCTGGAGATAACATTGGTAGGAGGATGTATAAAACCATGAACGCTAATCGCTATACATGACTGACCCTGAGGCTCCGTGGGTCTATTGTCTAAGCATCCTTTCTTTCGACTAAACTTTCTACAGCTTAACATGGAATTTGTTCTTACAATCAGAAGACATGGGGTATGAGTGCGAGTGTAAAGAGCAACCAAATCTGTGGTTATAAAACAAGAACGAAAAAGAGAATATGTGAGGACATACAGTGCTGCCAGAGAAATCTCTTGAGCGATCAATAAGGCAATGATCTTGATGTTGTCATATGTTCTGGGATATAGGCTCCCTGAGAACATACGAAAACCCACAAGTATGCCGTGATGCGCTAAAATCACACATAAATGGACCAGAGCAGTCCTCGAGTGCTGTGCACGAATGTCCAGGGCAGTGCCAGGTGCAAAGCATCGACGATGAAGCAGTGAAGTCGGTTATTGTAACAGTCATCAAGTCAGGTCCGCCATTAAACGACGTAATAGTGAAAGTACGAGGCTCCTCGTTACCTGAAGCGGTTGCTGTAGGAGGTTTGGTTGTAGTGCTCAGCGTGGTAGAGCTCGTCGAAGAGGGGAACGGATTCGTTGTTGAAAAGGAGTTCTCATTCTTGGAAGGCGTGGGTTGTGCGAGGGAAGACTGACGGTCTGAGGAAGAACTCGTCCTGTGAAGATAAAGTCAACGGTGGTACCTCTTGTGTTGACGAATGCTAACTCACGCTGATGGTGCATCGGCATCGTCATTCTTGAAAACCCGAGGTAGAGTGACGCCCAGGGCTATCGCGATGATTACGAAAATGCCGATTAGGGCAACCAAAAAGAACCATCTAGGGTTGTGTCTAATCGGTCCACAATTGAACAGGTTCTGAGTAGTGGAATTTCTGTTATCGGCACTTTGGTGGTTGTTGGCACTCTGGCTGTTGGTTGCATTATCATGGTTGCCTTGCTGCTGGATATTATTGTCTCCGTCGATACCGCTTCCATCAAAATCATTTGTTGGTGTTGAGCGTTGCATGGCAACGTGTTCTTGTGTCATGGGTCTAGCTCTGTAAGTGGTAGCCAGTTTGATCCGGAAAGATGTGGAAATTGCCAGTGCAGAGGGCGTTCGGGAGGAAAAGGGTGCTACGCTCTGCAACTCGCTAGGAAGTGTTGTCACACGCCAAACCGAAACTTCGTACAGTGGCGTTGATTCTTTATGTACCCCGCACGAGGCATATAGACAGTCAGCCTAGCTCAGCCTCCTCAGCTCAGCCTCCTCAGCTCCAGCCTGAGAGGTATGAGAGGTACAGTTTGTGAGATATCGGTCTATTATTCCTATAGTGAAGACCTCAGCTGGAGGCTAGTTCAAATTTACATTTAACAATGGTCACTGACAACCTCTACCTTCTGGACACTTAATTCGACAAAAGAAGGTTCCGCTACCCTTATCTAAAGATTTTATGAGGCAAAGAAGGCTAACAAGGCAGACATGCGGCAAACATCAGCCTTCTTTTCTTCCTGTGTTGTCGAACCACGTGGTCGTCGCACAACGTCTTGTGCAACGTCACACAACATAACTATTCACCGGTCGTAAGCCGGAAATCTCCTTCACCCTAAAAACTCTATTCTGATTACTGCTGCGCCGCAGTTTCTTCCATGGTTATCCTGAGTTAAACGAAGCATCTCGGAGAAAGCCCTACTTCTGGTCACAAGCTCCGGGGTGATGTGCGGACTGAAAGCCACGGACGCCAGAGCTTATATTCCCAGCCCGCCCACGAAGCCAGCATAATGTCCGGAGTTGAAGCAATAGGTGTCATTGCCAGCGCATCGCAAATATCATCCTACATTCTGAACATCATTTTACAAATCAACACCATCCGGACCGAGCTACGAGACGCACCAGATCGCATCAAACAGCAAGATAAAGACTTGTCTATTTTGCTTTCGACCATAAAAACGATCCAAAGCGTTGAGCTTCCACGTGAAGAAGAGTTTCAGGATTACATATTAAGTGTACAAAAGAACGTTACAGACCTGCGTCGCACTCTTGAAAAGAACCACGATCGTTTGGAAAAGACATCCCTCGTACGATTCTGGACAGCCATTAAGGCAATAAAAGCAGAGGATCAGATACTAAAAAAGTTTGGGAGCCTCGAGATTGCCAAAAGTAATCTGAGTCTCTACTTGCAAACAAAAATGAGCTCTAAAAACCATTCTGAGGTTAGAGAAGCACGAACAACCACGCCATAGATAGTAAGCTAACCCTTGACGCATTCAGACCAAACGAATCTCGTCCAGCGAGTATACTTCACAGGAAAGCCCTTCCCAAGCGCTCATCGAGAAAGCAGGCGAGAGCTTAGTCCCCCACAATTCTCGAGAGACAAACCTGGTCCAAGGAACTCAAGACAGTCGCCAAAACGGATCCGCGAGTAAAGCTTCTCCGGTGTCAAATCCTACAGGGAGTGGCATTTCCAACACCTTCAATGGGTGTGGGATAAAGGGCAATCGCAACAGATCTGAGCTGGGAAATGTCCGTTCGAGCCAGTCTGTATCCAACAGTTACACAGATGCGCCGGTTGAAGGAGACGATAACAGGCTGATACATGGCAACATTGATAACAAGGTGTCGTAGCTCAGTGTACTTTAGGGTTACTCTACCTGTTATTCATGTCCTTTGCTTTTTCTCTTGGGTTCCTTACCAGTATGTCTCTTCACAGATCTCGACACACGAATAACGGCCTCTGTTCCTATTGAGAAACTACTCCAAACCGCACAACCACTTCCTTTCCTGATTTTACTTTCATTATTTCTCATTTTGCCTTCCATTTTTATTCTCCCGGCATCACTCACTCACCCCCTACCCCTAAGATAGCTTCCGTCCATAGTTAATTCTAGCAAGCTTAGTCTCTCCATCACGAACTCTTCCCTACCACTGCAACAGTGACCACCTATACGTTATACCGTCCTGCCAAGTGCGGTCATAACCGCCCAGTCCACAGTCTCTCAAACGGTTGAAGGAGGGAATTAACAGAGCTTGTATGGTACATCCTCCAGTCTGCCAGCCTTCACACCCCCTGCCGTCCTCACTCCATACCTATACTTAGCCGTTCCCAACATCTAGCCTCCATTCTCCACCAACCAAAACCCACAGACACGTACCTTACTAAGACATATACTATTACCTATAGACCCTGATACTAAACGAAGCCCCTAACCGGCAGCTAGCGTAAGTCTTTAAACCTACTACCTCCTCTTCAAGCAGCCCCAAATAGCTCTGATATCATAATGTAACAGAGCTAAACAGCTCCGACATACTCCACCCTACCGACGACCGACCAGCCGCGCTAGCGAGACCCCAGCCAGACTGATCATCCATCCATCCACCATCACTGCCAAACCCAGCCCAGTCAAGACCAAGCAAATCGCATCCGAACGTCCTTCCTACCTATACACACAAACGACGTCCTGATCCGAGCCGCTGATTCCTCGTAATAGGCGTTTCTAGGGTAGGCAGCCCTGAAAGAGTCCGAGTGACCCTTCACGGAGCACAGGAAATTGTCGGAATTCTGGGACGGGGCCTAGCGGACTACAAGTAAACAAACTGTGGACTAGACTAGAGTGAGCAATTGCAGCTCGACCATCTAGCTGCTGTTATACTTAACCTGGCGTTTTGGTTATAGCCAGCCAGCCAGACATGCCGCGCCGTAACTTTAGGTTAACTATGTGTCAGCACCTGTGGTCGAGTCCACGCGGCACGCCGGCCATGTCACACAAGCAGGAACCCGCACAACCAAGCCAAGACCAAAATCAACTGACTGGATACACAGTATGGACGGCGCAGGGACTGGAATCTACAGAGCAAGAAATCTTTGGTATTTCCGAGAAACAAAGAGAAAAAGAGAAACGGCACAGCGGCAAACATCAACAGTTTGAAATACTCGCGCAGCACACGCCCTCTTTTCCACTTTCATAGATAGGTTTTAAGTCTTTTCTAACCAATCCAGCCTTCACAGCTTTTCCGTATCACATCACACTGAACCCATGTCTGCTAGGTCATGACACGCTTAAGGGTTCTCCTTGGCGAACTTGACACCCTTCTGGATGTTCTTGGCCAGGTCCTGGACGCAGACGTCGATGAGACCCTGCTCGTAGTCGGTAACGTTGCCGATGGGGTGGATCTTCTCAACACCGTTGGGGCCGAGCTCGACGTTGGAGGCGAAGAAGTCGCAGCCCTGGTCCTTGTACAGAGGAGAGTCGACGAAGGTGGGCTCGATGACGCCCTTCTCGCCCTGGGCGGCCTTGAGCAGCGACTCGGCGAAGCGAGCACCGGCCATGGCCATGGAGAGGGTGGCGGAGCCAGCACCGCCCTTGGCCTGGACGACCTCGTCACCACCGAACTGGACGCGGCGGACATACTCCTTGAGCTCCTCGCCCTCGAGCTTGTGGCCGGCCTGGGAGAGGAGGGGAACAATGGTAGCGCCAGAGTGACCACCGATGACGGTGATGTTCTCGTTGGCCGGGTCGGAGCCCTTCAGCTGGGAGATGAAGCGGGAGGCACGGACAACGTCGAGGGTGGTGACACCGAACAGACGGCGGGGGTTGTAGACACCCTTGGACTTGAAGACCTCGGCGGTGATGGGGACGGTCGAGTTGACCTAGGCCAGTCAGCTCGGAAATTTTGAACTTATTCATCAACACTTACGGGGTTGGAGATGATCAGGATGTTGGCGTTGGGCGCAGCGTCGGCGGTGGCCTTGGCAAGGTCACGGACGATGGAGGCGTTGGTGTTGAACAGGTCTGTACGGAATTAGCACCCGGTAATCACAGGAAAGCCGGCAAATACTCACCATCACGGGTCATGCCGGGCTTGCGGGGAACACCAGCGGGGATGAGAACAATCTCAGAGCCCTCAAGGCAGTCCCTCAGGCCAGAGGGGGTAGGGTCATAGCCCTTGACCTGTTTCCGCGTATCAGCCGCCTATTCGGTTATCCAGCGATTGAGCCATTGGGGTTACGTACGGTGCTCTTGGTGTTGACGTGGGAGACGTCAGCAGCAACACCTAGCATTGACGGTCAGCATTGGTTATGATATGCGGCTCTGCGGACTACAGGAGGTACATACCGGGACCGCCGCGGATGTCGTAGAGGGCAAGCTCGGAAACGCGGGGGTTGAGCTTGAGCAGCAGCGACAGAGGCTGGCCAATGCCACCAGCGGCACCAAGGACGGTGACCTTGGAGTTCTACAGGACGCACTGTCAGAAAGGCCAATGTCTCGATGGGGCGGTGGAAGAGGGCGGAAGCGGGCTAAAGCTGGCCAGCTCGAGGCCGGTAATTACGTACCTGCCTGGCAGAGACGGAGAAAGCCCTCCTCTGGGCGGCGCCGAAGACCTGACGAGCAGCGAACATTATGATGAAGCTGGCTGGAAAAGCGAGGAAATGAAGAAGTGATGGATGGGATGGATTAGTAGACCGGAGCGAGGGAAGTTGATGGTTTTGCGACGCAGCAGCGCTGATGAGCTCAGGCTTGGCGCGCTAAAATCCCGCGCGATTCTCGGAGTTGGCCCTGGTCACCACCATCCGACGCCCGACTTGGCTGCAGAAGCTTATCCAGGAGCCCCGGAGGACCGAGAGAAGGTCCTGTCAAGGTTACGATACCTCGCAGATGCTGAGTTAAAGTTGCGGCTCGTCTCGCGCTTTCCCTTTGACGCAGACACGCCAGGGACGGATGAGATCAGTCATGACGTCTGTCGCTGCTCAAAAGGCCGGCACCCGAACGTGAATGGGGTTGTATCTCTTTATCTCTCTCCTCGTCCATCAAATCACTGTGAAGCATTCGACGTTCCACTGATGTCGCCCGATACCATAAACGACCTCCTGCTCCTCACTTGTGCGAGCGGCAAGCAATGCTCGCATCTCATTCCTCTGCTCTACGGGAAGTGGAAGCGTCTCCGCTTGGTCGTCAACTCCTCATCTTCCGAAAAACGTCTCAAAGAACTGTATCCTGATGCCGAAATCATCCGTGCCAACCTTGAAGATGTCAACGAGACACGGCGAATCATGTCTGGGGTCACCACCGTACTCCACATCGGTCCTTCCTTTCACCCCCACGAGACCGAAATCGGCTACTTCATGATCGACGCCGCCGTCGAGGAATCCAAGAAAGGCTCGTTCAAGCATTTTATTTACTTGTCGGTGCTCAATGCGCAGTTTCGTAAGATGATGAACCATGATTGCAAGCGCTACGTCGAAGAATACCTTATGGAATCCGGCTTGAACTGGACCATCCTTCAGCCCACGCATTTCATGGACCTGTTTCCGGTTCCCATGCTGATGTCGCAGGATGATCCCATCTACCGAGCGAACTGGGACCCGACGATCCCGTTCTCTTTTATCGCACTGACGGACCTTGCTCAAGCGCAAGCAGCAGTCATCGAACAGCGGGAAAAGCATTACCTGGCGCAGTACCCGCTCGTTTCCACTGGGCCAATTCCGTACACTGAGTTTGTAAGGGCTGTGAGTGAGGCGATCGGGAAGAACATCAAGCTTGAGCAGAGGCCGTACGAGGAAGCCGTGGACTCTATGCTCAAGATGCTATTTGGGGGAGGAGATATCCACCCCACGACGCGTGATATGGCGCAGAGGATGCTGCTGTTCTACAACTACCGCGGCCTTTGCGGCAACCCGAATGTGCTCGAGTGGGTTATTGGACGGAAGCCGACGACGCTGGAGGAGTGGGTGAAAAAGAAAGTGCAGGCGGCCAAGGAGTAAATGCCTATTGTCATAATTCACATCCCTTTCTGATCGAATTATGTAGTTACGAGTGCAAGCTCTAGGCCTATGTATGAAGTGACCCATAGGGGGCATTGAAGACTAGGCATGGTTGTAGCATATCTAACATGTACTCATCTGCCTCTACAGAATAAAGACATCTGCCCCTCGGCATGTGCTCGTTAAGCACATGAAAGTAAGCTTTTGGTGCATAGAAGCATGGAAGTCAGCTGGGCCTTCTTCACCTTATCAGATCCCCAGCGCACGGGCCGTTGCAGGATGCGGGGTGCCGAAAAGCGAAATCCCGGGGAAGGACAGGTGCCATCAGCCTTCTGCCGCATGCTCGGTCGAAAGCGACCTTTTGCGCGTTTGTCGCCTGAATAGCAGCCATGGCGGCGTCCGCTTCTGCTGCCCGCCCTTCCGCCACGTTCCTGCGCGATCAGCAGGCCTCTCGTCCGCGCCGCAGCCAATCACGCGTGAGCTCCCGCTGGGCCGAGGTCCAGGCGCGCCGCGTGGTGCTGGAGCGAGGGAGCGTCATCCAGCGCACCCGCACCCCGTTCCCGCCGACCGAGGAAGTTAGAGTGTCTCGTACGAGAAGTTTATAGAAGAAGGTCGAGACTGCTCCTGACAATCACCACCACCCGCTCTCTTTACCCCGCCTCCTCCAAGCCTTTCCCCCGCACACAAGAGGCCTCATGTTCAATGCACTGAGAGCTGCCCGCGCTCCTGCTTCTCTTCTCCGCAACACCATCAGGCCTGCGACTAGATTCTCGAAGGTACTTGCGTCGCGACTCTTCCGAGATGGCATGCGTGCTGACAGTTTGTAGTTTGCTCCCATGGCACCCGTCAGGAAACAGTCCACTCTGCCCGAGGGTAAGCTCTGGCCACATCATCACATGCGAAGAAAGAGAAGTTGACACCCTATGCGCCCACAGGCTACAAGGAGGACTTGAGCAAAGGAAAGATGCTTCGTTTCGAGGACTCTCTCCCCCGCCTCCCCGTCCCCACGCTCGAGGAGACCGCCAAGCGGTACCTCAAGTCGGTACACCCGCTCCTGAACAGCCAGGAGTTTGAGAACACAAAGAAGGCCGTCGAGGAGTTTGTGCAGCCAGGCGGCCGGGGCGAGCAGCTGCAAAAGCGATTGGTAGCGAGGCGCGAGGATCCCAACACGAGGAATTGGATCTACGAGTGGTGGAACGACGCGGCGTACCTGAGCTACCGCGACCCCGTCATCCCGTACGTCTCGTACTTTTACTCGCACCGCGACGACAGGAAGCGCCGCGACCCGGCAAAGCGCGCCGCGGCGCTGTCGACTGCCGTGCTCGAGTTCAAGAAGGACGTCGATAACAAGACACTCGAGCCCGAGTACATGAAGAAGTTGCCCATTGCGATGAGCAGCTACGAGTACATGTTCAACTGCTGCCGTATCCCGGCCAAGCCCGCCGACTTCCCCAAGAAGTACGACCCCGCGCAAAACAAGCACATTGTGGTGGTGCGCAAGAACCAGTTCTTCAAAGTCATGCACGAGGTCGATGGCAGACAGCTCAACACCAGCGAGCTGGAGCAGCAGTTCAGGAGGGTGTATGCAAAGGCAGAGAAGGCGCCGCCGGTCGGCCTCTTCACGAGCCAGAACCGTGACGTGTGGGCAGACGTAAGTTGAGGTGTTGGGTATGACGAAAACGCATCTGACAATGCGCAGGTCCGCGAGAAGCTCATCGCAGCGAACCCCGCCAACGAAAGCATCCTTCAGACCATTGAGTCAGCGTCCTTCCTCGTCTGTCTCGACGACGCGTCCCCCGTCACGCTCGAGGAGCGCGCACACAGCTACTGGCACGGCGACGGCTCGAACCGGTGGTTCGACAAGCCGCTGCAGTTCATTGTCAACGAGAACGGCACGTCGGGCTTCATGGGCGAGCACAGCATGATGGACGGGACGCCGACGCACCGCCTCAACGACCACGCCAACATGCTCATCTTCACCAACGCGCTGCCCTTCGACGACCCCTCGGTGCGGTCGAACCTGCCAGACCCGCTGCCCCTCAACTTCAAGCTCTCGCCCGACCTCAAGACCGACATCACCGCCGCGCAAAAGCACTTTGATGGGCAGATTGGCGCGCACGAGCTGCGCGTGCAGGCCTACCAGGGCTACGGCAAGGGTCTGATCAAGCAGTTCAAGTGCTCGCCCGACGCCTACGTCCAGATGCTCATCCAGCTCGCGTACCACAAGTTCTACGGGCAAAACCGACCGACGTACGAGTCGGCCGCGACGCGGCGCTTCCAGCAAGGGCGCACGGAAACGTGCCGCAGCGTGTCGGACGAGAGCGTGGCCTTTTGCAGCGCAATGGCGGACCCAGCCGCGTCGCCCGAGACTTGCCGCGAGCTGTTCCGCAAAGCCCTCGCCGCGCACGTCAAGTACATCAGCGACGCGAGCGACGGCCGCGGCGTCGACCGGCACCTGTTCGGGCTGAAGAAATGCCTCAAGCCCGGCGAGGACCTGCCCGCGCTGTACCGCGACCCGGCGTTCGCGTACAGCAGCACGTGGTTCATCAGCAGTAGCCAGCTCAGCAGCGAGTACTTTAACGGCTATGGCTGGAGCCAGGTCGTCGATGATGGCTGGGGCATCGCGTACATGATTAATGAGCATAGCCTGCAGTTCAATGTTGTGAGTAAGGGGCTGGGGAGTGAGAGGATGAGCTTTTATCTTAATGAGGCGGCGGGCGATTTGAGAGAGTTGTTGCTGCCGACGCTGGAGCCGGCGAAGGCGAAGTTATAGGCGTGTGTTTGTCTGTCGGGTTGTACGCGTATGCTGTCTCGTTTCTGGTGTTGCTGTGTTGCACGATTTGAGCGAGTTATGTTGGTGTTTGCTTTTTTAGATGCCGTGTGTCATGGCTGCCGCTGTTGCGAGATTACAGTAGAGTCGAGTTGAGCAGAAGCCTCATCCATCATCAATCATCAACGAACAAATAAATCAATTCACCAATCAATCAACCATTCACAGCCCCCTAACAAGCCAAGTACCTACCTACCCAGGCGTACCTACACACCCCCTTCACCCCGCCCCACCTAAAAGCTCTCATCCTCACCCACCCACCCCCCCGCCGCCGGCCTCACGACACTAGGACTCGCCTCCCCAGCACCACCCTCACCCTCCAAGCTGTCGTCCCCTCCACCCGCCGTCGCCAGCAAATCCTCAACAATGCGACGGCTCGCCTCCCTCGCAGGCGTGCGCAGCAGCCGGCTCTGCGGGACGCTGAACTGCAGCGTCTTGGGCGGGCTCATCTCGCCGGCAAAGTCGTCGTAGCCGTCGTCGTCAAAGCCATCGTGGTGCGCAGTCGAGAGCATAGTGGCCTCCTCGTCACTATCCCAGGTGACGAGGTCCTCGTCAGGGACGCCGGCGCCCGCGGCAGCGGACGTGAAGTCTAGGCCCTTGCCGCCGCCGGCGGCAGTGGTGGTGGTGCTGCTGCCGTGGTGCTGGCCTTGCTGGTGCGCGTTGCTGTTGCTTGCGGCCGCCCCGGGCGTGTGCAGCACGGACTCGCCGGGCCGGGGCGCCCGCCGCGGCGTCTTGCGTGCTGGGGTGCGGCGGCCGGGCGTCCGCGCCGGCATCAGCGGCGAGGAGAACATGTCTGCGCGCAGCTGGGGGGGTGCTTCGGCGCCGGGGGAGGAGAGGGGCGACGAGTCGAGGGCGGCGAGGGTGCGGCGGGCGCGAGCGCGCGCCGCGTTGTCGTTGCCGGGCGTGCCTGCTGCTGCGTTGTTGGTGTTGTTGTTGTTGTTGTTATTGTGCGCAGGGAAGCGCGACGTCTGGATGCGCGCGCTGCGCCCCGTGCGCGGCGTCGCGGCGATGCGGTACGTGCGGTCCAGCATGCGGTGCAGCAGCGGGTCGTGCTGGCGGTTGTGCGTCGTCGTGGAGGCGCTGCCGGGCGCGAAAGGGCTCGACTCGGGAGTCATGGACATGTCGGGGAGGGCGGCGGCGGCGCGGCCGGGCGTCGCGGGCTCTCCCTCTTCCTCCTCACCCCTCATGCCCGTGGCGGCTGTCGCGGTGGTGTGGTCGGGCAGGTCGTCGTCCTCGTCGGCGCTGAGCGTCGTGTCGCCTGCTTCTTCCTCGCCGCGCATCTCCCGCTTCAGCGCCTCGTACGGCGAGCCGAAGTTTGCGAAGCCGCCCGAAGTGGGGCGGGCGCTGGGCTGGCGCGGGGTGCTTTGGGCGTGTGCGGCGGAGATGGAGGGCGAGGAGAGGATGCTGTCGTCTGGGCGGCCGGCATTGTCGTCGTCGTCCGAGTCATCGAATCTCGTAGGATGGTCTGCGCCGGAGCGGGTGGTGAGGTCGTCGTCGCGGCTCGGGCTCTCGTCGAACGTCTCGGAGCGCTGCGTCGTATCGTCCTCGTCGGGGTTGTTGTTGGGCTCCTCGTAGCCCGACAGCGACACATTGGCGCTGGCCTCGAAGAACTGCTTCCAGAACTTGGAGCCCTCCCACACGGCCTCGGAGTGCTTGGCGTACTGCTCGACGATGGGGAGGATGCTGCCGGTGACGATGCGGTGGGCGCGACTGAAGTTGTGGTCGATTTCTGCGGGCGGGGCGTCAGCGAGGTGTTGGTGCGCAATTGCAATTGGCGATAGATGATGCACCTTGCAGGGTGAGAGTGATGGACTGCTCGAGCTTCTCCAGCTCCTCGGTGAGGGTCAAGTTGCGGGCTTGCATGATGCTGTAGGTTGTTTGTGGTGGTTGCGCCGCCGCTCGGGCAGCAAATGCGACGCGCCGCCGACGACTGACTCGCGCCGCCCTGCGCAACGCTTCCCCGCATCGACGACTTTCCCCCAGATACGAACTGTAGATCTTCCTATACGTCCCCCATGCCCAGGCCTCTGCGCCGCGGCCCCGGTACATCATCGTCCGAGAGGGGTACGCAGCAGGTAGGCTCGTACGGCGCATATATACCTGCTCCGCTCTCTCATTCTCCGTCTCTGCTCTCTGCTCTACTTCTACTATCTAGTCAAACGTCTTTTCCATTTCTCTCCCCGTCAATTGAGTCCCAATGGCCCCCCGCATGACCCTCCGCCGCCTGAGGCTCCCCCTCCCCCTCCGCCGCCTCTCCCCAGCCTCGACACACTGGGCCCGCGCCTCAAGCAGCAGCAGCAGCAGCACCAGTCCGCGCCCACAAGACAACCAAAACCAAGCCCAAACTCCACCCACAGCCAGCAAACCCCGCACCGTCATCGTCACCGGCGCCGCCCAAGGCATGTGCGTCGCGCCCCGTCCCTCCCTCCTCCCAACCCCCCACACCACACTAACGCCCCTCCCCCCACCCAGCGGAAAAGCACTCGCCCTGCACCTCTCCCTGCACGAGCACTACGCCCTCGCCATCAACGACATCCCCTCCAACGCCAGACAAGCCGAATCCCTCGTCAAACAAATCAACGCCTCGGGCGGGCGCGCCACGCTCGCCCTCGCCGACGTGCGTGACCGCAGCGCAGTGGACGGCATGGTTGCGCAAGCCGTGCGCGAGCTAGGCCCGCTGCACGGGATGGTCGCGAACGCGGGCGTGGCGGGCGTGGGCGGCGTGCTCGATCTCGACGACAATGAAGTCCGCAAGGCGTTTGAGGTCAATGTCTTCGGGCTGTGGAACTGCTATGCTGCTGCTGCGCGGGAGATGATTAGGCAGGGGACGGCGGGCCGGCTAGTCGGTGCTGCGAGGTAAACTTTCCCTTCCTCTTTTCTCCTGTCTTCTTTTCTCCCTTCCTCTGTTCTCCCGTCCTCTTTCCCCCCTTTCCCACCCTTACCAAACCCCAACCCATCCTCCCGCAACAGCTAAGCTAACCACATCCACGTTCACCCACCCACAGCATCGTCGCCCACCGCCCCTTCCCCCACCTCGCCCCCTACAGCGCCAGCAAAGCCGCCGCCCGCTCGCTAACCCAGTCGTTCGCGCTCTCGCTCGCCAAACACAACATCACGGCCAACTGCTACGCGCCCGGCATCGTCGACACCAGCATGTGGGCCGGCATCGACGCGGGGCTGGGCAAGGTCGAGAACCGCGCCCCCGGCGAGAGCATCAGGCTCTACTCGCAGCAGCTGATTGCGATGGGCCGCACGAGTCGGCCCGAGGACTTGAATGGTGTTGTGGCTTGGTTGCTGGGCGAGGGGAGTGCGTATGTGACGGGGCAGACGGTGGTGGTCGATGGGGGGGTTGTGCTTACGTGAGTGCTTGTAAGAGAGAGGAGGGAGCATTTGCGGATGCGTTGGCACGGCGTTCGTTGTGTGTGTATAGGTACCTAGTGTAGAGGAGGGCAAATGATCCGTTCTGTTGTCTACCTACCTAGTGTCTCTGCAGCTGGCTAGCACAAAGCAGCTACCTAAAAAAAAATCACTGTTTCCCGTGAGCCGTAGCAGTACTCCTATCACGCCATGCCGTTCGCCGCCGCCGAAAGCTCTCTCTCTAGATAAGAGGCTGGAAGGAACATGATTGAGGTAGAAAAGAAGGAAAAAAGAGCATCTGTACTTGGAACAATAGTGGAGACTTGTTGTTCAGAGAGCAGCAATGATGGCATCGACAGCCTTGTCCGTCGCTGAATCGTCTGACAAGTAGCCGTCCTCATCGGCACTCCTGTCCTCTTCCCACTCGTCGCCATCCTCAAGCGCCAAGTCAATGCTGCTGTCGCTATCCTCGTCAGAAGACTCGTCCAGCCCCGGCATGAGCTCGTCGTCGGGCTCTGAGTCGGATCCTGGGTAATACTCCGTAGGGTCGACGTCGGACTGGGAAGAAGCTTCCCCGATATCATGGAATAAGTGCTGATTTCCCTCATCCTCGCCATTATCCTCGCCAGGCTCTTCATCCAACGCTCCACCAGGGTTGTCGACATCATAAGCAATGAAGGGGAGAGTTACATCCGGGGCGATTTGATCCGGAAGAGCACCAGTCAACAGAGCAACCATCGCCACGGCCGATGTTATTACAGTGCACTTGTGTAGCTCCATAGTCTTCCAGTCGACCTCGTCCGTCTCGTTGAGGACGTAGCTGGTGACGTTGTCGCCGGGAAGGTGAATCAGTGCGTGCTTGTCGACGAGGTTGTGACCCTCGAATACGGAGAGGCCAGGAAAGTCCCCCTTGTGGAGGAGCTTGAAGATGCCGCGCCAGGTGCCACTGCGAAGGAGTATGTCATCCAGCCGAAGGCGTTCCAGCTGCTTGTGGGTAGTCAGGAATCTAGCAAGTTCTTGGAAGTGGACCGAGATGCCGAGGAGCGACAGGCCCTTGAGCTTGTTGATGCGCTTTCCGAGGAGGGCTTTGAATGGAACAGGAAACTCGAGTCTTTCCGGGAAGTGCAGGTGAATATCCTCGAGGAAGGGGGCGGTTGCCAAGAAGTCGCTCAAGAAGCCATTCATTAATTCTCGTTGAAGCTCGCTACCATCGGCCTCGCTCATGCCCCTTGGAAAGGCTAAGAAGAGATGGAGGCTGTGGAGGTGCTTCACATTCACCTGTAGGAATCGGCTCCGTTGAATGGCAGGAAGCCGAATTGAGTTGAGACTGAGGCCGGTAACTTCAAAGTGGCATGGGCCGCGGCCACCGCTACGATGCATGGCACGAACGACAGTTGATACCGCCTGGGAGTGCGCAGTCTCTGATTCTTCGTCGGTCAAAGGCATAGGTACCTCGCGCATGATCCTTGAGCGGTATGCTCTCGGTGTGTGAGCTTCCACCTCGACACTTTGGAGGGTAGAGTCAAGCTCCTTGATGATGCGAGCAAGCAGACCAACATGAGCGAAATCCTTGTAGAAGTTTTGTTGATCCTCAAGGCACTCCTGGTAAATCTTGTGGGCAGCCTTGGCCTTGGGATAATCGGCCTTGGCCTCGTCGTCTTTCGTGAACTGCTCGAAAACACCCGTCTCGCTCATCCAGGGGTATTCTGACTGTGCGTTTGTCTGCATGCGGAGCCAAAAGCTGTCGTAAGTCTCACAGGCGGCGGGGTAGAACTGGTATGCCAGGACTACAATGTGCTGAAGGTAGCGACTGAAGGGTTGCGTCGTAGCGATTTGATAAAGCCTTGATAAGCTCTTGCGCTCTAGCAGAACTAGGCGGTTGTGAAAGAAGGTTTTGAGGAAGATATCGCTGGCGGCAGCATTGAGAGACCTGCTGGCAAGGCGGACGGACCTGATGTTGTCCAGGAAGCTGTTAGGCTTGAAGGCGGCAGGGCGGATATCATTGGGGGGTTCTTCGTAGAGCGCCTCAACGATCTGCATCCGCAGCTCAGTCGGCAGGGTGTCCATGATTGACGTGCGCTCAGAAAGAGAGTGTGGGGAGAAAAAGATGGGGGATATGTAGGACGGAGTGAAGTTGACTGGCCGGGCGCAAGCGGAAGACGTTTGGGCCTACGTCATAGCCCCCCCAAACACGCGCGCCGGGCGGGCAGTTGATTAAACATGCGCAAATATTTGCACATTGCAGTTCCAAAGCCCGCACTCACCCATCCTACCTACAACGACGGCCTGAGGAGTAGAGTTTGTTACAGTATACGTGCTCTCATGAGTAACGCAGCCAATTACGAGCGCCGCCTCTACATTTACTACCTAGGGAGTGATCTGTGGGGAGCATTCTGAAAACATCGTAAGCACACAGGTATCCTATGAGTGAGATAATCTTCAAATTCGGGATGACTTGTCATGCTTTCGCGTCTGTGGGGTGCCACTTACCGTAGGTAGAGACATGAATGGTGTTATCTCACTCTCTGGCCGTAGTACGCCTTCACTAGGCATACGTCTGTCTCGCCCAACTTCTGCTGGATTATATAAATCTCGATGCCGTTCCCCGACCCGCGGACGCTGTGTCTGGCGAAATGATGACCTATACAGCTCCTTCGTCTTCCACATTGTCGGTGTTTTCTCGACCGTTTGTCATCGTGGCCGTGTCGTATCGCTTTCCACTGCGCAAACAAGCTGTTGATGCCTCTCCCCGCGGCTGTGTTACTGTCCTAGTTCGGCTGGCATCCCGTAAGCCAAGCAGTACGCAGTACGGCAGCGTCAAGCTTTATCTCTGTCCGGCGTCGCTATCTATAGTCGAACTGCAGTCGCGATGCAGTCGCGATGCAGTCAGGTTGCAGCTGCCCTAACCCTATTCCTCTCCCGGTTTGGCACCAACGCTAAACTTTTTGCAGGAAAGGGTCCACGACGCGCCGCACTCAGTTTCTCCTGAATCTTTGTATCTGGAACCCTTGGTGCCTTCCAATATTTTATATTTAGTCCGCCGTCTCATGTCGAAGGAACGAAATGGCACGCCTCTCCCGCCTAGTTCGTCAATCCAGCCTCCATTCCTGCAGATTTGCCGCGTTGCGGCTCGGTGCGTCTCCCGCCATAACGTCTGCATAATCACCATCGCTTGCTTGAATTGGGAAAGGCTCTGCAAACGCCAGATCCTCATGTGATGGCGGCTCGTCAGAACGTTTTCCATGCGCACGCACTACGACTTATGCGGTTAGGCCCCCGCTCTCGGGCTTCACATTCTTTCTCGAACGTCGTGTACGCTCCACCGCCCGTAGACCAGTGTGATGTAGAAAGCTGTTGAATTTACCGTTACGACAATCCAAAATAGATTCTCGCTTTGCGCAAGGATGACCAGCCCGCGGCTCAGACACAGGCTGCGCAACGCCCGAAACCCCGCGTCGGCGGAGATGAGCGGTGGAGAACAGACTCTATCTCGTATATCTCGGCCCCGTCGTTTCTCTCGCCTCGCTATCGTGGCGTGCTACGGCAGCATGTTGCTTGTGCTGAGCTTGCCACGCTTGCCCTGCCTCGGCAGGTGTGATTCTCCCGACGGTACGTCGGTACGTACATATAACACGTCTGCCGCAGGCACAGCAGTCGCCAGCCAGGACTTGAGCTTGGTGCGTTGATCATACAATCAGCAATATTCACTATGATCGGCCCCCGGATCCTCGCCCTTGTTGCTGCAGCTGTGGTGTCCACGACTGCGTCGCCGGTGCTGCGTACGCGCTCGCCCTACGCTGTCAAGGATTCACACAATGTCCCGCGCAGCTGGTCGCGCCTTAGCTCTGCACCAGGCGACCACATGATCAACCTGCAAATTGGCCTGAAGCAGGGTCAATTTGATGAGTTGGAGAGGCATCTCTACGAGGGTATGTGCACAAACAACCATACATTAGATGTGTGTTAATGGCAGCAGTGTCCGATCCTGCTCACGATCGTTATGGAAACCACTTGAGCATCGATGAGGTCAATGACTTGATTAAGCCAGAGGACGAGACTCTGAACCTTGTTCATGAGTGGCTCGAAGACATGGGCATTGAGCGCGCCAACCTTGACTACAGCCCTGCCAAGGACTGGATTAAGGTTTCTTTGTCTGTTAGCGACGTTGAGCGTCTACTTGACACCGAGTACTCCGTCTACGAGCATGAAAATGGCGGCCAAGTTGTTCGCACGCCGAAATGGTCCCTCCCTGTTCATTTGCACGAGCACGTCGAGACCATCCAGCCCACCAACTCTTTCTTCCGTCCCACGCCGCGCCGCAAGCATCTGAAAGAGGTCAAGGAAACCGATTCTCAGCGCAAAGCTATTCAAGCCTACAAAGAACCCGCAAGCCACGACCTCTCCGAAGTCTGTGACGAAAGTAGCATTACTCCTACTTGCCTGCGCGTCCTGTACGGCACCATTGACTACGTCCCCCAGGTCCCCGGCCAAAACAAAATTGGGCTGGCCAACTACCTCGACGAAACCAGCAACCGCTCGGATGTGAGCATCTTTCTGCAGCAGTTCCGTCCCGACGCCGTGAGCGCAGCGTACAACTTCACAATTGAAGTCATCAACGATGGCGACAACACGCAGATGCCCAACACGCCCGAACAGAATGACGACGGCAAGGATGAGGAAGCCAACCTCGACGCCGAAACCATTCTCGGTATCAGCTACCCAACGCCCATGATTGCGTACAACACCGGCGGCAACGCACCGTCAATCGCGGACGCTGTCACCGACGCCGACTCCAACGAGCCCTACCTCGTCTGGGTGCAGCACATGCTCAGCCTGAAAGACATTCCCCAAGTAATCAGCACATCGTACTCGGACAACGAGCAGACCGTCCCGCTCAGCTACGCACGCAGTGTATGCCGGCAATTTGCCCAGCTCGGCGCGCGCGGCGTATCGCTACTCTTCGCGTCGGGCGACGACGGCGTCGGCCCCGAAGGCAACTGCATCCTCAACGACGGCAGCAACCGGACCGTCTTCCTGCCCGAATTCCCGAACAGCTGCCCCTACGTCACCAACGTCGGCGCAACAAAGGGCTTCGCGCCGGAAGTGGTCGCGCACGATGAGGCCAACGGCTTCGCCTCCGGCGGCGGCTACTCGAACTACTTCGCGCAGCCGGCATACCAGCGCGCGGTCGTGGAAGCGTACACGGCGAGCTTGGACGGCGCCTACAAGGGCTTGTTCAACGCATCTGGCCGCGCGTACCCGGACCTCGCTGTCCAGGGCCAGCATTACGCCGTCACGTGGGGCGGGCAAAACGTCCATGTCGACGGGACCTCGGCCTCCACGCCTGCGGCTGCGGCGATCATCTCCCTGGTCAATGACGCGCTGCTTGCGGCGGGCAAGAAGCAGCTGGGCTTCTTGAACCCCTGGCTGTATGCGGGTGGCTGGAAGGCCTTTAACGATGTCACGAGTGGTAGCGCGGTCGGCTGCGGTGTTGATGGTTTTCCGGCGGCGGAGGGCTGGGATGCTGCCACGGGTTGGGGCTCCCCGGATTTTAAGAAGGTGTTGGAGGCGCTGGGCGTGCCGTTTAGTGCTGCTGCTGCTGCTCCTGCCCGTGGCGCTGGGAAGAAGGCTAAGGGGGCGTGAGTGGGGTGAGGTGGTTGGGTGGTTTTCATTCATACGCCCTTGTGTGCGCACACAGTACCTAATGATACCTAAGGTTTTGATGAAATGAACGTGTGCGCTGCTGTGGTGGTTGGTCGTGCTTAGTGCTTCGCGGCCTGCGGTTTGAAGGCCATCACTTCCTATGCTTCCAAGATGTGGTATTGGTTCATGTGCGGTGTTGATTTGGCGTGGTGTTTCGCTCCTACAGGTGACTGCGAAGTGGAGGGGGCGTGTAGCTCTTGTAATAGATGTAGAGCCGGATCCAGTGGACATGATGCAGAAGGGCGCGATTTGTAGATGAGTTGTTCTTTAACTAGACAGTTGAGTGGTTGTTTGTAAGGTTGTTCCGTGCGGGAAGCTCGGTCATGCTTATCTGCATGCGCGTTATGGATTGTGTAATGCATAGGAAGGAGTGTGTATGAGGGTGGAGTTGGGTTGACTTTTGTGGTGTAAGGGACTGTGGTTCTGGTGTGATGACTGCATAGTATGTCGGCATAGATAGGTACTTAGTTAGAGGGAGTAAAGCGTCACTGATCTGAACAGCCGAATTTCTGGATTATTTCTGCATTCACGGGCTTCGTGTAACGGGCGTCATCATTTACGAGGGAATGTGATGTTGGCGATGACCATAAATATCACAAAATACAAAAACGGGCCTTGGGTTGGGGAGTTTGTTGTTAGCTTTTCGGAAATGGATGTTTTGGGATCGATATGCATGAAAATACACTTTACTGGTACATGATATCACTCAGCTTAAAAAATAAACGAGAGGGGTTTATATTATTCTTTTTTTTTTTTTTTTTTTTTTTTTTTTTTTTTTTTTTTTTTTTTTTTTTTTTTTTAGTTTTTTTGTTACAAAGCCATAGTTCTGTTCGGCAATTTCTCCGTCCGTCCTGCTTGTTGGACTGCACTATCAACCAATCTTGTGCTGTCTGTATGAAGAGTGAAAATATAGGTGCCAGAAAACTCAATCCCGCCGCCAAAAGAAAAAAGAAATCAATCTGCATCCGCAATGATGCTGCCTTGTGCTTGAGACTCTCTGGGTCTCTTGGGCCTTCTCTGATTTAGTTATCCTCAGGTCTTGCGAGCGTGACTCGAGACCAATCTCCATCCTTCGGCATCCAGAGTACCTCCTTCTGCTTACCAAAAGGGTGAGGAGGTGTCCAGAGCTCACATGGACCCTCCGAACGCGCAATGTAGATGCGTTCTGCCAGGAAGGGATAAGTCAGCTCAGGATCTGAGTGGATGTCGACTGAAACAGAGAACTCTATTACCAAGGTCTTCAGTAAGGATGGGCCCCACATTCGAATTATGAACCACATAGATTGCAGAATTTCGAGACTCGGGGTGTTCAGTCTGACTCGGGCATGCCGAAGAGACCGACAACCAAGCCGGGCGATTATGAACGGAACGGAGTCGGTTCCGCGCAAACCCGGGTCCAAGAAGATGGATCGTAGCTTTTTGAGTCTGCCAGGAGAGACTGCTGCGGCCAGGAGCCAATCCAAGTCAGGCTGGGAGCCGTTGGAATCATCGAAAGTCAGCTCCAGCTTTTCGAGATTGGTATACAGGTCCACGTATAAGCCCATGTGATGGGGAGGCGCCCTAAAAGTCAAGGGGTAGTCACCGCACTTGACTACAACGGAGAGCTCCTTGATGTTGCTGGCTATGGTTGGAGATTCCTTCTCTGTGCGCTGAGTGCGCACATCCCAGCGAACCAGCGACTCTCGGGTAGGGTAATCGGAACCACTCAAGTCGATTATTTGCCGGATAGATTTCAGTGTGGGCATAAGCGCACCACTGTTGTCATAGGCCAGGTGCGTCCCAAACCTACCCAAGCCGTCCGGTTTACCAAGTCGTTCTTCGAAGACCAACCGTCGATTACCGATCCTCTCGCAGAAGCCAGACATTTGGTACTGGTAGATGGTGCTGAGGTTAGGTAAGAGCGAGACGATCCGGACTAGCAGGTTGATGTCTTGTCCATCTTCGATGAACTTCTTGTATTTACGGGACATACACTCCAACTGCCCAATGTTCGCTCTAACAGCCTCGGCCTGCGCGTCGCTTGTCGCACTTGACAACTGTTGGTTGAGAGCATCGAAGACCGTTTCGTCCACTCTCCCAGGCTTAATAGACAGAGCTTTGGTGTTACTTGCGAGCTTGGGATTCTGCTCCATGATGTTGAGGAGGTTCGAGAGCTCGCCAGGAGATATGGACGTTTGCCGACTCGCGATAGCTTGACCCATTGCAGCGTTTCCTGCGTTGAGAAACTTCCTTGAGACGGATCGCATGGCATAGATTGTCGAGCGGGATTCCTTTGTCAACATGGTGTCTCCGATCTGTCGCTCGGGGTCATATTCGATCACGTTGTCGTATATTAGCATGATAACTTCAACCGGAAGGACTGGCATTTCGTTTGCCGAGCTGCGAGTGTGAAGCGGCATTGTAGAAGATGGGGGATCACCTGGTGAAGGCATGCTGACGGTGGTGGGCATTACCAGGTGAGGAGCAGGGTGAAGAAGGAGTAAGTGAAGAGAATATGAGGAGGAAAAAGGCGAGAGAAGGCGATAGGTGGTGGGCTTTTATACCTACCCACTAGCGTGGTATACATAACAGATGTTGACAGACAATGTCGTCAGTGTCCATTGTTCAGCCACTCTTGCTGTTACGCTCACACCCCGTCCATCCCTAAACACTGCAGCTTTTCTAGCAACACGCTTACGCTCCGACTCGGTCCAGCCAGCATATGCTGACTTACTCTCATGACAATGTTTCGCACAGGACGGATATCCCTCACCGCGATTAGCTCCCTCTTTAGCCGACTTGACGTCTCCCCCGACCAAGACTTTCACCCATCGAAAAGACACAAACGCAAGAAACCAAGCCAACAAGCACCAGCGAAAGTCGGTAAGGTGTGCATTACTAGCGAAGCATCTCACTTCCAGTATAACGCAGCAAGCTGCCCAGTGAAGCAGCGGGCTGTCAAATATATATATACGCAAGCTTCCATACCTATCGCACTGATTATATTAAATCTTTAAACCAAAAAGAATTGATGAACGTGTTAACAAGCTGATTACAGGAATGAGCGACTACTTATAGTCGTTGACTGAAAGAAATGATCGATTGCTTGTTTGCAACGAAGAACTGCTGACCTGCAGGTTTGTGTTTGACCTACAGCTTGCTAACTTGAGGTTTGTAGAGACATCTGGGAACCAGATCTAACAAAATACCTTAAATGGTTCCGTTCGCTGGTGGCTCAGCCTTCTGTTCGACTGGCCTAATACTCTCTACCTGTGGTGGAGCATGAGGATCACCTGATCTCCTGGCTTCAAGTTTAAGGCTTGTGTTTAGCGTCGTATCGGTGGTAAGCACCATCGTAGGAGGCAGACATAGATACGTAGTCCTACTACAAGTAAATAGGACTACTAGTTCTAGCAAGATTTTGCTCCCGCACCGTCGTAGACCCGATAAGAGATCCCTATCGCTGGCTTACTAACCCCCCGCGTGCCAGCACCCAGACGTTCGACCTTGGAGAGCCTGTTACCCTTTTCGGCCGACGTTGCTGCTGGCTTACTAACCCCCCGCGCGCAGACTCCTAGACGTTCGACCTTAGAGCTGGTTGCCGTTCTGGGCTGGCGTGGTAGTTTATGTGGTGGTGGTTCTTAAGCCTCAGCCGCAAACACTGATAATGTCTGTTAACGAAGCTGGCTTTGAGAAGCTGGTATGACGGGGTTGGGCAGTGTGAAGTGTCTGCGCCTGGTTAGTGCTCGACGCTTTCTGGGTGGGATGGTTGAACATGTACATGTGCATTGTAAGATAATATTGTTTTGCAAAGACTTCTGCATACACACATACACACATCTACCATAGCGCGCTCAACCAGACGCTCCCATCGAGCTCAACCAGACGCACCTTCCGTGCACTCCACGCCCAAGTCACTGGGCGTATTAGCGCAAAGAACCTCATTCTTACCCGAGGGGGCCTTGACCTCCCAGCCAGAGAAAGAAACACCACAAGTTCCCTCCTCGCCACAGTTCAAGTTCGCCGTAACGGGATCCTCCTTATCGCTCGTAGTGCCTGTAAAACCCTTGACCACCACGCCGCTCAACTTTGCGTCGCCAGGGCTGCTCTCGCAGTACTCGTCGTCCTCGCCATAGCAGCTCTGGATCTGGAACGCGTAGTCGCAGTTCTTGACGGTGAAATCCTCAAACGTCACGTTCGAGACGGTGCTAGTCTGATGCCCGTTATCCGTCGGGTACGTCTTGATGCCGGCGGCCTTGGTCGAGTCGATCATCGTGATGTGCCCTGCGTAGACGTTCGTCACTGTGTCCGGCGACCCCTTGCCCAGCGAGCCGACGCTGATGCCGTGGCTGCCGGTGCAGGTGACATCGGTCACGGTGACGAAGTCCGCGCCCGGCTTGAAGGCGATGCAGTCGTCGTCGTTGACGACCGTCACGTTGCTGACCGTCACGTACGATGCCGCGCCGATGTCGAAGCCGTCTGTGTTCTTGGGCTCGTTGTCGGATGTCGATTTTGCGCTCAAGCTCAGGTCCGAGAAGTGCACGTTTTTGCTGTCGTCGCGCGCCGAGATGAACACGTTCGGCGCGTCTTTATGCGCAATGTTCGTTAGTGTGATGTCGTTGCTGCCGGAGATGTAGACCAGCGTCGGCCGCGCAAAGTCTTTGTCTTTGGCGAAGAGGTCCCAACTGCAAAGTCGCGTGTCAGCACTCTTTCCTACATACACACTCTCTCAGCTCATGCGTAACCTACGCTGCCTGCCCATTACCATCAATAACGCCCGAGCCAGTCAGACTGCGGATCTTGGCCCCGTCGATCTTCTTCACGTTTATCATTGCGCGCTCGCCGTTCCAGAAGTCAGTATCATCGGAGAACTTGAGCGTGCCCTCAATCTGGAAGTCGCAGCCCTTGCAGCCCTCGAAATCCAGCACGCTGTTCGCGTAGTACGTCGTCCCCGCGGGGAGAACAATTGTGCCGCCGTTCCCGCACTTGGTCAGCGCGGACGTGATGGCTGGCACGTCGTCTGTCGAGGCGGAGCCGCCGGCCTCGGGAGTGCAGGCTGCACGTGGAGCCAGCCGGACAGATGAAGCGGGCAGGGCTGCGGCTGCGGCGCTGAAGACCGCCAGGGTCGAGAGCATGGAAGAGTGCATGCTGGGATGTGGTGATGAGAAAATACAGACTCAAAGATTGATTTATGCGGAGAAACACGACACAAAAAAGAACGAAAGGACTTGCTGGGGAGGCTCTGTCTGCAGCACCGCCATCCCGCTTGGCAATCATGTATATATAGGCGCAAGCTCGACGGGAGAACAAGCGGACGAAACGCGAGTGTTTCAACAGGCAACGTCCCCGACCGAAATTAGGGCCGGCGGGGTGCGGACGGCGAAGCCGCCGTTTCGAGCATGTGAGGAGGCAGATGATGCGCATAGAAATGCAAATTGAGCGCGCGGGCCGACAGGCGGCTTGGTGGTGCGCCTGTTTGGTCGTTGTCCGTCCACCACTCAGCGCCCACACTGCCTTGCAGGGATGGAAACTCCCGCCTTTCTTCAGCTCCACATCTTACTGTCTCGAATGACGCCACTGTTGCACGCTTCATGCGGGCGCTAATCTTTATATTGTCTTCCGTCTTCCGTCTTCTCGGCCCGCTCGCCGTGCTATCCTGGCTCGCAGCCACAGTGAGCGTCAGTGAGTATTTAAGCGCGCAATTGTATAAGCTACCTAAGATGCCTAGTTACAGTGTATAAATCTCGTCGATCTACCCCAGTCTCGCCTTCTAACGCCTCTCCACAATGCATATCCCCACTGTACTCACCCTCTTCCTCAGCGCCCTCCCCGCCCTCTCCTCCCCCCTCAAAAAACGCGTCTCCCGCACCACCGCACCAGCCGGCTGCCTCACCATCGGCGCCAGCAACGCATCGCACAGCACGCTGAGCTCCGCGCTGAACGCACTAGGCGCCAGCGGCGGCGCCGCATGCATCTTCATGCACGCGGGCACCTACACGGAACAAGTCACGCTGAACTACAGCGGCGGGCTCACCATCTACGGCGAGACAACCGACAGCAGCACGTACGCACAAAACACCGTCACAATCACGCACACAATCTCGAGCCCCGACGCCGGCGGCCTCGACAAGAGCTCCACCGTCAACATCGTCGCTGACGGCGTCGCGCTCTACAATATCAACATCAGCAACGGCTACGGCAAAGGCGCGCAAGCCGTCGCTCTCACGGCCAACGCTGACCGCCTCGGCTTCTACGCCTGCGCTTTCTCGGGGTACCAGGACACGCTGTACGCCAAGCACGGCACGCAGTACTACAGCAACTCGCACATCGTCGGCGCGAAAGACTACGTCTTCGGCGCAGCGGCGGCCTGGTTCGGCGAGTGCGTGCTCGAGAGCATTGGGCAAGGCACCATCACTGCCTCGTCCCGAGAAGCCGATTCCCCGGAAAACACGTGGTATGTTTTCGACCACAGCACGGTGACGGGCGCGAGTGACCTCGATGGAAAGGTCTATCTTGGACGCCCTTGGCGCGTGCTTGCGCGCGTGGCGTTCCAGAATTCAAAGCTGGGTGCTGTGGTTAATAAAGCGGGGTGGAAACCCATGGCTGAGGGTGCGACGCCCGCGTTTTATGAGTTTAATAATGAAGGCGCGGGCGCGGATACGGGTGAGAGGGAGTATTTGAGCGAGTTGGCGGCGGCGGTGGACAGGGAGACGGTGCTGGGGAGTGATGCGCTGAGCTGGATCGATACGAGCTACTAGCTTGTTTGCTCCCTTGAGTTTGCTTCCATTCTCTTTCATCATGTTTGTTATACCTTCTCTTTATCTAGCTATATCGCAGAAACAAAACAACCTTTCACAATGTCTTCCCACTAACACCCTCGCTCAGCTTATGTACCTCACCTTCCAAACCTCCTCATCTCCCACGCCCGCAGAGGCGGATACACGACCACCACAACTGCACACGCTACCCAGACGCCGACATCCGCGCCATCAGGCCCTACAAGACGCGCCAATGGCCCTACAAACCACACCTGGCACATGCCGACGACGGCAGCCGCACAGCCAGCCGCAAACGCCGCGCCGGCCGCGATGCCAGCAGGCAGTGACGCGCGATCCTCCCAGTTCGCCCACACGTGCTCGCCTAGCTGCAGCGGCGCTGGTTCCGCTCCTCTCTCTCTCCCTCCCACCAGTCTCCCTCCCAGCAGTCTCCTCCCCACCCACCCCCACCCCCACCCCCGCCCCCGAAAAAACGCATGCTCCAGCCCCACAACACACACCATAACCATAACCCAGTACCCCATCAGCGGCAGCAAGTTCCCAAACACAGCAAACAGGCTCTCCCTTCCAGCAAGCGCGCACGCGGCCTGTGCCCCCGCCACCCCCGCCGCCCACACAGCCCTAGGCACTCTTCTTGCGCGCCGCGCCGCCAGCACCTCGCACCCTAGCCCCGCGCTATACGTCCCGGGCACCGCGTTCGCGACGCTGCCCAGCGCAAGCAGGACGGCGCAGAAACGGCCGAAGCCGCCTAGTGGCGCGAGTACGGTGACGAGCAGCGCGCCTGTGGAGGTAGCGTTTGCGGCGGCCCAGGTGGTGGGTGGGGAGGTAGAGGAGATGGTGGCGCCCAGCGCGACGCCGATGACGTTCACGAGCGTGAAGGCGGGGAGGAGCCCCGCCAGCGTGAGGAAGAAGCTGTGCCTGCGAGGCGTTGTGGCTGGGAGTCTGACGGCGAAGTCGGAGGACGCGGCTGCCCAGGAGTTGGGAACGTAGAGGGCGAGGGAGAGGAAGGATAGGCGCGCGGCAGGGAGGGCGGGGCGTGTGGTGTGCGTGGTGGAGGTGGAGGAGGAGGTGGTGAGGTAGGGCTGGGCGCTGGCGATGAGGGCAAAGAGGGCGAGCAGTTGTGGGAGCCAGGCGATGCTGTGGTGGGGGCGGGGGGTTAGGGTTTATGCCGTTTCTGGGGTGGATGTAGATATGCGCGTGTGCAGTACGTACCGCTCGTAGAGGTGGAAGACAGGAAGGCCAAGCACGGCGATGAAGCCGACGACGACGGAGACCACCACGACGCCCACGGCGATGGACAGCCGCTCGTCACTGACAGCCGCGATGATCTGGCCGCTGATGATGCAGTCGATGGTGCCGTAGCCGACCATGAGGACGATATTCAACAAACAGCAGACCATCGAGGGATAGAAGCCCATAAAGCAGCGCAGCAGCACCTGCACGCACACGCACACACGACCAGTCAGCACAAACACAAACACACACACTGGCTTCCCCACCCCTCCAGCAAAACACGCTCAATCGCCCACTCAGTACTCACTCACCACCGTCCTTAGCCCGCTCGGCGCGCCCCAAACCCCCATGTACGCCGTCGACAGCGCACCCAAGACGGCGCCAAACACAGCGCAGAGCGCCGCGTCCGTGAAGCCGAGCCCGAAGACCAGCGGCCCCATTAGCCCCACGGCGAGGTTGTTAGCTGTCGTGTTCGCGCTGAACCACAGCAGTGCGATTTGCGCGTAGTTTATCTTTGAGGGCGCTTGGCGCTCTGAGGGCGGCACGCGTGCTATGCCGTGCGTCTCGAAGCGGGTGAGGCGTGCGAGGAGGGACAAGCATTGCGTATGCTTAGGTGGGGTGATGACGGTGACGGTAGGGGATGGGGTTGTGTGGGTTGTGGCGTTGGTGGTTGTGGTTGTGGCTTTTTCCGGGTCGGTTGGTTGTGGGGGTGGTGGGGTGGTGGCGGCGAGCTCCATTGCCAATACTGTGGACGGACAGTGGCTGCAGAAAGGACTTGATGTCGAGGATAAAGAGCAAGTACGGTCTGTCGCATCAATTTAGCTTGCTGATCGTCACTCCTTGCAGGCATAGTTATCGCATGTGCGACCACGCGGGGCACGACATGTCCAAACGTATGTTAACTTTATCTAGCCCAGTCTCACCTTTCACGCCTGCATTATACAAGACGTCGGATAATTTACCCACTCCTTCTAGGTATTTCGCCCACGTATGAAGTAGAATCTACTATACCTACTAGGTAATTCTTAGGTAGTTATAACAGACTATTAGGCTACAGTCAGCAGACACTATATAACCATGTAGAAGAAAGACTAGGTGGGATATAATAGTATTAGAAGATATTAAGCTAAAATGTAGAGAAGTACCTAATTAAGTCTTCTGTAAGTGTACGAAAATAATATATGTGAAGAGTATAAAGGGCACTTACAAAGACATGAGGATATAAACCATCTAAGGGTAGAAAGTACATTATATAGGTTGACTGGTATGCTATCACATGGGCTAGGGGAATCATCTCAGTGCCTATCACATGTACAACCATGCGGGGCACGACATGCAGCATGCAAGACGGCGCCTTACCCCGCTCGCCCACCTATATAAAACACTACCTATCAAGCACACGCATCCACAGCAAAGTTATCTATCTTCCATTGTCTCACCACTAACGCCTACATCACACAGCGCCCCACTCCCCCTCGATCCGACTTTCTCTCCCACCCCAACGCACAAGAAAAACAAAAACCCCCAGCCCTCCATCCTCATCCTCGGCTGCAAGACCGCCTCCCTCGCCCTCGCCTCCCGCCTAAGCGCGCACGCACGCCTCACGATCCTCGTGCTCGAAGCCGGCCCCGCAGCGCGCAGCCTCTTTAGCGAGATCGACGACCCGGCGCGCTGGGGCGACGTGCTCAACAGGCCGTAGACTGGGCCTCAAGACAGAGCCGCGTCAAGTGGGCGCGGGACCGCGTTCTCGGAGGCTCGAGTGCCCCGTTAACTTTATGGCGTAGTGTCGGGATTTGGATGCGTGGGCGGACGTGCTGGGCGCTGATGAGGAGGGGGGAAGGGGGTGGGGATGGGAGGGCATGCTGTGAGTACCTATGCTTGTTTTGTTGCTGTTTCTCTGGGGGTATGGGGGCGGTGTACTGGAGGGAAGGTAAGGAAGGAAAAAGTGGCAGTACAGTGCTGACTTAGTAAAAGACCCTTCTACCAAGCCGCCGAGGCCTTCACCCCACCCTCCCCACCTAGGTAGCCCAGCAAAAGCCGCACAAGGCGCGCACCCGCCGCGCCCTCCGCCCTCGGCCCCGTCCCCGTCTCCTACACTAGGTACCTAGCGGGCAGCACTGGCACGCCACGCTGAACGCGCTGGGCGTCCGCGCCAACGAGACGCACATGGCGGGCGACAATGTCAGGGTATGGACGACGCTGTGCTCGATCAAGCCTGCCTGCGCCACCGACAAGTCGTCCACTAACGCTTCCTCTCCCGGTGCTAGAGCCCACGCCGCGAGCGCGTACGACGCGCCTGTAGCGCACAGGTCGAACCTGCGCGTCGTCATGGGCGCGCGGTACGAGAAGGACGGCGAAGTGCTGACGGTTGCGGCGGGGCGCGAGGTCGTGCTTGCGGCTGGCAGTGTCAATTCGCCGCAGCTGCTGGAGCTGTCTGGGATTGGTGATGCGGCGGTGTTGGAGGTTAAGGTTGCGAATCGGTGCGTGAGCGAGGGGCTGCAGGATTATTTTAGTGAGTCGTGTCGTTTTGTTTGCGTGCGGTTGTGTGTGTGTGTGTGTATGATGGTTTGCTTAGGTACTTATTTATTGGCTTGTGGGGTTGAAGTGACGGCTACGATTCACGAGCTCGATGACTCTGGCGTCGCATCAGACAATGACAAGGACAAAGACGGAGACAGACAAAAAACCCCTCCTCCACAACCCACACGGCAAACACACAGCAACCACCCCAACCGCGGCCCATCCTCCCCTGCTCCCCCGCCTACATCCCCTTCACGCACTTCATCCCCCAGCACACCCTCCGCCACGCAACTGCAAACCAGCAACCCCGCCCCCAGCATCCCGCCTCCAGCACAAACCGAGTACATCTCCTCAGCGGGCAACTGGAGCCCGCACTTCACGCCTCTCCCGGACAAAAAATACGGCACCACACTCACGATTCTGCAGCTGCCGTTTTCGCGCGGAAGCGTGCATATCGCACCTACTACCGACGCTGGAGGGGCCGGAAAAGCCGCAAATACGGTCCATACGCCTCCACGGGTAGACCCGAGATATTATGTCGGTGTGGGCGACAAGGTCGATCTCGACGCTATGGCAAAGGCAACGGCGTTTGGTGCGCGCATCTGTGGCACGCGTCCTTTGGCAGGGCTAATAAAGCGGCGCGTGTGGCCGCCGGAAGGCCTGCCCGAAGGGCTGCCTGAGAGGTTGTCTGAGGGTCTGGCTGAGGGCTCGTCCTCAGCCTCGTCCGCAGTCTCGCCCAGGGACAAGGCCACAAACCACGCCTGGGTGCGCCAAAACACGCTCAGCGACTGGCACCCGGCGGGGACATGCAGGCTCGGACTCGGACCCTCGAGCGACGACGGGGTCGTCGACCCGCGGCTGCGCGTCCAGGGAGTCGCAGGGCTGCGGGTCGTGGACGCGAGCGTTATGCCGTTGCGGATTAGCGCGCATCTGCAGGCGACGGTGCATGCGATTGCGGAGAAGGCGGCTGTGATTTTGGCGGAGGATTTGGGTGTTTGGGGGGAGGCTGTGGGGTAGCTACCTATGTAGGTGGGTAGGTAGGTGGATGGAGTCTGCTGCCCGTGCATGTACATACTGTACGCCGGGTAGGTGTGACGTGATGAGGCTGGTCGGATGGAGCTAGAGTTGTGCGATGCGGTTGTGGTTGTCGCTCCTAGGCTTGCACCGGTCCGACTGGCTGAAAGTAGGCTTGGAGGTGTATAACGTCCTTCCGCCGTCAGGTGTGATGTACCGGGAAGGACGCGAGCAGTCCCCATGGAATACTCCCTGTCTAGCTGTAAGTCTCAGTCATGGATATGAGTGACAGGGCCTCGGAGCACACACGTACCACTGCCATTGTACCTGTACTTCCCTTTCATCTCGCAAGGCGATGAATCACTCTTGGTGGTGACGGAAGCGAACACACTCGCAAACGTCAGCCCGGTTTTTGAAGGTAAATTGAATTGGCCACCGAGACGGCCTTCTATCATCTATGCACAACACTGCACCCCCATCCCTCTTCAACTCATACAAATCATGCTAACCGCCTACTGCTCCTTCTTGCGGAGCTCCTCCTCTGCCTCGGCCTTCTTGCGCTCCTCCTCCCTCTTCAACTGATCCGGACGACGGATCGCAATATCCTTGGGCCTGTAATCACTAAACAGGACCTTGAGCACCTTCTCGATGATCCAGCAGCCGGCATAATCAATGATCATGACCGTCGTCATGGTCAGCTTGAAGTCGGTGCTGAAGGGCACCAGACGCAGCTTCTCGTTGATCTCGGGAACGAACTCGGTCGCGCAGCTGAAAGCCACGCACGCCACACCAACCAGTCCGTAGTACATGCCCTTGTTCTCGCTGATCGACTCGCGGAACGGGCGACCCTGGTAGTTGATGGCAAAGGTGGAGATCTGCTGGATCAGTTGCAGCAGGTAGATGGCGCTGTTCAGGAGCGAGGGCTCGAATTCGCCTTCCAGGTCGATATCGGTATTCTTACTGTGAGATTGTTAGCCTTAGATCGGTCAACGGAAGTCTGGTGTTTACTTACGGCTCGGTGCGCTGTACGTATTGCGAAATGTAAATCAGCGTCGCAATGTGAATGGCAAACTGGCCAAGGACAGATCCGATGATGTAGAAGTTGAAGATGTTGTGCTGCGGGCGCTCCTTCGACAGCTGCTCGACCGACTTGGCGCGGGAGATGGACAGGAAGCACACGCTCATCATCATACCAGAGATCGTAACTTGTCCATCACCGAACTTGATACCGTCCAAGTAAAGAACACTCAAACTGTAGGCGCTGATGAGACAGTTGAGTGCGAGAATCTTGTACATCTGGATGGTGGCGACGAGCGTGCAGCGGCCCTGGCGAATAATGTTGGGGATAGCGACGACATTGGCAAGCTTGCTGGTGAAAGGAGCAGCGACGGAGGCATCGCCAAGCTTGATAGTTGGTGGCTCGTTTTCGTCAAGCTCAGATTCCATCATCGAGGACTGGATCTTATCAGCCCAGCCCTTTGCCTTCTCTTGAGCGAGACGCTGGCGCTGCTGGGCAGGAGTTTCGTTCTCCTGAAGAGCGCGCGCGCCGGGGGTCGTGATAGTGGGGATCTTCTCGGTTTCGTTACTGTTAGGAGGCGCGCCAGCCGCGATGGCGCCCTTGGTGAGCTTCTTGTCGGCCTCGCGCTTCATCGCCTTTTCGTAGTGGGGGTTTGTGGGTCCGGGAGGGTAAATGTGAGCAATAAGAGGAGGGACAGGCGGGCAAGGCTGGTTGAAGCGCTTCATGACCGAGACCTGCTTCTCGTAAATCTCCTTCATCTTGTTGATCCTAAAATGCTCGGCGATCTTGTCCAGGTCATCACGGGTACCGTTCAGCAAAGCGACACCAATGTGAGCCTGCTTCAGAGCGCCGACATCGTTCGTACCATCACCGCACATGAGCGTGGTGTAACCAGCATCTTTGAGACCAACCAGGATATCTTCCTTTTGCTTAGGAGAAACACGGGCGTAGACCCAGGCGTGACGCAAGAGCTGGTGCCAGGCGGGCTGGTCCTTGAACTTAGCAAGAGCAAAACCGGTAACACATATGTCTTTCGTTTCGAGTACGTCCTTCGCAAGGTCCTTGGTGGGATCGACCGGAATGCTGACGGTATCGTCAATGCTGCGCCAGACGAGGTTTTCACCAGACTCATCATGCTCCGGAGCGTCCAAAATCAGGCAATCCCGGTCAACAATCTCAACTTGGCGGGCGACATGAACGGCTGTGAGAGGATTGTCGCCGGTGATCATGACAACACGGTGGCTGCTTTCGTTGAGCATCTGGACAGCCTTCTTTGCATCATCCTTGAGCGGACACTGAAGAACCAAGAAACCAGCAAAGGTAAGGTCGCATTCGACATCTTCACGCTTCAAGTCGTTGATCCTCTTCTGGCTGATTTCATCCTCGGTAGACAAACGCTTGTGGGCCAAAGCAAGGACACGGCCACCGTTCCTGGTGAAGTATTTGAAAGTCTCCTCGTAGTTAGGCGGGACAGTCGTAAGCATCTTACGGATGGTCTCTGGTGCACCCTTGACACCGACGAACGTGCTCTTGCCCTTCTTACCAGTCTTCGGGTTGGGTCCAAGAACCGTCGCGACGGAACTTTGCCTCTTCAGCGCCGAGGAGAATTGGAAGCGGCGCTTGATCTGAACGAGCTCGGCGTAGTTTGTGTGTACAGACTTGTTAGTCAGCGTGTCATGACGACCAACGCTCCAGCCAAGAGCACTGAGGGTTGCTTTTTCCATAGGCTCGCCAACAACATCGCCCTCTTCAAGCTTAACAAGAGCATGCGCAGTAGCAAGGACCAAAGTAGTATCAGGGCCAACCTGGTTCACAGGGACCAGCTCGGTCTGAGCGCCATTCGGCTCCGACTTGGCCTCAGGCTTACCAAGACTCAAGCCGGCAATACCATCCACGACAAGATCTTCACCAGTGAGGGTACCAGTCTTATCAAAGCAGGCAACGTCCACACGACCGGCAAAGGGAATGCGGAAGGGCTCAGTGCAGAAAATGGCGTACTTGCTGAGTGCAGCCAAGCTCGTGTTGACGGCCAAGCTGAGTTCCATGGGAAGTTCCGGAGGGACGACACTGGTGATAATGAGGACGCAGTCGAGTAGAAGCTTAGAGCGCTTGCGATCTCTGGCAACACCCTCCTGCCAGACGTACCACGAGGCAGCGATGGCGAAGATCAAGAGGAAGAGAATGAACAGCAAAGCCTCAACGTTGTTTGCGGAAACACGCTCGGTGGAGTAGATCATAGTTCTGACAAGGCTTCCTTGGCTGGTTTCGAAACCGGTCTTCATAACGATGGCCATAGCTCCCTTATCCGGAGGCGGGGGAACGCCAGACGCCAGCTGGGGGACCGTGTCCGGGGCATCTTCGCTAGGGTTGCCGTGAGTGACTTGAAGGACCTTGGTACCACCGTAGAGAAAGGCATTCTTGTCAAGACCATCGGGTTCAATGCAGGCATCACCGGGACGGAGCTGGACGGAATCCTTCAGAACCGGAGTGCTCTCTCCAGAAAGCATAGCCTCGTTAACGATCGCTGAGCCTTCGACGAGCGCCATATCACAGGCAACGCCGCCGTCTTCCTTGGTCCTCTCTACGGAGACAAGGTCGCCCGGGAGCAGCTTGTCGCTCTGAATCTCCACCCACTTGTTCTCCCTGTATACCCAGATGTCGTATGGCTTGATGCTCATGCCGCGGAACTCGTTCAAGGTCCTCTGCCTCTGCCAGACAACGGTGCTCTCGAAGGCAACCAGCATGAACAGCGTGAATAGCGAGTAGTACCAGTATTCGTCCAGCATCCAGAGACCGACGCAGAAAACTTGGAAGACGAAGAACGGCGCGACGGCGTGCTCCTTGAAGAGCTCGGTGAAGGTCGGCACGGGAATATCGAATGAGTTGTCGCCATAGTATTCTTCCAAGTGTTTGATGGTCGCCGGAGATGTAAGACCGCGCGATTCTTGAAAGGTGCTGATGGCAGGCTTGGGTTCGGCGTCGAGGGCGTAGGAAAGTGGCGCAAAAGAGTTCTTCTCCGCATCATACAAGAAGCGGCGCTTCTGGAAGAGGAAAGAAACGTTTTGTCTGCCGCCGATGCTGTCGCGCTTCAACTTGCAAATCTCGGCCAAGCCAGCGTTCGCGATGGGGATGACCTTGATGAGCTGGGCGCTGCGGACATCATTCGCCCTAGTAGAAGTAAAGAAGGCCTTCAGATCAACATTCCAGTGGGTCGAGAGCCAGATGAGAGACTGAATCGTGATGATACTGCCAGACCAGACAAAGGTCCATTCTTGAGAGCCCAGGTGCTTCTCGTACTGCGCCGGGGAGAGGTAGACGGCAAAGAAAGCGGGCCAAATGACGAGGAACGGCCAAATATAGGCATGAAGTGAAAATGGCAGAGGATTGTGAAGGCTAGCCGACTGTATTTGCTCGTTGTCGACGAGCGGCATCTTGACTGCCATGGCGGTTATCGCTCGAAGGTCGAAAAGGCCAGCGGTACGTCAAGTTGTGGCGCGGCGGGCGTGAGATAGAATATCTGGCCGAGCACCCGGATATTTGTATGTCCGAGAGACAATGGCGCCACGGCCAGTCCCACGCTTGGCAGGTAGTCGCTAGGAAGTGGCGGGCTAGGGGAAGAAGAGACGGACGAGAGTCCGATTGAAGGCTCTATCTGCTACAGTCGAAATGGGAGCCATTGCCGTTCATCCCACAGTGAGCGGCCCTCCGCAGAAGCCAAACCATGTCATGTCGCTCCGGATTGGAAGATTATCTCGCTCATAGGAGCATGCCTATGTGCTCATGGTATCTTCAGAATGCTCACCAGAGATCACTCCCTTGGTGGGTATAGAGGCCGCGCTCGTGGTTAGCAAAGTTACCTACGAAGGGCAGTGGCTTCCAAGCGCTCCCCCGAATCATGCGCGCGTGCTCACGGTACCTTTAGAACGCTCCCTACAGATCACTCCGTTGGGGGGTCCAGAGACCGCGCTCATGGCTCGATAAGTTGTTTACGATGGGCATGCAAATTGTAACAACATCTGTCCCTCCGACCGTTCTACACTGCTTCAGAGCCCGAGTGGCCCGAGTGTCCAAGTGGTTGGCGGATCGTCGCCCGTGCGCGCCTGAGTCATGTTATGTTGTACAGTATAGCGGCGGGCCAAACCCCGCCGCCGCTGGAGCCGCTCTCCTCACACCTCCGGCCGCCGGCACCAACGGGGAGACAAAGTCCTACTCTGCACCACCTCTAGGGTCTCCTAGATACGTCTTGCGAGGGAAGTACGACCAAGCAGAGAGGTCTGGCGCCACCAGATTCTATCACTGGATACACTACCGCCCGACATGCCCACCAGGAAACAAACCTACGCCGCTTTCTCAGCTAATAAGTCCATCACCGTGAAGCGAGATTCGCCGTTTTGCGAGATTGTGATGCTTATACGGAGTGGAAGAAGAGATACAGTTAAGATATGTCAAGTCTGTATGTGCTCTTAAGACCTTTTCAACCATGCCCAGGACTCGAGCTGGGAGCTAGGCAAGGAGTACTCTGTAGGGACCCTATATCATCCCCTATCTTGCTAGACGGTAGACCTCAGTTCGTGGTAAAGGACGTTGGCGAGTTAGCTATGATGTATCTTCTCTTAACTAAAAGAATTTTTAGGGGTTTTACTTACTACCGGATGTAGCAGTTGGCTTAGGTAGGTGACTCGATCGGATTAAAAAATTATACTAGCTGTAAAGGGACCCCCTTTAGAAGGTAAAACGTTTTTAGTCGCAGCCAAAATATAGCTTAATGTCCCCATCAACTTTACTTCACAGGTTATAAGCCCGGCACTCTCAACGCGCCACGTCTGATTAGTTCAACGACACGAACAATTCAACCTCATCGATAAGTTACGACTTTCAACTTCGCAAAGATAGCTTTATTTAACCCATCAGATTACCAGATCGACGCTACATGCGCTGAAGCGCTACGCGCCAGTCATCTTCCATCACAGGGATCCGGAGCCTCCTTACACTCCCACTACTAACGCGCACACGATGGCCGATATTCTGAATACATTAAAAGCCGCTGACCTACTTAATTCAGGAGCTTCATGCTCACCCCCAGGATACCTGTCGCTCGAAAACGGAGTTTACCTCCTACTACTGCTACTACATATTTCCCCGCCTCACATTCTCACCGCGGTTACCGCGAAATAAGCGCGCCCATGGCAACAGCTCTCAAGCCTCACATCAGAACATAAATTAATCTTCGTAGAGGGTCACTAAAGCTTCTAGCTCACCGAAGGACCCGTATACTTACTACAACTACGGTCACAATACTAAGAGATAAAGTTTCCAGCCCTCACTATTAATCAAAGCGCTCTCGTCTTACTAGCAGACTTTAAGAATAACTAGCTCGTTAATTCTTATACTACCGACGACTTCACCTTTAACAGTAGCAAGACGAGCAACTATATAAAGATCAAACCTATCCCAGTTTATAGTTCACGGGCTTAGCCGGAGTTCTAGCTACTCAGTCGGCCGCGGCAACGTAACTATATTCACTAAGATACTAAACAACCGCTAAGCTAGGATAATATCCACTAACTTCTATCACTTCCTAAGCCTTGAACTCAACATGACCTCGCTTTATGAAATGAATAAGTAGACTAACTGCCATTACGACGGCACTACAGGAACTCTACAGATAAAGAACCGTATCATCGCCGCCCCTTATACCCTAGAAAAGGGATTAGACGTCTTTCAAATACGTACAGCTTCAACACCTACAAGCGATGTCTCTTCGCTCCCTCAACCTTACCCGCCTATGAATTCAAGTACGTTCTCTTCTAGGATTATACGTGTCAGTTTCCAAGGCGTTTTTCACAGAGTCAATACAAATTATTGTTGCATTTTCGTGTTCATTCAATTCAATCTATTGAGTAGACTACTAGCTATTCCAATCTCAGGTTCTGCAAACCTTTGCCGCTTACAGGCTCAACCAGGGCTTTAATTCACCGTTGTTGATACGCAGGGCTGGCGAAGATGTACGGGCTTACATGTCCCCCAGAACATGGACAGTTCCCAGGCAACATACCGTTTCAAGCGATTGGGGCTAAGAGCCTGTGATTGCATGTTTGGGACGCAGCCCACTCGTCCAGAGTCCAAAGCGTAGCCTTATTCCACCAGCCAGGAACGTACCGCCGGCACCACATCTCGTAGTGGGCGCCGTGATAGCTCATGACATAGATACGAAGAGCAATATTGTACGGTACCCCCAGACTGGGAAAAATCGGCTTGCGGAGACGGCCATCCGGCAGAAACTCCACCATACCAAGTAGGTACAGCGTAATCAAGTCGAGATTGCTAATGGGCGGGTGGATCGATTTCTTCACCGAGTACCGCATCACGCACAGAGGATCCACCTGCAGCTTCAGGTACTAGAGCCCGGGCGCGAACGGCGCAAGGAACGCGATCAGTGTCTCGGTTTAGGTATAGTTTTCTAAGAGGTTGAGCGTGTAGAGCTTGCTCGGCATTAAATCCTTAATCTGCTATGCGGTAATCAGCATGACTTCAGTGGTATAGTCTCGTGAGTGCCAAATCACCAGTCACTAATTTCAATTCTTCTCAAAACAAGTTACAATTTCAATTTAGCTAAGAAATCCGCAGTAAACAGCGAAAACAGTGCACAAATGTCAAGATGGCATTTGTGTAAGGACTAACAATTTCATGCCAAACAAACCGCAAACGCCAACCCATTCAAAAACCTTCCCCAATCAAACTCCTGCTGTCAAATCATTCAAGCGTTCTCAAATTGAAGACGGCCTGCAGGTCTAATAAATTCCCTGGGCGCCTTTACGTACCGCCAAGTATGTTCTTCGGATACGTCACCCTCGTCCAGCGCTCATTCAGCGGTACCCAGAAGGGATCCCAGAGCTCGCCGACAGGCTTCTGCGTGCGGATCTCAAAGGGTGAGTTGCCGTAGATAACCATGATGCGCTTAGCAGGCCAGTCATCGCCTGGAATTGACGTATTCTCCAAGGTCGGGTGCAGATAGCCGGCCCCCATGCCGTAAAACAGCAACGAGTCCAACATGATCTTGCCCCACAGCGCCATCACAATAACGTCCCAGCCATCCCAGTTATCGTACAAGTCTACGCTGACATGGCGCAGGGACAGCTTCCCACTGAGTTCAATGAGCAGATCCGCGAGGTCCGCCTCCTGGCCCGCCATCAGCTTGACGTGGATGAACCTCAGCGCGTTCAGCGCGCCCCGCTTAAGCTCGAACTGGAGCGTGTTCTTCATGAAGAAGCTATAGCAGCTACGGCAGTGCAAGCGCATCCCCCAGTCCAGCGCCTTGATGTTGGGCAAGACCGGCGTGTTGTGTACCGCCCACCTATTGCTCACAGCCCTCAAGGGTTCTGTCCAGAAGACCAGCTTTTGAACACTGCATCGCAGCGACGGCGCCGCGATATCATAGTCGCCCTGCAGCGAGTGCTTGACATTCATGACGAACGAGTCGGGCAGAACCAGCATCTCCAGCGCCGGGCGCGCAATGTCCAGCATGCAGAAAATAACCTGGATAGTGCGGCCGGCCATAACAGCTTTGCAGGCCCAGCACTCGCGGTCCCAGAACTTGCCCAACCGCGTCTTCTCCCAGCCCTGGCGAGTAAACCCCTTCATGCGGTGCTGCCGCCCGGTCCGCAGCCCCGGCAGCAGTCTCATGACTTGCAGCAGCAGGTTGACGTCGTTGTTCCGCTTGGTCAGCAGCCGATGCTCCTCCACCAGCCGCCGGTACTGCACCACCAGCTCCGCGGGTGGCTTCCTGCCCTTCTCCGGGCTCTCGAGCACGCGCAAAATGTGCGCGCTTGGCTGCGCCGGTGAGACCCCCAGCGTCTGCACGCGCGCCGCTAGCGTCGCGTCGCCTTTCAGAACCGTTAGCAGCCTCGACAGGTCCGAGTGGACGAGCTTCAGTGGTCGTGCTGCAATCACTTCCGCCATGTGCTGCGTGTTGAGGTCGCGGAGCTTGCACGATGCGCCGCGGAGGCTGAGGATGTGGTCTTGTGACTTCTTCGTCGGATAGGTCAGGATTGTGTGGCTGCTGATGCGATCGTCTTCGTACTCGACTAGGTGGTCGCTGATCATGAGCAGCAGCTCGTTCGGAAGACTCTCCAATCCGGTAGATTGTTGCATGTTGCTTGGTGTGCCCATGCCTGCTTGGATCTGCGTGCGTTCTGAAGTGTCTGAATTATAAGTATTTTCTAAAGCCCTGTAGCTGGGTTAATATACATTCGCCTGGTTGTGTTAGAAGAGTCTTGTCGCGAGACACGACAGTAATCTATTGCTTCATGTATACTTTGTTTGAACACGCTGCAGTGTCATAATGAGTCTGGTTTAGCAAAGGTTGACCCAAGTTCTAATTACGCATACAGGAAAGTCCCAATATCGTCGAAGCCGTGCCTCCAAACTTGCACTATTGTTTTACGTCGTGGGACTAAAAGACAATCCGGGATAAAGAGAAAACGGCATCTTCTCATCGGTGAATGAGTTCACCATAGAAGCAGTGTCAGAACAAAGGTTCGACCAACAAAGAAGACTCACCAGAAAACAAAGAACAAAGGAAAAATCAAAAACATCTCCAAGGAACCTCAGCCATCCTCCCCTTCTTTCTCCTTCTTAACACCCCTCCCTCTTTTTCCATCCCCGTAACAATAAGGCTGCCAAAGCGGGACCCCGGTCTTTTTCGCACGCTCCTGCGCACGCGTCAAGATGCCTGAAATCGTCGACAGCGGGATTCCAGTTTTACGGGAGAATTCGTGCAGCGAGATGCCGCCCATGAGTGCGGCGCCTGTAAGAAAGGCGCGTGTGGCGGGTGGGACTTCTTTACGAGAGGTTTTGGGAGGGCGAGGGTGTACGCCTTTGGTTTTTGAGTTACGGGTTTTTTTGCGGGTAGTTTGGTGAGTCGTGCAAGGGGTTTGGTGAGGTGTGATTAGGGCCATTTGATGAAATCTGTAGGAAACTTGTGGTCTTCGGTTGTGGTTGATGGTACTGAAAGAGGTGTTGAGTGGTGGCGAGACTGGATGATGTGGGCTTTGGCATTCGTTCATCAAGCCGTCATTCGCCCACATCAAGTCAGAATCTTACGGCCCATCTCCAGATCCTCAATCTCTTTCATCAGCTGCGCGCGCTTACGCTTCACGAGTGCATCCTCACCCGCAATCTCCTCCAGCTGGTCAGCCGAAAGCCCGCCCACGAACAGAGGCGAAAACAGCTTCAACGGCGTCTCCGGGCCACAGATGAGGTGGTACTCTGCGGCCTGCATGCAGATGGCATCGACAATGCGCTTCTGCGCGACCTGGTAATAGGAGTAGAGAATGTCGTGCAGGTCGCGCACGATCTGCTCGCTGTTGCTGAGGGAGTGGTGGTGATTATCGAGGAGGTCGAGCAGCTCGACGATCCGGCCGTGGTTCTCTACATTGAAGGCTAGAGCGCTGACGGCTTGCTCGGTGCGCTCGCGCCGGCTCCAGTCCAGATTCTCGGCGAAGTGGCGGTTGAGCGTCATAGGGATGCCGGCGCGCTCGACGTTCAGGATGAAGTCGACTTGTGCGATGGCCATCGTGTAGCGTGTGGTTAGTTCGTCAGTCAGAACGGACATCAGGTTCGCGCGGATTGTCGGGTCCGGGCACACGCGCTGCAGCAGGTTCGTTATGAATGTGTGGGTTGTGTTAACGATATCGCTGATGTAGCCGTGCGCGAGTGCGTCCCATTTCTTAGTTTGCGATTTCATGGCCATGGGCAGGAGCGAGGGGTCGAAGGTGCCCATTTCGAAGCCGCGAGTCGCAAGGTAAATTTCCTTCAGCCAGTAGAGAATGCCGTCTTCGTAGGGCTTGAAAAGCTGTTCGTTGTCGTGCTGGATGTCGTCCAACTCGTCGTGGTTCGTCGTGGTTCGGGTGTTGACTTTCTTGTCCTTGTCCTTGGTCTTTTCTTCATCTTCCTTCTTCTCGGAAGGCTCGGTCATGAACTGATATGTATGACCTCAGTCTTCAAAGGCCTCGGCAAAGACGTCGTTGCGACTCACAACCGCCGTGGCGATCGTCAGTGATGGATCCTCTTCGAAGGCGTCATTGCGGTGGTACTGCGCGCCCAGCGCCAGGTCCGTGATGCTCTGGAACTGAGTAGCGATGTCGATCAGGTACTTGGATTGCTCTGCAGCCGTGTCGCGGCGGATACCCAGATCCTTGAGCATGGCTTTGCATTCCTTGAGCTTCTTGCTCACTTCTGCTCTGACCTAATTAGAGGTAAGCTCTGCACACGTGCATATCTCTCACGCGCCCATATGTTCAGTAGACGATGGCTACACACCTTAGGGAACTCGCGCCGGATATGAGTTGCCAGAATCTCCTGCAGTCTCATACGAAGTGACTCCGTGCCGACCCTGTCCTTGCTCAACGTGTTCCACGGCACCACGCTGGCAAAGAACCTCTTCTCAATAGCGTTTCTGTCGACATTCGAGTCCTCGTATTCAGACTTGCCCGGGTTGCGCACCAAGCACCAACCCAGCGTGAGCTTGTGGTTGCGACCCTCGATCATATCAACAACAGTCTTCTCAGCGCCCTTGTCCATAAGGTCCGGCTTAGTCAAGACGCCCAGGGTGCGCTCGCCCTTCGGATCCACCTCCTCTGCCATTTCCAAAATCGCTTGCGTGGCGATATCGACGTTCGCGGGGATGACGGCCAGCATGACAGAGCGCGGGTTGCGCATGTAGCCATACACCATCTCCTCGACGAGCTGGATGTCGGCCTTGGTCATTATGCCTTGCGTCGTCCGCTTGAAGATGCCCGGCACATCGATGACGCTGAGGTGTTCTTGTTCGGGGCCACTGACCTCGATCCAGAGCACGTCCTCAGAGAAGGTCTTACACTCGTCGCTGGCTTCGACCTTGACGGACAACCCCATAACGCCGCAAACCTGCACCCGTTAGCATACATACTTCACCTCATGAGACAAACTCGAAAAACAACTCATAATCACCTCGCGCATAATATTCGCGAACTCCATCTGCTCCAGCACAGGCAAGTCCTTGCGCCACGTGCGCACTCTCTCCGCATGCGCGGCATCGGCGCTCTTGCTGGGGATGATCGAGACAGCAACACTCGCCTGCGCAGAGCGACGGAACGTGATCTGCGTGGCGAAGCGTGTGCAGAGGCCGCTATCGCGGGGGAAGGGCAAGTTAGTGAGGCCTTCGAGCGCCGAGCTCTTGCCGCTGGACTGGTCACCCACAACGACGATCTGAGGCAGGTTGATGTGGTGACCGACGTTGCAGGCCGAAAGGCGGTCGATCTTGGCAAGCATGGTCGGGTCTGCGAGGGTCGGGGATGAGGACGCCATGGTGGGCGTGAGTGTAGTGATGGTGGCGTTGGGTGCTGGCCACGAGAGCGGGTGAGCTGTGATTTGGTGCCGTCTCGTCGGCAGTTGAGATGTTATGTGGAAGTTGTTGGAGAGGTTCAGGAAGCTGGTGTCTTCAGGAAAGTCGGGAGATGGATTTTCCATTCTTCAAACGAATGGAAGGTGAATGTTAAGCCGCGCTAACCAGATCAGGCAGTGTGTTAGCTTTGACGCATGCCTCTGAGCGGGTACGTACTTATGCGAGGTGACAAACAACGCCGATCTCAAAGAATAATCCCTTCAAACCTCAGGCAAGCCATCACTCACCATTATCCGCTTTTTGTTCATCCCAAGCGAAGAATTTTAGGTGTGAAACTGTCGCGCAAAACCGTTGATGGAGGGGGATGCGGAAAAATAGCCATGTAGGCTCTGTAGATGCTGAATTCTTGAATAATACGTGATGCTTTTTTGTCGTCTCTGCCATGACACCGTCTTTCATGTGTTCCTCCTAAACGCCGCAATTCCCCGACCGACTACCCACCCAATCTATGTGTTCGTGTCCTTGACCCAGTCCGGAAGATATTTCCTCATAGCACGTTCCTCGTCATCGTAGCCACGTAGGCGCTGTCCTTTCTTAGTCGACCATCTGTTATTTATAGGGATGCTGCCCTGTCCCTCCGAAGGTCCAGACGACGAATCCTTGGTGCTTCCGAAGACGGTGGGGAACGCGGCGTTGAGCAGTGGTTTCAACGTCGGGATGCACGCCGTGATGGTCAGGGCGTTGATTTCGACCATGCACCATTTAGCCGTCGTGACTTTGTACCACGTCACGTCGTTGCTGTTGTTGTAAGGGAGCGTCGTGATGATGCGGACGATGCTGAGGATGCACACGCTGCGTCGGCGGTCAGTACATGCTTTCTGTTGATTTTTGATGCAAGAGTATGAGTGGAGACTTACAAGGACCCAGCAGTAAGAGCGATCAGGAGTAGGATCTTATGCTTTGTGCTCCGGAATTGCAGGTCCCAGACCATGCGGATGGGAAGGAAAAGGCCAAAGAAATCAGTCACCACGTTCAGCGAGGCGTTGGCGTAGACAAAGGCTAGTTGATTGATGCACTTGGCGTTCGTCATGAGGACGTCCCACTGTGCGCGAACGGGCACGCAAACGCATGTGAAGACAATCATGCTGAGGACATTGTAGGCTACCACAAGGCCCATGAGACAAAATGTCGCTTTGCGGAACGTCTCGTCGGGGTTGAGGCGCAGGTAGAAGACCAGGACCGAGAGCTTGATGAACATAACTCCGAGGCAGTAGACGTTTTCTTCGGCGAGATCATACTAATAATTATGTTAGACCACGTTACGGAAGCTTCAAATTATCGGCTTACCTTCTTAAAAGCGATGACCTTGTACACTGAAAGGTTCCATATATGAATGCCGTACCCATTTTTTATATTTACCATGCTGAGGATTCCAAAAATCCAAGCACAGATCTGGCCAATGAGCACTAGGAAATCATCCCAGCCAAAAAGACGGAGAACATGACAGCGCGCGAAGAGTCTCAAGATAAGAAAGAACGTTGCAAGGCAGCAGGAAAAGAGAGTGTAGACTCGCACTTCACCGGCAAGGGATTCGGAGTTTACGAAGTTTTGAGTAACGCCAGGCGGCGGGGAAGCTGCAGGCTGCAGGTATTCGGCGGAATAGGTCATCGCCCCAGAGTGAGAGGGTCAGGACATGAAGTTGGCGTTGGAAACAGAGCAAACGCTAGAAGACATGAAAAGGGCGGCGAAGACGGGTGGTTCTATACTGGAGGCGCAATGTACTGACCATGTCAACTTGGAGTACGGACGTAGATCATGTTTCGAATCAATGCGTGTGAAGAATGCATAGCATGATCTTCACCGATCACTCGGTTGGATATTCTTCGAGAATAGATGCAACACAGGGCTGGCCATGGCCTCGGTTCCGGTTAACTCTCGGAAGGAATAGTGCCTGGGGGTCTGGCCAGTGGCCATTCGAACAATGAGGCTTTTGGGGGCCAAAAATCTTTCGGAACCAGGTTCACTGCCGCATGAGTATTTTGATAGCAATCAATCGGGAGCTGGCTCAAAGTTTGTCAGGCCGGTCGAGTATTAAAGACGTGACGCCGCTGATTTGTGTCTCGGTAATCTGAACTTGTCCAGGAAAGTCCTGCATCATTTATTCTTCGCGACTGACGTCTGCAAGACGTAGTTCAAGATTTTGGCAGTCCCTTATCTTGCGCAACGGCCGGTACAGTGGCCTCACCGAACGCTTTGCGGATCCCTATGCAGGAACAAACGCAACCCTCGTGTTGCAGATTACAACAACCCCTGATATTGAGCCAGCCAGCCAGTGATCGATCTCCGGATCCACGGAGCCCCTTCGCCTCGGGCGGTGCGCGAGGACGGGGAGGCCATCAGCCGATCGGCCCGTGGTGGGCGGCCCGACTGGGACGTTGCCTGATTGTGGAGACGACTCCAGTCTTCTGCATCCTCGGCATTTCGGACATAGGCGATCAGATGTGAAGGGGAATATCCGTCTGTGAGACATTTCGACACGGCTATTGTACACCTGATTTCGCAGCGTGTGCAATCTGCACGGGTAGAGGATGGGTCCTTGGAGGCCGCATCCCAGTATTGTCGACTACAATTTTAACCAGACTTCTAGGATGGCACATCATCGTGCATACGCTCCGCGGAAGGGTCTTGAAGATCTGCGATTTCCCATGGGGGGTAGCCACGAGCCATCGGTTAGCTCTCTCCTGTTTTGACCGTTCCGCGGAGAGGCCGGCATGATATAATCGCATACTTCCCAGATGATTTTCGTGATCCTGGCACGTCAATTTTCTTGCGCAATACGACCTCAACAATGGCACAACAGACAGAAGCAATCAAAGCAGCATTGGCGCAAGTGAATGCCCTCGCTGACACCCACTTTCGCGCTTTGGCGACGGAAAACACGACACACAATGACAACAATGCCATGGCGAGGCAGGCTGTGACTGATTCACAGCGGGAATTGCTTGACAGCGTCATGAGTCTGACAAACCGGATCCGTGGTCCCACGGACATGCTGTTCTCGCACTTCGAGCATATGGCGTCTATTGGGTCTCTCAGAGCGTTGATGGACATGGGCGTCTTCGAAGCTATGCCGCAGGATGAGACGCCTATTTCCGCTAAAGAGCTGGCTGCAAAGTGCAAGGTCGACATGCCAATATTGGGTGAGCTCGCGGGCGAACATCTCGAGCCTCCTGGGACCACAGGCTAATATACACCTCCAGTTCGCCTCTTTCGCGCCGTCACCCCTTGGGGTCCCTTCAAGGAGACGGGTGAGATGCAGTATGCACACACCGAAATGTCCAAGGCCTACCTGAACCCGGGACTGCGTGCCGTGTTCACGCTCATGGTCGATGAATTCATGGGCCCGATGGCTAGGATCCACGAATTCCTCAAGCGCGATGGCTTCGAGAACAAATTGTCCATTACGCACAACCCGTACGAGATGTACCACCAAACCGGCGGTAAGAGTATGTTCGACTACCTCGCTTTGATACCGGACCGATTCAGCCGTTTCAACACGTCCATGTCTGCGCAGAGCTCGGGACTGGCGACCATAGGAACTTTCCATTTTGAGGAGGAGCTGAGCAAGATCACAAATGACGAGGACAGCGTGGCATTTGTCGATATTGGTGGAGGAAAGGGCCACGTGATTAACCAGATCAAGGCCGCCACGCCCGGCCTGAAGGGCAAATTCGTGCTGCAAGACCGTCAGACTGTCTTGGATGACATCGATCATCCCACGCCAGGAATTACCAGGATGGGACACGACTTTTTCAAACCGCAACCTATCAAAGGTAGGTGTTGAAGCTGCCAACAGCGCGATCCGTAGCTGACATATGCCAACAGGCGCACGTGCTTACTATTTCCGCCGCATTTTCCACGATTGGCCCGATAATGAGTCCCGGATAATTCTAAAGCACATCGTCGAGGCCATGACACCTGGAGTATCGCGTTTATTGTTGGCAGAAATGGTTGTGCCGAACAAAGGCGCTGATGCATTGGCGGCCTGGATGGATCAATGTATGCTGAGCTTCGGAGGCACAGAGCGTACGGAGAGAGATTGGCGGTCATTGCTGGACTCAGTCGGTCTGGAGCTCGTAAAAGTATGGCCGGCGCAGGGTACGACCATGAGTATTGTGGAAGCAAGGCTCAAGCCGAATTAGGGACAAGGATGTCCGGGCAGTGATTGACGAAGGATGTGAACGAAGGGTTTGAATAAAGCATTGGTAATTGTAATCAGATTCACTTCCCCAAACTTGCGCGCTTAATGAAAATACGCGCAGGTAGTTTTTCGATGTCGTCGCTGGAGCATCATCGCATGGCTTATTTCCAGCATCGGTGCGTTTGCACCACCAACCACTGCTCTTGCACCGGACAATGCCCTTGACAGGATGCCTGCGTCCCGAAGAGAAGCCGATCAACTTGCGCGACTTTGATGTGATGGATCATTGACCGCTTAAGTTTGGCTGGTATGTACTGTTGCTCGCTGTCTCGTCGGATGCATTGGCAGGCATTGATGCATGTTCTTCCGGCAATGGCAAATTACGAGTGCCACACGGCGTGTCGAGTGATTGGATTGGCGGGGTGCCAAAGCTGCTGTATGTTGATGGAGCCATGGGTGAAGGGTAGTTGCAGAAGTTGTTTGCCTTGGCTCGGTTGATGTGAGTATGTAGCCGGCAAGTACAATTAGTCAGCGCATGTCTCAGGCCGCCCGAACAGGTATAGCGCCTGTCACATCGCTTTTGTTCGTGATGATCTTGATGTTGGGCACTTCCAGGGCAAACCAAGTCGGCTTAACAACATCTTTCGTGGAGATGCTACTTCAGCTTACTGCCGTCGACACTTCTCGTCAACCGCCTCCCTCAAACCATGAATCTCATAGCCGGCCGCAAACGGCGCGCCCCGCCTGACTCTTCGCCCACCTTCGGCCCTCCCCAAAAACGCTCTCCCCAGGCGTGCCACTCCTGCCACCGGGGTCCTGTCGCATGCAATGACGACTCTTTTAGTTGTAGCTTTTGTACGGTCAGTCAAGCTTCCAGTGTTGAGCCGAGTCCGTCAAGGTAATGTTATTGATATCATGAGAAACGCACTCCTTTTACAGCCGTCTAACAACCGCGGCACAACAGGCCAGGTTCGGCAGGCCACAGAACCGAAAAGGTTCAGAATGGCACCGAGAAACCTGTAAAACTATGCGGAAAGGGCACCAGGCAGACTAATTCTCAATCACTGCAACCGTCGCCTTTTGCGCTCACTGAAGAGGACGTGGGAAATGACCTAAATTTTCTCATTTCTCAAACGGTCATTGGAAGATCTCTCTCTATCAGTCTGGATAGTGTCTTGAAGTGGCCTGTCTTCGACGATTTTCGCCCCAGCTGTAGTCTGAACACCTTACAACTTCAAGTTGCATCGACATTTCAAATTTCCAATCATCATTATCATTTCCATGGTTTCTCGGAGGCATATCCAGATGTCAATTTCATGGACCTTCCGACACTGAAGCGACTTTGTCAATCTTTTCTAGAGCATGTTCATGTTACGAATCCAGTAGTCAATCTTACGTTACTGGACAATCACATCGGCGACTTTGCTACGTTTGGTCCGAGGTGGGACGCACCATCCTGCTTAGTTGTAAGTGGCCGAATTTTGTGAGACAGTGTCATGCTGCAGACCAGGGAAGAATTTTGTATGCTGATGTAGTTAAAAGCTTCTTGTGTGCGCTCTCGGTGCCATTTCGAGACCGCTCTCGCAAGACAGCACACCAGTAAGCCCGTCATCAGAAGCAGGCATTGCTGCCAAGTCCTATTTTGTGGCTGCACAACGACGTCTGGGTCTGGTCATGGCGCAACCGGACCCTCTTTCTGCTCAATGCACTTTCCTCGCAGGTGTATACCTCATGTACAGAATGAACATTGTCGGAGCTTGGCACATGTTCATGCAGACTTGCTCCCTGTGCAGTGCATACCTCGGTGCGGCGAATGGCGCAGAGGCAGACACTAATGGGGCCCTTCAGTCGACCAGCCCATCGCCGATTGATGCTGTATACTGGGCTGCCATCATTAATGAAGTGTACGTTAACAATTTTTAACTGATAAACTCTACAGTTGCTAATTTTCCACAGAGAAATACGCACTCAGCTTCCAATGCCCAATTATTTTATTGACGAACCTCATTTCCCGCTAGCGCCTCCTTCTTTGCCATTTCCTGATGTACCCGTACAAGAATTGGATCCATCCTTAGAGCCCGCCGCTTTCAATTTGCACAAACTACAGCAATACTGTCAGCTGTTCTACCTCAACGAAGCCTCGCTCCGGCGACTAACCCGCAACGTCTACGAGCAAATGGCCGCTTTCGAAGCCTCAGCACAAGGCGCAGACAGCCCAAGCGAAGCGCACCTCCACGCGCTCCACACTCTGCAAGAAAACCTCCTCCAGCAAGTCCAGCACTGGTAAGCCCGCCCCACCCTCCCCTCCCACAAACCACGCACTAACACTAACGCTCCCCACAGGCTGGCCTCCCTCCCCCCCGCCCTCCAACCCCCCACCACCTCCCCCCTCGCGCTACCAAGCCAGCACCTCCGCGCCCGCGCCCTCCACCTCACCTCCGCAATCCAGCTGACGCCCCGCATCAACGCCCCCTCTGCCACGCCTGGAACACCGCACCACAACCACCTCCACCACGCCCTCCTCCGTCTGCACGCCCACGCCCCGCTCGCCGCGCACCGCCACGCAGGCACGTGGTTCGCGCTGCGCGCCTGTACGCGGGACGCAGCGGTCCTGCTGGCCGCGGCGGCGGGCGGGCGGCTCAACACAACAATACCGGACGCAGCGATGCCGGACGCAGCGGTGTTGATGCCAGAGGGCTGGCGCGGCGCGGTGGAGGGCGTGGTCGCGCTGCTGGCGCTGTGGCGCGATGACGGCGCGAGGGATATCGGCGAGTGCGAGCGCGTGCTGCGGGAGCTGTTGGGTGCGGTGGCGGCGTAGTTGTGTAGGATAGCGAGGTGATGGCGCGTTTTTTTTTTTTGATTGTTTTTCCTTGCGGTTTGATTTGGTCGGTCGGCTGCTTTGGCTTCGTACACATGTACATCAGAGATAGCACTGCGCGCTGGCGCGCAGAGAGCTCGGCTCGGCTTGGCTTGCATGTAGAAATCAATAGCCGTGCAGGCTCGGCTTGTCGATGTCGATATAGACGTATTTATGGTCTATTTCATTCCCCCTCCTCATCCCACAAAAGCATCATCGAGTTGACACACTCGTGGTTACCTGCGGAAGAACAAACCCACCGCACCTTTCAAACATTTTCCACGCATCGCGGCCTTCCTCCCTACCTAACACACACCTCGCCACAGCCTCCACGTCTCTACCACCTAGTCCACAACACCCCGCGCTCTGTTATCCCCTATATATTGCATAGCCTCATGCTCCTTATAGCAACCCAAACCGGCCTAGCCCAACCCAACCCAACCCAGCCCCACGTTAACCAGTTCAACCCGCTCTCACGACAACCGCGCCTATACACACCAAAATAGGGCAAGCACACCACACGCGCCTAATGTCCCTTCCACAGCCCCTGGCGTGCGCTCGGTTTGTATTGGCACGCAAAGATGATGTATGGCATATTACGCTTCATTCTGTTTTCGCATCTCATACAGTATACTAAGAACAACAATACACAGGTCCTCAAACACAAAACCAATGCTCCAACACGCCTCCCACGCTACACTATCACACGCACGCGCGCGCGCACACACGCACTACTCACTCTCGACCGCCTGCTCGTCCGGGCCGCCAACACCATCGCCATCCTCATCCCCCACCCCCACCTCAGCCACAACACCACTATCTTCCAAGAACCTGCTCCCTTCAGGACTCGCCCGCACCAACGCCATAATCAGCTCCTTCATCTCCGCAACCTCCTTGCGCAGCGCACGCACCTCCTTCGCGGCCGCATCCTCACCCAGCGCGGGCTTCACCTCCTCGCAGCGCTTGCTCCACCCGCTCGCCTCAAAGTCGACCGTCCCGGCCAGCTGCTCCCATTCCTGCGTGGTGTCGTCGTCGAGGCCGCCGCGGTGGCGATTACTGCAGACGCGGCGGGCCTGGCGCGTCTCCAGCAGTGCCGTGATGAGTAACAGTGGGCTGTAGATGACGGCCATGACGTGGTCGTTTAGGCGCGCGTATGTGTGCGCGGGCATCCACCATTCGAAGGGGATGATGAGGCAGAAGAGCTCAATGAGGTTGAAGGGCGCGATGAAGACGTTTTCGTCCGGCGCCCGCACAAACTGCATCGTCTTCTGGCTCACGAGTGCCATGTACTCGTCGACGGCGTTGTCTGTGATGTCTTCGTATGCGCTGTTGTAAAGCGCGATCAGGATGTTGAGCAGCACGACCATCACTACGAATGTGAAGACGTAGTAGAGGATCAGGCCGAAGGGCGGCGCGAATCGGTCGAAGCCTTCGAATTCTGGGCTTTGCATGATGGCGTTCAGCATCGCTTGCACGATGAAGCTCGTCGCTGTTATTTTGTTGTCCACTTGGTCCATGCCCATGAAGCCTTGGAAGAAGCCCACCAGGATCACGACCAAGAGCGCAAAGAAGATAATGGACTCCTTCATCATGACCTTTAAGACGACAAACATGGCGCCGAAGAAGCGGAACGTGTCGAGATACAGCAGCAAGCGCATCCAAAACATGGGTGCGGTGAAAGCTAGGAAATTGTAGCTCAGCTCGTTGAAGTGCTGGCGCTTGTCAGAGCCATCTGAATGAACCAGCGCGATTATGCGCGTCACAAACGAGATGGTCAGCAGCGCGTAAAGGGTGCTGTTGAACATGTTCCAGAAGCTGATATAGTACCGGCCGACCTTCCAGAATTTGGCCATTTCGTCGAAGATGAAGCCCCAGGTGAAGATGTACAGCAGCCCCTCGACGACATCGAGGTCGCCGCTCGGGTTGATAGTGTTGATGGCACCGGTATACAGGCCCAGGTAGATGAGCGAGAAGGCAATCTGGACGGCATTCTGGTAGGCAGGGGCGCGCATGCGCTCCGGGTCAAAGTGCGACCAGTAGTTTGTGTCTCCTTTGTCTTTGTAGTCGACGAAATTGGATGGGTCTTCGTCGTCCTGGACCAGCCAGCCACGCCAGAGGAAAGAAATGCACCTCTGATAGCCCGCAGAACCAATAACGAGGAGTGCGTGCAAGTCGACAGCCCGCTCGATGACGTTGGCGGGCAGCGTCTCCTGGCCGTCGACAAAAATGGAGTATCTCTTGAGGAGGACGTGCTGGTGGAGGTAGACCTCGTCTTCCTCGCTCTCGATGCTAGGGTTACTCGTCAGTCCTCGACCGCAGGACAGATACATGTATGAAGGCAACTCACATGGCCTTCGCAAGGACCTGGCATGCCTCTGCGCGCACCTGGTGCAGGTCGGTGTCCCACAGCTCCAGGTCTGCCTGCTCGTTGAACCACTTCTTGACGACCAGCAGCGCATACACAACGCATGCTTTGTTCTCCTCGCCGCCGGCCTGGCGCGCCAGGTCAACGACAGCGGAAGTAATAACCGGGCTGTGCGGCTTGGTGACATCCTCCACGGAGACCTCGCAGGGTATGACGACCTCGATCTGGTGCTTGAGGCGCAGGGCGATCTTGGTAACTTCTTTGGCGTCGATGGGCGAGGGCGGTACATCATCGCGGCGCGTAGGGAGGACTGTACAAAAAGTAAGCTTCACGGTCCGCTGCATGTATGCGGACTGGAGACGACCTACGTGCGCGCATCTCATCGCGCCAGTGGTGGCGCCTGTCTCGGCCCTCGACGTTGAACAGCTCGCCCCATCGTACCATGGCTCTTGAAGCTGAGGCTGTCTTGTGAGGGTTCGGTGCCGGAGCAAGTCAATGGCAGCGTGGTGGGTGAGCGGGGAAAAAAGCTGGAAGTTGGCACGGCCGGCCAGCGACACGGTGATGGGCGTCTGGGGTGGGGTTGGCCATAGCTTCTAGGCCGTCATCGTGCGGCAGGGCGGCGCAACACCAAATCGCTGGCTGCGGCAGGACATGGTGATTGGGCGGTGCATCGTCTATCTTGCTGTCGCGTAGATTACATCCCTGTCCAACACCATAACTTGCTTGCGCCTGTTTGAAAAGCCGTTTCACCCTATCACACCGTGACACGGAGCTGTTCTGTGGATGTGAAGTATGTCGTAGTTCCCAATCGAACCGCATTGCAAGCATACCTATTAACCCATATTCTATACACCCCTGCTTCACTACCTATTGTTCCCCGAGACAATCCAGCAGCCATTGACCCCCCGCCAGACGCCGGGACAAGAAGTATTTCATGGGGACTGATTATCTCGGTACTGATTGAGACAGTATTATCGGAATTTCAAATCAGAAGGATTGAAGATGGCAGCTGACGCGTTTGATTCGCAGAGCCAGAGGGCAGAGCCGCGACCCAAAAGGCCTCTATCTTATCCTCCACCCAAAAGCAGCAACCCTCGCCCTCCGCAAACACGAGCGCGCCGCCGCCACCCGGCATGCACACGCATCAGGAGATGGCCGCGCAATGATTGAGATGGGCGTCTAGGAGCGTTTCAAGCTGAGCACAGCCCTATGTACGCGTACCGAGCGAGCCGGAAACGCACGTAGAGGGAGTTTCGCATGCACGCCGGCTGCAGTGACGGCATCATCGGCAGCTGATCGCTCGCGGTAGCAAACCCAAAACCTACCATAGCAATTCGTCCTGCGCGCTGGATGACGCATAACTAACGTTGCGCGGGCGCGATCCAGTTCCAGCCCTGTTGGCCGGGGGGAGCTCCGCGGCTCAGCGCAACAACAACATCCTCCTTCTTCGGCGGCAGCCAGACAACTAGCTGCAGCACACAACCGCAACAGCAACGGCGCAAGACGGCACTCCCACTCCGCAAACGGACAGGCCTGCCCAACTCAGCCTTGCGCCGAAACAACGACCAAGCACGCCGCGACTCGGCCCGGCGCGGACAGAGCATCCCGCGGCCTTGGCGACCCTGTCATCAAAAGCCGTCGAGGGGGATCAGGAGGCGCGCGCGCTATGTAAAGCAAGCAGCATAAACAATTTGCAGGCGCAACTGCCGTCTCGCCATAGCAATCCTACATCCATCCATCCCGTCGTTCTTATCAACATATTGTACATACAATACCCCACAACCAACCTCCTTACCCACCCCACCGCCCGTCCATCTGTCTGTCCGCCCCCGCCATCGTGACACCGCAGCTGTACACTCTGTACAGCCCACAGCGCACACACGCCCAAGCGCAGCCCTAGCTACGTACCGAGCTTGGTGTTCCGCATATATCACTCTCCTTAGCCGCACACACAAACCACTACACAAACACTACCACACCGACCACAAACCAGTACACCGACCACCGGCCTCCGCCCCAGCCAATCAACCAACCACAATGAAGACCTTCACGTCCGCCTTCGCCGCCCTGCTGCTCGCCGCTTCCACTGTTGCCGCCCAGGCTGCCACCCCCACTGTTGCCGCTTCCGCCGTCACTTCGACCCCGACGTCTGGCTCGGCGGCTTGCGAGTGCGAGGTCGCTGTTTGCGTGGCTGCGTGGCCACAGGTGCGTTCGCCTTCTCTCTCACCATTTTCATCTCCATTTCCATCTCCATATCCATCTCCACTCTATACCAATCCGCCCACGCAATCCTGCTTCCCATCCTCATCACCCTTCCCTCCTTCTTTACTCAAATGTAACCGAACCAAACCAAACCTAACCTAACCGCCTCTACTCTACTCTTCTCTACTTTCTTTTTTTCTTTCCTTTTGTACTTTTCATTTACCCAAGAAACCAAAACCCAGCTAACGTGGAACTAGTCCTGCTACTGCCAGAACGACAGCAAGAAACAATGCTACGAGAAGTGCGGCGGCGCTGAGCCGCAGCTGCAGGTACGTTTGTTCCCCCATCCACTCTCCCTCTTCCCCAAAAGACAGCCGAAAAGAAGCCGCAAGAAACGAAAGAGATAAAAACACACATTATTTGAAGAAATAGCAACAATGGAAATAAACTCGCGCTAATATCACACACAGGACTGCCCCGCCATGCCCTCCAACCCCGCGCTCACGCTCGGCACGTCATAGAAGTACCTAGAGCCGCGCCCTGCTCACCCCACGGCCGCCGGTCCAGCACACGGCTCCGGAGGAAAGAAAGAAAAAGCGCCTTTTCACATCGCGCGCATCTATCGACACGTTAATTCACCCCACCCAATTCACCTCGTCACATATCATCTTTTGCTTCATCTCATCTCTCATACCTAAGCTTCCATTCATCTATTTCTGTAACTTTTCCTTGCGCTTTTTATCTATTTTTGGAGGATTGCTTTGTTGCTCGTTCATACCATATAACCAAATCCAGCATGATGACGGCGCTGATGCGCCGCCTTTTTCTCTTCCTGTTGGTTCCGCTGCTTCTCTCGTCTCGTCTCTCCGCCTCTTCGCAGCTCGTATCCCGCCAGCCCTCCGCACACCCACACACACGCCCCCCACACTACACGCCCGCCAGCGCCCTCAACGCCTCATCCGACGTCCTCAAGCTCACCCAATCATCCATCCTCTCAGCGCCCACGCCCTTATAAAACTTCAAACTCGGCTCATTGCACTTCAGACACGCCCACTCCAACCTTTCACCCCCAATGCGCCTTACCTCCTTCGCCAGCGCCCCCAGCAGCAGCGAGCCGTACCCCTTGCCCCGCTGCGCCTGCCGCACTATCAGGTCCTCGATGTAGATGCCCGGCGCGCTGCGCCACGTGCTGTAGTTGTGGAAGTGCAGCGCCATGCCGGCGGGATTGTGGGCGGCGGCGTCGGCGGCGGTGGCGAAGACCAGGAGCGTGCGCGCGTAGCCGACGCTGAGGGCGGGGGCGTCCGGGGTGGTGCTGGTGCTGGCGGAGGTGGAGGTGCCTTCTGAGGGCGCGAACGAGAGCGTCGAGAGCAGCGTCTCCTCTGTGGCACGCACTTCGTGCAGCGCTTCTTCGTAGATGGCGAGTTCTTTGATCATGTCGAGGATCGCGGGGACGTCTGTGCTGGGGGGTTAGTTTGTGCATGATTGGTGGGTTGGTTGAGGTTGCTAAGGTGGTGGTGCGGAGTGCGGGAGCGGAGTGCGGGAGCGGAGCGGAGCGGAGCGCCGTACCTTCGCGCGTGGCGTAGCGGATGATAGGTTGTTCGGACATGATGATGATTGGCTGCTGCGCGGGCGGACAGAGACGGCCAAGGCTCGAATTGGAAATAGCAAAGAGGTTGTTGGTCGAGAGCGAGGTAAATGTTGCGTGGTTGCCGTTTGCAGCGGCTGGCTTTTATACCTGCAAGCTAGGTAACTGTGCGCTAGGGTATGACGCGTTATGTAAAAGAACTGCCACGGCAAGCCCTTCGACGCAGTTCTAGAGCCGCAGAAAACCGCGCTCTGCGCGTGACAAGTGCAATTGCGAGCAGAGTTGTCACGCCCTGTCAGTAACATCCGGAGCGGGGCACTCAGCCGGCGCCGGGGAAACCGCGGCTCCAAATTTATGCGTCCTCCTGCACGTGCTGCTGCTGCGGCTCTTCGACGACGACACGACCATCTGCGTTGACGCCCTCAAAGAGCGGCAGCGTGTGCCGAGGCGCCGTCGACGGCTGGTGCACCTCCTTCCAGGCTCCCCACTGGACGATCCAATGGCCCTGCTCGTTGAGCAGCATGACGGGACAGCGCTCAAACACCTTCGCCCACATGCGCCGCATCAGCCGCTCCGTGATGTGGTGCTCGCGGACCCTCGCCAGGCCTTTGTGTGTGCGCTTCAGCTCGAGGCCGTCCTCCAGCAGCACGTCTAGCACTGCGTTCTCCGACTGGAGCCACAGATCCTGTTGTCCGAAGCGGGTGTCGCGCGCCTCGACGAGCCGCGCCAGCTTCTCCTCTTTTGTGCCGTCCTCGGCCAGCCCAGCCTTGCGGCACTCGAGCGCCAGGAAGCGCTCGCCCGCAGGCCCGCTGATGCTTGCCAGCTTGCTGAACGCGTACTTGTCGACGAAGTGCGGCGTTGGGCGCGCTCGTCGCGGCTTCACGCCCTCCCACTTGCGCGCGCCCGTGGCCAGGTCGCGCAGCCGCGTCCAGTCCTCCTCGGGCAGCGGCGGCACCAGCTTGTCCAGCATCGTCGCGTACCACTTGCGCACGAGGTTTTTCTCGCGCTTGCGCGGGAACGGGCGCTCCCAGATGTTGCGCAGCGGGATCTCGACCTGCATGTGGCGGAACTTTGTCTTCTCCGCGTATTGGTTGTTGCTGGACCGCTGGCTGCGCATCATGGCGAGCAGGCGCGAGTATTCCTTGGAGATGGTGTATACTTGCGGGACGTCGGGCTTGCGCGTGGGCGCCTGGACGGGCCGGGGGAGGTGGTCGATGGCGGTCGGGTCGGCGGCGGTTCTTAGCCTAGTCAAGCTGGCCTCGTAGATCTGGCTCTCGGTGCCCGGGTCTGGGACGAGTAATTCGCTGAGCAGGTCGCGGCGGCGGCGGCCGATGCGGCCGTAGGTCCACAGCAGGACATTAAGCAGGGCCTTATCCTCGCCCTGGTTGGCGCGGCGCAGGAGATTCAGGCTCTTCTGCCCATTGTGAAGGACGCTGAGCAGACGTTCGGGGGTAAAAGGTTCCGGTGGCTCGCGATTTATGACGAGTGACGGGCGTGGGGTGTATTTGCGAAAGCGCTGGATGATGTGGTGGTGCAGGCGGGTGCGAGCCTCGGAATCAGGCAGGTAGGTGGATTCGCGCAGCAGGGCACGCAGCAGAGGGCGGGCGCGGGGATCTGAGGTCATGACATTGGATGGTTGAATTATTTTGTGGTAGATGTGAGTGGAGCCGGCGACGGGAGCTTGGCTGGCAGGCAAGCGACGCGCCGCCGCGGAGCCCAGAGCCCTACCGCCAGCGCAGTCGTTCCGTCGTGCCGTCCTCTTCGCCCACCCATCGCCATGCAAGTCGCTCCTTCTACTGCTATGGGTGCCTACGAGCCGACCCCTCGTCCCCCATCGGCTTTCACGCCCCGCCCACCGCCCGCCTACGAGCAGGCCAATACCAACGGCAGCTTCATGCACCCGCCGCAGATCTACACGGCCGTCTACTCCAATGTCAACGTCTACGAGATGGAAATCAACGGCGTGGCCGTCATGAAGCGCCGCTCCGACTCATGGCTGAACGCGACGCAGATTCTCAAGGTGGCGGGCGTCGACAAGGGCAAGCGCACCAAAGTGCTGGAGAAGGAGATCCTGACGGGCGAGCACGAGAAGGTCCAGGGCGGATACGGCAAGTACCAGGGCACCTGGATCAACCACCGTCGCGGTCGCGAGTTCTGTCGCCAGTATGGCGTCGAGGAGCTGCTGCGTCCGCTGCTCGAGTATGGCGCCGACGAACTCGACACGCCCACCAAAGAGCAGGCCATGGCCGCCAACCGCAAACGCTTTTACGCCAGCGCCGTCGATGCTCGCTCTGGCATCCACCCTGCCCATGGCGGCACCTTTTTCTCCAACATCTCGTCGACAGCATCCAACGCCATCGCCGCCATGAACAAGGTCGCTCGCATGAACTCGCCCGCCCCGCAGCAGCGCGCCGGCCGCCTGAGCCACCCGCACTCTTTCCGCGCCGGCAGCCAGCAGAGCGTCGCCACCGAGCGCAGCAGCTTCGGTCCGGACTCGGCCTATGTCACCCAGCAGCCCTTCTCTCATACCGAACAGCATCAGCAGGCCCCCCAGGACGAGCCGCCGCGTAAGCGCGTGCGCCAGGACGACGCTGACCTCGAGACCATCCGCGACGGCTCACCTACCGAGCCCAACGAGTCGTTTGTCTACCACCAGCTCGGCCACTACGGGCCCGGCAGCGGCACCGATGGCGACGTCCCGGCCGCGCTTCCCCCGCTGCCGCCTCCGAGCGATGTGACGTCGCAGGACAGGCAGGCCGCCCTGCTCGACCTCTTCCAGGACAACCAGTCGCGCACCGACTTTTCCAGCCACCCCGCCATTGTGCACCTGTCCGGGTCGGATCTCGACATGCCATTGGATCAGTCGGCGAACACGGCGTTGCACTGGGCGGCGACGTTGGCGCGTGTGTCGATCATGCGGCTACTCATCTCCAAGGGCGCCAACATCTTCCGAGGAAATGCCGCGGGGCAAACGCCGCTGATGGCCGCCGTGGCCGTCAATAACAGTTTGGATCATAGCTGCTTCCCGGAGCTGCTGGAGCTGCTGGCACCGCTCATTGAGGTCCGCGACGACTCGGGGCGCACTATTCTGCACCACATTGCCGTGGCGTCCGGTGTTAAGGGCCGCGCCGCGTCGAGCAAGTACTATCTGGAGGCGTTGCTCGAGTTCCTTGTGCGCAGCAACACGGGCCAGAGCAGTCAGACGTCGTTTGACGGCGCGCCGAGACCAATTGGTCTGATGCGTTTTATGAGCGAGATGGTGAACGCGCGGGACGTGGCGGGGAACACGGCGCTGAACCTCGTGGCGCGGATAGGTAATAGGAGCATCATTCAGCAGCTGCTGGAGGTCAAGGCGGACCCGACTATAGCCAACTACAAGGGTCTGCGGCCGATAGACTTTGGCGTTGGCGAGGACCCGGAGCAGCGAAACAACCACCAGTCGCTGAGCCAGATTGGCTCGCCTAGCAAGAGCCGCGGGCCCGCGAGCAGAGTAGAAGAAACGAGCCGGGAGATGATGCCAGGTGAGCTATGCCCATTTTCATTTCTATCGAATCACACACGCTAATTCAACCCTAGCAATGTCCTCCTTCCTCTCGCAAACCGACTCCCAATTCAACGCCGAGATCCGCCTCAAGCAAGACCTGATCGACCGCACCAACGCGACGATCCAGTCGCTCTCGACGCAACAGCGCCAGCTATCAGCCACGCTAACAGCGCTGCAACGGCGCGCGCGCGCGCGCTCCGAACGCGCCCAGCGCATCGCGAACCTGCGGGCCGCAACCAAGGAGCAGCGCGCGCGGCTGATGCGCGGCGGCGGCGTCTCAGTCATGCAAGCCATGGACGCCTCGCCCAAGGAAGTAGTCGGCGACGCGGACGCGAAAGCAGCGGGTCTCGCACTCGTGGGGCACGTGCATCTTCCACCTACGCCGACCACGACGACGACGACGACGACGACGACGACGAACGCCACCGCCGGTGCAAGCGCAAACGCAAACGCGAACACGGATCTCGCCTCCCTCTCCCCCCAGACCCAGCACCTGCTCCACGCCCTCCCGCCCCCGCAGCGCCTGCGCAACCTCCTAGCAGCGTACGGCTCGGCGACGTCGACGCTGCGCGAGCGCGCGGCGGGGCTGAGAGCGCGCAATGGTGCCCTCGAGCGCCAGTACAGGAAGGTGGTGGCGCTGTGTACGGGCGTGCCGGAGGGGAGCGTGGACGAGTTGCTGGTTGGACTGGTGAGGGCTGTGGAGAGCGAGACGGGTGAGGGGGTGGAGGTGGGGCGGGTGAGGGAGTTTTTGCGAAAGGTGGATTGGGTGGAGGGGTAGGGGTTGGGTGTGTTTTGTGGTGGGTGTGGGTGTGTTTGTGGGTGTGGGAGGGGTAAAGGGCGTTTTTCTGTGGGATGGGGTTTGTGGCTTGTGGCTCGTGGCTTGTGTTTGGGGCTTTATGTGGTTTATGTAGCGTAGCTTGGGTTGAGCTGGGATACTGGTATGGTTGGGCTGGTTGGGCTTGCTGGGTTTGCTGGGTTTGCTGGATTCACTTGCTTGGGTCGCTTGGGATGGGGTTGGGCCTGCTTCGCGGATGAGGCGTTGCGTTGCGTTGCGTTGCGTTGCGTTGCGTTGCGTTGTTGCTTGTGCTTGTTGCTTGTTCTCGTTCTCGCTTTTTACTATTTGGCTTTGGCTCGCTTTTTATTGGCTAGGGCTTTGGTTGCGACGCTACGCTATCTATTATTATATACGTTTATGTTTACGTTTATGGTTATGGTTATGGTTGTGGTTATGTCTATTTACTTATACGTCTTTCTGCTTATGTATATGTACGTCTGTCTGTCTGCTGGTTGGCTGAGTGTGTTAGTATTGTTGCTGCTTTGTTCATGATGTGAGCGAGGAGGGTTGGGTTTGGGTTAGGTTGGGCTGGGTTGGGTTGGGCTGGGAGCGCTTGTTTATACCTTCTTTTTTGTTTGTTTGCTGTGTCGTGTGTGTGTGTGTATGTATCTATTACCATATTATCTATAATAAGTAGTAGGGTTATACTTATAGACGTATAGATAGGCGGCTATATAATATAAAAGTTAAGGAAGCTCTCTATAGGTTCGGCCGTTAGGTAGTTAGGTTTACTATACTATACTCTACTACTGCTGCTGCTATGTATGTAGGTGGGTAGGTAGGCTCTAAGGACGAGGACCAGGACGGGGACAAGGATGAGGTCAACCCTGCGGGGGAGGAGGAGGGGGGGGGAAGCAGCGCGCCTCACCGCCAGCGCCGGCCCGTCAGCTCACACACCGCAGCACCATTTCCGCGGCCCAACGAGCCTGGGAACTCGAGCACGCACGCTGTCGGCCGGTTGGAAGTTGGTGTGTGAGGATGAGGCACAGGCAGAGCACGAGGTCAAGGCTAAGGATGATGAGAAAGAGGAGGAGAAGAAGCCCGCCCGCGCTTGTGCCACGTGAACGAGACGAGGCCTAGCGGTTCTCGGCCCAGCAGAGGGGAGGTACTCTGGGACGCTACTCATGGCGAGGGCGCGGGCGTCGTCGGCGCGGAGGCGGGACAGCGTGGTTGGTGTGGGTGTGTCGAGCGAAGGGGAGGGAAGGGCGTTAAGATAGTGACGAGGGTGTTCGTGGTTGTGGTGGTGAGGCGGGAGGAGCTGCTGCGGCGGTGCGCGAGGGCTTGTGCTGTGCTGTGCTGAGCTGGGGAAGTGGCGCGGTAGTGTGCGTGTGCGTAGTGGGTGTGCATGATGGAGGAGGCTATGTTGCGAGTACCTAGCTACGTACCATGTCTTTGATTTGGCGCTGTATGGTGCGTTCGATCAGATCAGTGCGAGTGTGGCGCGCAGGGGCTGCGCTTTTCCCCCCGCGACGTACATCATCTTGAGTGGGGATTAGCTTCTTTGTGCTTGAGTTTCTGTGGAGGAGGTGGGCTGCTGTACCTGCGTGACTTCTTTGGCGTAATTGAGAGCTGGTTGGTCGCCGCTTTTGTAGCTTCTCTGAAGGGGGGAAATGGTTGCTTGGAATATTGGTTGGGGTTATGAGAGCATTGGGGCAAGATAAAATGTATAATATCAAGTTTGTGTGCAGAATGTGCGATCCTGGAAAACAAACTGAAGCAAAGTAACGGGTGACGTTGGATGTAGACAAAGAACGACAGATGGTTCTTTCGAATTACTGGTAATGTCTGCTAACAAAGGAAACTGATCATGTTCCCGGGATGTTGGTGTCCGGAAGAGTGAAGAGTGAAGAGAACGACAACAATTTCTCCATTCGGAAACATCTTCAACTCCAATCCTTCAAAGGAAAAGATGCCATAAAAGGACAGTATCTTGCCCTACGTATAAGAGCATTTGTTCATAGTGTATGAACAACGAACCAACAACCAAAAGCCAAAGATGCTTGATGAACACGTGAAGCTGTATCATCCTTCCAAGTTCCCACATTGGCAATAGCAAGCCGTACCGAATGCTTGCTCAAGCAATCAATCCAACCCAAGCGAACAAATAAATCCAAGCCCCAAAGCAGCGCTACACTCATGTCCAGCGCCAAAGAACCCCACAAAAAGACCAGCAACAACAACAACCCGCCAAATCCAACCCATTACCCACCGCACCCACCCCTTCCTACCCCTCCCTCCAAAATCCCCACCAAGCACCCTTCCCCTTCCCCACAAGCTCCTCAAACCCACCCCCACCATCCCCCTCCCCCTCCGCATCAACCACAGGCGTCGCCATCGAAAGCTGCCACCCAATCGCGCTATCCCGTCTTCGACTCCCCTTCCCCAGCCCCGCACAGTCGGGACACAGCGTGCAGCGGGGCTCGGCGTCGATGGTGCGGGTATTGCTGTCCGTGACTTCTTGCCTGCAGGGCGGGTTGTGCAGTCGGTAGCACGGGCCCACGCGGTCTTGCCAGAGAGTGAGGACGTGCAGACAGGCGGGGTAGCGGATTGTGAGGAGGCGCCGGCACATTGTTTGTGTTTGTGGTTGTGTGAGTGTGGGCGTGGTAGTAGATGGGTGTGTGTGTGATTATATGTGTGGTGTGGTCGTGCTTGAGGTTCGCGGTGATGTCTGCTGGCTTGATTATAGCTCGTGCAGCGAGGTCGTCAAGAGTCGTGAAGCGGTCGTTAAGCAGCCTGCCGTTCCAAGTCGTGTCCGTCGTAAGGCGTCGTCGTGGCCGTCGTTGTATACTATCGCAAAACCCCAAAAAGTCGAAAGCGCAGTGCAGTATAGTGCAATGTAGACAGAACCGCAACCCGCGGTTGCTACCAAGCCCAAGCCCAAGCAACAACAACAGCAACAACCAAAACCCAACGTCTCCAAGCCCTCCCCAACGCAGCTATTTAGCACTTCACGCGCAACAACTCTCCTGTCAGCCGGTGCAACTTTAAACCTCCGTTGCTGACAGTACCGGTCAGGTCGTGTCGCCAGCACCTTCCCAAATGAGCGCTGACTAACCCGTTGCGGAGGATTCTCACCGCCGCGCCTGCGCCGTCAGACTCCTTTGGAGCCTGTTTTGGGCAGAGGGCGCTGCCGGCAAGCGAGGCTGTTGGCGTCGGCGCGCTTCACGTGCTGCGTGCGGCTGCTGCTGTGTTACGTGGGGTTGCGCGTCTGCTGCATCTTGACGCCTTGTCAGCGCTCACGCCACTGGAACGTGTTCAAACGTGTTCGGTGCAGTGTAACGGGCTCTTTAAATCCTGCTGTTGTAATTGCTGATGCGAGCATGTCGTATAACCTCAAGGTAATGGTCATCAATAATGACGTGTTTGGTCGTCGTTTCTGCTGCTTTTCTTTGCCCTTTGTAGACAGTGACACATCACGCGTGCCACATCACTATGTACATTCTGGTTTTTCGTTGTTGTGACGTAACGATGGACTCTTATTCTGTATCTAGACATTTTTTGTGGTTTTCAATCTAAATTTTCTTATAAAATTCATGCACGTGTAGATTAGTTACTATGTATATTTTGTTTTTTGTCCTTACAACTTACTAAGGGACTCATACTCTATATTTAGTTTACGATACGACTTATTAAGAGACTCTTGTTCTATATTTAGATTATGAGTATGATTTATAAGTTAAGTTTCTTTAGAAGCTGGTGTACGTGCAGATTAGTTATTTTATATATGTAATTAAAAACCTTTACAGACTCGTTAAGAGGTAAATTTGGATTGTGGATTCACTCTCATATTTATTCAATCTCATACATTGAACTAGTGGATAATCAAATTTCAGGTTTGCAACCCTTCTTGCTGCAGTTTAACTTCGGTAACTACAGCCGCTTACAGATTCAACCAGGTTTTTGGTCTACTGATGCTGGTATTCAGGGCTAGTACTTGCTTCCAGGCCTAGGACACGTCTCAGCCAATAGAGCGTCTCAAGCAACTGGAGTAAGAAGCTTGGGATGGACGTCTGTTCCGCGAACCCTCCAGAATCGCGGGTTCTCCTTTTTTGGAGTCCAAAGTACGGCTTTATCCCACCAGCCCGGTGTCGAACGGCGGCACCACATCTCATAGCCACCATTGCGAATGCTTAAGACATACAGACGACAAGCGATTTCGTAGGGAACTCCCAGGTCCGGAAGGTTCAAATCGTAATCGCGGCCATCCAGCCCCCACTCCGCCATACTGTGAATGTAGAGTGTAACCAAAGACAAACGGTGGATGCGGCTGTCAAAGAAGAACTCGCTCCATTCGCCGTGTGGGAAGGGTCCCACGTTCAGCGTCAGGTGCTGTAGACTGGGTGCGAAGATTTCGATGAACTGAATGACTTCCTCCATATTGAGGTTTTCCGCTGTCAGCTTTAGCTTGCGAAGCGTGAATGGCATCGACTGCTTTAACTGCTGCGCAGTGGTCAGCATGACTTGGGTTGTGTATGCTTGATCGTGCAAGATGAAGAGGTCGAGGACTTCCAAGCGGCGGAACATGCGCAGGTAGTTCGCAAGGTATAAAGGATTCTCGACAAATCCGGGGCTCGAGGGAGTACCGAGGAAGGTAACCGATAGATTCCTCACACTAGACATTGCCGTCGCTAGATTTGCATAGATTGGTGCTTGCAGATCAGAGACAATCGCAGTGCCGTGATCCATATGATTGCAAAAGAAAGACTCGACTTTCTTTCCGGTCGCAGCAAGCACTTCCAAGACAGCTCGTGTCGTTTTCTGTTCGTTGAGGTTGCGGATTCTCCCACTCCTAGTTATATTCGGCCGATTGTTCACTATCCAATTCTGTAGACCGATGTCTGTGGCGTGGGTTTCCCCAGAGCTACGCCATCCAGGACGGAATAAGCGGTGTTGGGTCTTCAGTTGCAGAGTCTTCAGGTTGCCTAAGAGCCCGAAAACCTCTCCTAGCTTTGTCTTGTCAGATCCATTGCTTACGAAGACAAGATGGTCAATGAGGAATTCCGAAGCATAAAGGTTGGCAAAGTCCATGCAGGCTGGCTGTAACAGCTCGTCTTTGCTTTGTGCCACACTTACCAGGTGGTCATGGACCTCAACAGATGGGAGATCTGCACTGATGTTCAAGTGCTTGACGTGTGGCCCGACACCTTCAAGAGAGATCAGATGGCGAAGCCGGGTCAGATAATTCTCAGTCAAGGGCCAATTGATCTTGGATATGACTTTGCCTAGCAGTGGAGCCGCGACGCGACAGAACCTCTTGGACACCAGTCGGAGCTTTTGGACTCTAAGGATTGAACCATACGTTATGGTCTCTTGGACGAAGATGTCCTCGATCTGTGACTCATGATCCAAGACTCTGTCGAGTATCATGAATAGAACCTCGTTTGGAAGGTCCTCTATCCTCCGAGGACCGGGCTTCCAAATGCACTCTCCAGCTTCCATAATGCTCAGGTGCGGCATGATCGTAGAAGGTGGTATATGCTATACCGGATTGGCAATTGCTTGTACCGGCTTGAGCAGTAAGATTAGTGTGAGTGAGATGTGGAACACCGGAACTTGATTGTAGGGTAAAGGTGTGAGAGGAACGTGCTTATATAAAAAGGTGTAGCTGAGGTTGTATGAAGACTTTTGCATAGTGTGGAGTTGCGATTGAACAATGTTAAGCCTGTCTGGCAACAGCGGAAAGGGTTTATGACCATTACGGATGGTGTGAGCTATGTGTGAAGGCATGGTTTGTTTTATTTCCTAGACCACTTGCTAATATAATTCTAGTTCACCTAACCAATTCTCCGTAATTAGATATATGTAGCTATGGATCTCATCCGGTACCGAGCAACTACCAAGGTAAAAAGATATTAAAATATATAGGTATTTCTTGGAGGTACGAAATGCGAAGATAGAAGAGTAAAAGCCATGCTATATACTTTAGATGCGGAAACACGTGAGGTAGATATCTTTAAAAGTGCCTAAGTTATATGTTTGCCTCCTCATGCGCAGTATAAGGTTTCAGTACTTGTGATGACTCCAGACAAAGAGGTAAACAAGCAGTTAGAGTCACAACGATAACGTCATAACGTCAGACAAAGAGCTACAAGCCCGGTATGCTGAGTGGCGGCAGGAATATAAAGAATATAGAATAGAAAATAATAGGAAGCAGAATCACACTTTATGTCTCAGGTAGATCGAGGTTTCAATGACGACTAAAGACCTACAGCAGTCTACTGTCTACCTTTCCAGAACACCCACTGAGACAAAGCAAAGTCGCAACGTACATATACATTGAAAGAAAGCCAACACATAAGCAACACAAAGAGAAGTTCGGGACTCTCCGTGACCTAGACCTTTCGATATAGACAGATAGCGAGTACTCTATAAGTTGAAAGAATTTGTTTACATAAATTTTACTGGCTGCAGATAACTCACTCAACACTTACCACCTGCATTCTTCGTCATTATCAAAAATAAAAGATGTAAACACATAGTATAACCCTACAAATCAAAGCGTATGTAGCCACCAGCGCGCCTTCCATGCCAACACCAGCACTAATCATAAAAGCAAGAACATGAATAAAACAATAAACCAATAAAAGCCCAACACGAACAAAGAACTCTCAACAAAAAACCAATACCAAACAATGACAGCACGAACATTCTCGACCTTACGCAGTGCACACGTTCGGGGGGAAGTAGGTTTAAAGACACTGTACATTCAGTTCGATTAAAGCCAACGCTTAACGACATCGACCCCTTTTAAAGCCGTCACGAATTTACAAGTTCACGCAGCGAAGAAATGTCCCGAGAGAACCCGGCTCCGAACAAGGCAAAAGCGAGCTCACGTTTCAGCGCAGCGCAGACTGCTCTTTGCTGTACGTGTGTAGCACCATACGCACACGCACAAACTGTTTGTTTAGCAAGCAGCGCAGCCAAAACGCAGCACTCCGTATGCACTGCAGCAACTTACCGCACACCAGCAATGCACCACCCAAAACCACACACACACATCTCTCCCTCAATCTCCTCTACAAAATTCCACCACCGCCATCCACCCTCTCGTCCCATCCCTCCCATCCCCCCTCCACCCTACCAGCCCCACTCCACCAAAAGAAACCCAACCCAACCCACCCACCCCAGTCAAAAAACCGCAAAAAATCATACGACGGCCGAGACTCGAACTCGGGACCTTCAGTGGTCTTACAAACATGCTGCAACTGTGAGACTGACGTGATAACCAACTACACCACCGTCGCTTTCAGATGATGAGAATTTCTCGCCGTGTGGGTTATAATTTTTTTCTGGTGGCGCCGAGGTTGTGCCGGTGTTTGTGGGGTCGGGTTGGTGGGAGGCGTGGCGGGTGAGAGGGTGAGAGGGTGGTGTGAGTGGTGTGGTGACGGGTGAAGGAAAGGGGATGGGGGATAAGGGAGTGTGTTGGTTGTGGGTTGGTTGTGGGTGGAAGAGAGATGGAGGTGTGGTTGTGCTTGAAGGGAGGGGTCGCCGTTTGCGGTAGCGAATCGGCGCGGGCCGGCTCGGCTATGTATGCGGCGCTGTGCGGCGCTGCGGGCGTACCCGGAGATGAGTGCGATACCCTTATGTAAGAGGTAGGAGGCGGAGGTTTGTAGGAATTAGGATAGAGAGGTTGACGTAGGGATGCAGGAGATTTGTTTTTAAACCGAGGATTGTTTTTAATGGAAGTGGTGAGGAGAGATGTGAGTGATTGTGCGACGGTGCGACGAGGTAGGTGGTTGTTTTTTGATCGCGGGGATGCTACCCGGTGCCGTGGGATGGGTACGGATTACAGTGCCCGGTTACCTATGAGACGGGTAAGTGCGGTGGCGTCCGCATCCTCTATTAAAAGATCAATTTGTGAAACCACCCATCCGTAAAGCGAACCAATGTGTTTTTCTCTTCATGGATACTAAACATGAAATATTAGATTATTGTTCACAGGTAGCCAGCTAATTACTAACAGTAATTTTATTTATAGGCTGTTGTGTCCTACGGCCCTGTGTGAAGGTTCATAGAAATAACTGTTAGGTAGCTACCTGTGAATGTGAAAAGACATTAAGGTACAATATGTTTTTTTTTTTTTTGTTTTTTTTTTTTTTTTTTTTTTAAAAATAAGCAAACAGGCCAGCGTACGCTGGGGG